GATGCTTAAGTTTAGGAATGATTAAAGTTTTAATTATTATATCCTTCCAATTGGGGTAAGTTTTCTCCTACTCCACTTATTAAACAATGTTTTGATCTCATGTACCTTTCTGGAATAATTAAAGTCAAGTGTTTCATCATCGTTAAATGTAATTTTATAGGATGATAACATAGTAGGATTGATTGATTGTACGTTGTTTTACGTCCCATTCGACAATTTTTCATTCATATATAGACGTCACCATATACCGGTGAATGGCTAAAAATTTTGACCTTTACTCGGCACTTAGGGCCATTGAGCAGTGAGGGATCTTGATCGTGCCAACGCCTGCCTTGGCACGGGACCTCGATTGGTTTTTAAGGTCTCATCCGAAGGACCTGCAACTTTCACTTCACAGTGCCGAGCGCATGGCAAAGGAACAGTTGCGGCCGAGATTCGACCTCACGACCTCCCGATCACGGAGCGAGCGCTCTATCGACTGAGCTACCGTGAACGGTCATAACATGGTAGGAAAAAACCTTAATTTAAAGTCAGTGTGAAAATTTCCTATTACTCTCAGAAGACTCAACGAAATAGACCAGATAGGAGTTTATTACATACTACCATTTGAAAACTAATCTCTCTTCTTTCAGTTCGACGGGGACAAAAGTGCAGGGTAAAGCAATTCATCAAATCACGTTATCAAAAGTTATCCTGATATCCCGAGCATATAGTCATTCCCAATCTAGTTTTTTCTCTTACAAGGTCTATGAAAGACTTAAGTTATATGACTCTACGGGTTATCATATACAGTTTTGTTCCGTGAATAATCTACATTATTTGGAGAATCTTGGACAATTTTTTTTGCATTTTCTTGCTTTACACCTGAGAAATTGAACTTTTTCTTACTTTACTAATACCAGCCTTTACCAATGCCCCACAAAACGGCCTCAAGTCCAATAATTATAAAATACCCATAATGCAGCTACGATGACCGGCTGTATTATGCACGTAAAAGTGTTCAACGGATCGATTGGAAATTAAAATGTTTGTTTTTTAACTTCTTTAGCAAAAATTTATAATGTGAATGCAAACTGAGAACGAAACCAAAATTCCCGTATGGATATTTTGAAAAAAAAAATTTACGCCAGCTATAGGACTACGGTCGGTTGTATTTAAATTGACAATTTATTTCATAGTAAAATAATAATTTGAACTTAACTCCAAAATACTAGTATTCTTTCAAAATATATCACGTATTAGTAGCTTTTGATTAATTTTTTTTTGATTATTTCATTTACTATGCTACCATTAAAATACGGAAGCCCGTTGAGGCCAGTTCAGAAAAAGAAATATTTTTAATTGCGTTTAAACGCAATAAGTATTGCGTTTACACGCAAAACATTGCGTTTAATCGCAATGTATTTTGCGTTTAAACGCAAAACACTTTGCGTTTATTTGCAAAAGATTTGCTTTTAAACGCAATAATATTTTTGCGATTAAACGCAATGATTTTTGCGATTAAACGCAATAGTTTTTGCGTTTAAACGCAATGATATTGCGATTAAACGCAATAATATTGCGATTAAACGCAATGATTTTTTGCGATTAAACGCAATAGTTTTTGCGTTTAAACGCAATACTTTTGCGTTTAAACGCAATAATCTTTTAGTTCAAAGGCAATAATTTTTGTGTTTAAAGGCAGTCGTATGTATCAAACCTTGCAGAGTGCAGTGGACCCACGCATACTTATATCTTTTATTTCTTTCTCTTTTTACTTATGAGGAAATTGCGTATTGTTTAGCTTTATAAAATCAGATTTCTCCGAGCAAACGCTCTCTGAAAGGATAAATCACTAATAAGAATTTATAGAGGAGAAAAAATGTCGGGTTGTAAAAACAAAGGCAACCTAAGAACGAGACATGTCTTAAGCTTATTATTCTCTACATTCTTAATGAAGTTTTGGTCAGTTTCTCTGTTAAAAAAACTGTCCCCTACGTTGCGGTCACAAGTTTAACCCATGTATAAAGGGATTTTTGGAAAGGACTGAGGAAATGTTGGAATTACGTACAACAAAATGAAGTATTTAGACTTTAATGTACATTCATAACCCTTCCTATGGTTGCATACAGTAAACACAAGAACATATGTGATGGATTTATATGAGATCAAAATCAAAATCAAATGAAAACAGATTGATCGATGTGCACAACATGTATCAAACTGACAAGTGCTATTAATACCACTAAAACATTCTCTGTAAGTTGTGATATACGTAAGCAATTGATCAGACACTTCATTAAGAGTTTTTGGTTCTAATACATTTAAAAGATTCAGGTTTTTAGGATGCCATTGTTTTACCACAATTTTGAAAAACTGGAAAATTTTGCCAAAAGACACAGCACAAATCGAATCTTCTTAAAGTTGAAGTGTCGGGTCCCAGTACATGTACATGTAATTATAAGCTTTGACTAATTCATGTTTGATTTTGAAACTACAGAATCATTGTGTTTAAATGCAAAACAAATCCTTATAAAGAAGGATTATTGCGTTTAAACGCAAGGATTATTGCGTTTAATCGCAAAAAATATTGCGTTTAATTGCAATACTATTGCGTTTAATCGCAAAAGTATTGCGTTTAAACGCAAAAAAAGCGTTTAATTGCAATCTTTTGCGTTTTAACGCAAAGTGTTTTGCGTTAAAACGCAATATACATTGCGATTAATCGCAATCTTTTGCGTTTAAACGCAATGATTATTGCGATTAAACGCAATGTTTTGCGTTTAAACACAATAATTTTTGCGTTTAAACGCAATAGAAAATATTTATTTCTCTGAACTGGCATCAACGGGCTTCCGTATTAAAACGGGCAATCGATGTTTATAAATAAACAAATTTTTAGAGGTAAATGAAAATTATTTTTCTGAAGGATGTTTAATTACAAATTAAGTTTACAAGTCAAACGTCTTTATACGGAAGCCCGTTGAGGCCAGTTCAGAGAAAGAAATATTTTTTATTGCGTTTAAACGCAATAAGTATTGCGTTTAAACGCAAAAGATTGCGATTAATCGCAATGTATATTGCGTTTAAATAAAAAACACTTTGCGTTTAAACGCAAAAGATTGCGATTAAACGCAATCTTTTGCGTATAAACGCAAAACTTTTCCGATTAAACGCAATGCTTTTAAGTTTAAATGCAATAATTTTTGCGTTTAAACGCAATAATTTTGCGATTAAACGCAATAATCTTTGCGTTTAAACGCAATAATCTTTCTTTATAAGGATTTTGTATTTAAACACAATGATACTGTAGTTTCAAAATCAAACATGAATTAGTCAAAGCTTATAATTACATGTACATGTACCAGGATCCTACACTTCAACTTTAAGAAGATCCAATTTGTTCTGTGTCTTTTTGCAAAATTTCCCAGTTCTTGAAAATTGTAGTAAAACAATGGCATCCTTACAACCTGAATATCTTATTAGAACCCAAAACTCTTAGTGAAGCCTTTGATCAATTGCTTACGTATATCACAACTTATAGAGAATGTTTCAGTTGTATTAATAGCACTTGTCAATTTGATACATGTAGTACACATCTGTCACATCGATCAATCTGTTTTCATTTGATTTTGATCTCATATAAATCCATCACATATGTTCTTTTGTTTACTATATGCAATCATAGGAAGGGTTATGAATGTACATTTAAGTTTAAATATTTACATTTCCAATGTCTTTGTCCGAGATAAAATTACAAATTGTAAAAATACTTTATTTCTACATAAATCTACTGGTTCATCGATAGGCGCGGTTTAAAAAAAATCACGTGCGGGGCGGGAAAAATAGAGACAGACCCGGGGCTATTAGCACGGGAATTTGCAGAATCAGGAGCATGTAAATATAAGGAATAACTGTCAGATTTTTTGGATTCATGACGATGATCAATCGATTGGCTTGCGTGATAATTTTATGAATAAACGCCTTCGGCGTTTATGCAAATTATCACGCAAGCCAATCGATTGATCACATCATGAATCCAAAATATTAGACAGTTATTCCTTAAATACTTCATCATGTTGTACGTAATTCAAACATTTCCTCAGTCCTTTCCAAAAACCCTTTATACATGGGTTAAACTTGTGACCGCAACGAAGGGGACAGTTTTTTTTTTAAACAGAGTAACTGACTAAAACTTCATTAAGAATGTAGAGAATAATAAGCTTAAGACATGTCTCGTTCTTAGGTTACAACCCGACATTTTTTTCTCCTATATAAATTCTTATTAGTGATTTATCCTTTCAGAGAGCGTGTGCTCGGAGAAATCTGATTCTATACAGCTAGACAATACACAATTTCCTAATAAGTAAAAAGAGAAAGAAATAAAAGATATAAGTATGCGTGGAACCATTGTTCTCTGCAAGGTTTGATACAAATGACTGCTTTTAAACACAAAGATTATTGCCTTTGAACGCAAAGATTATTGCGTTTAAACGCAAAGATAAGTGCGTTTAAACGCAAAGATAAGTGCGTTTAAACGCAAAAGTATTGCAATTAAATGCAAAAATCATTGCGTTTAATTGCAAAATTATTGCGTTTAATCGCAATATTATTGCGTTTAAATGCAAAAACTATTGCGTTTAATCGCAAAGTTATTGGGTTTAAACGCAAAAGATTGCGTTTAATCGCAATCTTTTGCGATTAAACGCAAAGTGTTTTGCGTTTAAACGCAATATACATTGCGATTAAACGCAATAAAAAATATTTCTTTTTCTGAACTGGCCTCAACGGGCTTCCGTATAAAACTTTGAAAACAATCAAATATTAAATAAAACAAAAACAAAACTAAAAAAAAATTTCGATTGATGCGAAAAGTAAGTAATAATGTTGAATGCAATGTTTTTTTTTTCTTGCGGAAGAATAATACTATCTTGAATGAGTAAATTAAATAGCAGATTGAGAATGATTCTTTTTAATAATATATGCAGGCATGCAGAGAAGCTATAAAAGAGCTGTTAACGATTAAAACAAAAATACCAGTTGAATGTAAGTAGATATACTATTTTTTTTTAATTATTATTTTATATGCCAACTTTAGAGTAGGTATCGATGTTGTCAAAAATGAAATAACAATAAATCAACATTATACTGACAAATCTATTTGTAGACCTGTAAAGGTATAAATTTTTGTTTTGAGAAGATTTTTAGAAACGTCAAATACGTTTTCTCTTGCCTAAACCCGTATGTCATAAATATGTCCTAAATATTGCAATGTTTGACCAATCGTATTATGAACATAAAAATTTCACAAACATATGTTTACCCGGTAAATGTATATATTTGCTTAACTTTTCCTATAATTACACCATAAGGATGTAAAATAAAAATACCACTGTGTTTATTTTTAGAAATAAAATGCTTTTCTCCAGTTACAAGACTGTGGTGAGTTGATAATGAGTTATTCATTTAATGAAATTTTTTTGACATTTTTTCCTTCATATTATTGTTATTACTTAAACTTTGCTCCAATCATGTTTCCTTATGATTTATCAAGCACCATTCAATGGATACTATAAGTCAATTGTTGAGTACAAAAGGCTTTCATATGTTAGAAACAAGTCCGTTAAATGGCAAGTTCGTGTTAATTTCCCAGTGAAAGATTTGATACATTAAAAAGACCAAATGAACGCAAGTAGACATATGCAAATATTTCAATATCATCATTTATGTCTCCTCCTTTCTTTACCTTCACACGACATAAACACTATATATATTGAAAATACATTTTATTGATCAAATAAATTTTGATCAACAATCCAAACATGTAATCGGAACAGATAAACAATATCTACCAAAATATTCCTAAGACTACATGCAATTAATCAGTTTAGAGTTTAAATGAATAAAGCAAATACAAAAGAAATAACGAAATGCAATCAAGTATTTCAAAACATAAACATTCAAAAGCTTGCTTCCTCTTCATACAATGGTCATAATTAAGTTAACAAACTCTGAATCTGTCTTGAAAAAAATTGATAGACAGACATGTAAATTTACACATATAAAATACATATCTATTACCAGTATTCCATGTCATCCAAGTTAACAAGGTAACATGCTTTAATACTAAAATTAAACGTTTAATTTTGCATCTCTGTTTACAGCCAGTGGGACTTTGCTTGTGTAGTATTAAAACAAAACATTTATCAACTGCAATATTTCTTACAGGAAGTGTGTTACAGATTATTACGACCTGATGAAGATCCTAACAAAGGCCTATTTGCCAAAAGGCCATATTCCGACGCCGTCAGTGTCGAGGATCATGTGACTTCTGGATCAAAAAAAGGGCAGGCTTCTCGATACATTTCGTGTTGCAAGACACTTGACGCAGTCAAAGACTTTGCCAAGAAGAGCAGAAATAAGAGGATTGTAAAGATAACCAATAAAAATGGATCATTTAAAGCAATAGACTTGACAGATCTATTTAATCAAATGAAGTATTTTCCATCTAACCAAAAAGCAAAAAATTATGCTAACCGTTTTCAGGAGGTATTGATCCTAGATTTTGTTCCTCCGGAATGCCTTGCCCTACACAAGGGTTAAATCCACAAAACAATACGAAGATAAAATAAACAAAGAAACAAAGTTCAGCAAGAACTTCGTGACGATCCCTGTATCGAGAGATAACAGTTTTTTTCAAAGTTTATTTGCATTGTGTTCTTATATTAGTTTTTTTTTTGGAATTTTCATTCGTATTTATTTTTTTCCGTTTTCGAATGTAATTGATTTTATCATATGCAGTAGATATTTAAGGTATCACTAGTTCTGAAACTGACAAAAATGTTTTTTTACGACTCATGAAAATATAGATAAGTTAACAACATGCAAAATTTAATTATTAATCTTTTGTAAAATCCGACAAAAATACTTAATTTTTCAGTTATTATCTTTTACTAATAACTCATGTATAAATATTCTAAGAATATAGGTACCTTTAAAGTAATTATTCATTGTAATAATACAATCCTCATCCTAGTCCTAATATTATTTTTTCATTGTGATATATGTACATGTATGTTACAAAAACCCCTTATATTCCATAACAACATGACAAGACTCCTTTCGACATGTTTCCTCAATTTGATGTTACCTACATGTACATTGTTTGTCCAAATATTTCATACTTTTCTCCCTTACTTCCTCAAATTACCTTTGAAGCTACTTTATTTCAATTTAGTGTCAGCAATTCTGAATTTACAATATTTGATGGATGCTCAGAATACATCCCTGGATGGTTTAAATCAGATAATCACATAGAAGATTAGCCAAGTGCTCAGACTCAAATTGTTTTCATTTCTGTATATACAGAAACGAAAACAATTTGAGTCTGAGCACTGGGCTAATCTTCTTATTTTATTGACTATTTGTACTACTTTTGAAATACATTACTCGGAGGCTAAAAAAAAAAAAACAAGAGGCCCACGGGCCTTATAGGTCACCTGAGTATCGTGTAACAACTTTCCAACAATTGAATTTGGTTTGTATTTTAAACCAGAGGCCATGTAATTCACAATTTTGAAAGAGGCACTATTGCTCATCATAACTATACACTTAGCATGCTTACTTTGATCACTTAATACCCAGAGGCAGAGCAGAGGAACAAAAACAAGAGAAGTAGGAAGATCAGGATCAACAAAATAATTAGTCTAGTATTATTCACTATCAACTCAGAAATTGAGTTCTAATCTGTCCCCCACTTAAGACTATCACCATGCTGACTATTAACAAACTATTAGTGCTTCTGTACTATTTTTAAACCCATATTAAGACCTCTAGCATTGACCTCTCTTATGGTCTTTAAAGAACTTTTAATAAGATAAGTTATTTTTGTCTCATTTTTATTTATCTATTACTTACAGGTCTACCTGATTATCAAAACTAAGAAAGTACTTTTTTAATTATACGATAAACATTCTTGCATAATTATCTTATTCTATTAACCTTTCAAATACATTATTTACAGTGATTAATTATCAAAGGTGAATGGAAAAGGGGAATAACTTCTCTCAGTAGAATACAAATTAAAAGAGCCCTGCCCAGGACCAGAATGCTTAGACGAATGGTCCAGATGTTTAAAAATCTGGTAGAAATACGTTTACTCATATCATTTAAACTTTTACTCAGTTTGCTTCCGATATGCCCAGAAGCAGAGAAGAATTTCACAGGTACAATGCATTTTCACTACAGATTCAACAAAGCCTTACCCTAACAGCAGAACCCAAGACCAAGGGTCAAGAAATTTACAAATTCGGAAGAGTTACCCTCATCATCATTACTATGGACTTCAAAGAATTAACACTTTTCACTATATTATCAAAAGCCCCCCCCCCCTCCCTCGTTATGCCAGAACCCCTGACCCTAGGACCACAAGATTTAAAAATTCTGTTCGAAGCTCCCATTTTCATCATAGCTAAGCAATTTATTTATCAGCTCAACACTAAGGAGCCGACAGGATTAATTAATGATTAATTAATAGAATTAATGCTTTTTCACTATATAATCAATAGAGCCCCCCTCCCCCTCCTCAAGAACCCCCAAAACTGAGGCCATATATTTAAAAATTTTGGAAGAGGCATCCTTGTCTATCATAATCATGCACTTAGTTTGTTTAAATAATCTCCAGTAGCAGAGAAGAAGATTTTCAAAGAATCAATGCATTTTCACTATATAATCAATAGAGCCCCGCCCTAACACCAGAACCCCTGACCCTGGGGCCATGAAATTCACAATTTTGGAAAAGGCATCCTTATGCATCATAACCATGCACTTAGTTTGTTTAAATAGTCTCCAGTAGCAGAGAAGACGATTTTCAAAGAATCAATGCATTTTCACTATATAATCAATAGAGCCCCGCCCTAACACCAGAACCCCTGACCCTGGGGCCACGAAATTCACAATTTTGGAAAAGGCATCCTTATGCATCATAACCATGCACTTAGTTTGTTTAAATAATCTCCAGTAGCAGAGAAGAAGATTTTCAAAGAATCAATGCATTTTCACTATATAATCAAAAGAGCCCCGCCCTAACACCAGAACCCCTGACCCTGGGGCCATGAAATTCACAATTTTGGAAAAGGCATCCTTATGCATCATAACCATGCACTAAGTTTGTTTAAATAGTCTCCAGTAGCAGAGAAGAAGATTTTCAAAGAATCAATGCATTTTCACTATATAATCAATAGAGCCCCGCCCTAACACCAGAACCCCTGACCCTGGGGCCATGAAATTCACAATTTTTGAAAAGGCATCCTTATGCATCATAACCATGCACTTAGTTTGTTTAAATAATACCCAGGAGCAGAGAAGAAGATCTTCAAAGAATTAATGCATTTTCACTATATAATCAATAGAGCCCCGCCCTAACACCAGAACCCCTGACCCAGGGGCCATGGCTTTCACAATTCTGGAAGAGGCCCACCTCCTCATCATAACTATGTACTTAGTTTATCACCTTAATGCCCAGGAGCAGAGGAGAAGATTTTCAAAGAATTAATGCATTTTCAATATATAGTCGATAGAGCCCCGCCCTAACACCAGAACCCCTGACCCTGGGGTCATGAAATTCACAATTTTGGAAGAGGCACTCTTGCTCATCATAACTATGTACTTAGTTACTTTATTAAATATCCAGAAGCAGAGAAGATGATTTTCAAAGAATTAATGCATTTTCACTATATAATCAATAGAGCCCCGCCCTAACACCAGAACCCCTGACCCTGTGGCCATGAAATTCACAATTTTTGAAAAGGCACTTTTGCTCATCATAACTATGTACTTAGTTACTTTATTTAATACCCAGGAGCAAAGAAGAAGGTTTTCAAAGAATTAATGCATTTTCACTATATAATCAAAAGAGCCCCGCCCTAACACCAGAACCCCTGACCCTGGGGCCATGAATTTCACAATTTTGAAAGAGGCACTCTTGCTCATCATAACTATGTACTTAGTAACTTTATTTAATACCCAGGAGCAGAGAAGAAGACTTTCAAAGAAATAATGCACTTTCACTATATGATCTATATAGCCCCACCCTGGGGCCAGAACCCTGACCCTGGGGCCATGAATTTCACAATTTTGGTAGAGGGCTCAATGCTTATTACAATGATGCCAACAGTTTGACTGCTTGATGTTCAGGAGTAAAGAAGAAGATTTTTAAAGATTGCATTTTTTTTGGTGGTTTTAGCCCCACCCCTCAGGCCCAAGGGGGGCAGGGACCATGAAATTCACAATTTTTGTTCCCCTTCACCCATAAATGCTGTATACCAAATTTGGATGTAATTGGTCCAGTGGTTCCAGAGAAGAAGCTAAAAATGTTCAAAAGTTTACGACCGACGAACGACGTACGACGACGGACGAAAACGGATAGCAATAGGTCACCTGAGTTTACTCAGGTGACCTAATAAATCGAGTAATGACATTTATTTCTTTGAGTCGAAAAGTTAACAATGGTCAGATGTTTAGAATTGGAGTAACTACTTGTGTATTGAAAATACTATTCAAAATTTAGGTAGATGGAAGCCCATTGGTTTCAACCGTTATATTTGCAAAGATCCATTTATTGCTTCAATTGCTTGACATTCATGTCTTATTCTAGTATATATTTCTCTGATACATGTTATGATTTCCAAAACATTTAAACTTTCAAAATCCTTCACCAACTTCTTTAATTCATGTAGAAAAATCTTCAAATTACTTCCTTTTGTACGATTTAGCGTGTGTGGCTTTTGAACAAAGCAATTTCTGCAATCTTTTCATAGCGTAGAGTCCGTGTGGCGCAGTGGTTAGAATGTTTGTCTTGAGTTGCGGTGTACAGAGTTGATCCTTACGTCGCGGTTTCGAATCCACTTCGGGACGTGAAGACCCGTCCTTCCGAAGACACCGTATAAATCGACTTCCCGTGTCGCAGTAGGTGCTGGCACGAAAAAGATCACTCACTGCTCAAAGGCCCTAAGTGCCGAGTATAGGTCCAAATTTGCAGCCCTCCATCGGCAAGTGGTGGCGTCTTAATATGAGTGAAAAATTCTCGAGAGGGACGTTAAAACAAACAAACAAAACATAGCGTAGATTCAATTAAAGTGCTAAGCGCACGGCTTCCGTTTTAGACTTCGACTGACAGTAAACTAATGGATGGAGTCACATGACCCTGTCTAAAAATAAAAACGAAACCAAAATTCCCCCAACTTCTACCTTATTTTCAGAGAAAAATCTTATATAGTCTAGCTGAAAGAAAATGGTGAGTTTTTTTTTAATCTAGTTAACTTAAAATATTATACATATCGTCAGAAATTAAATTTGGTTCAGAAAATTTCTTTAAAAATGGAAGTATTCAGGTTTTATTTGATGTGGATAAAAAAACGTCCGGTGAGAAAACCCCCAGATGCTTGTGAATCTTGAAAATCTTTATATCATGGAGACGAAGCATTATTACTTGTCATATATCATATATCTATTTTTTATCGATGAAGTTTTGAAGTTTCTAATATCATGTAGCTGAAATTATCACGGAACAATAAAGTGAAATGTTCATTTCAAAACTACCCACCTTCTCACCTTTATCTAATCCCCGACCCCTAATTTAACCCTATACAGCCTTTGTATTCACATATGTCAACATGCCGGTATATCAACATGAGATCACCTAGAATAAACATCATCACATTTCAAAGAGCATTCTTAGTAAAAAAAAAAAAACTACCCTTGCTGTAGCAGAGGCACCAGCGTCGTTCTAATTAATTAGTATACAAGAGTTTTAGACATTTAAATGAATGTTAAATTTGTTTGAAATATTCCTCCAAAAATAAGACATATAGGGAAACATTTTTTTATGGCGAGGTACTTCATCTATGATAAGATTTGGAAAATCCTGACCCCCCCCCCCAACATATATAAAACACATTATACATCTTTAACTGAACATTATACATCTTTAACTGACAACAGAAACTTTTTGATAACAGAGTGCGATTTATTATTTGGAATGTTGAAAGAACTACTGAACTCTTTGTATGTTTTTTTCATCTTCAAAAGCCACCCTTCATGATTTTGACTTTAAAAAAATGCATGTTTATGGTATTCTGTTACTCTCTCAATTATTGGTGGCAGGTGATTCTGTACAGACTGTTACGACCGGATGAAGATCCGAGTGAAGGCCTCTCCGCAAAAGACCCGTTTTCTGACGTCAGTGTAGAAGACCACGTGACTTATGGATCTGGAGGATCTGAATCACGATTTATTTCGTGTTGCAAGTCATATTCAGCAATTGAACGATTTGTTGCTAAAACGTGGACATCCCCAATAAGGATTGTAGAAATTGATATCGACGAAGATGACCCAGACATAATTGAAATCATTGATCTGACAGATCCAGAAACTTTGGACGAGTACTTTGAAGAAGACAACTGGAAAGGGAGAAATTATGCATCCTGGGCTGAAGAAGTTTTAATTGTCGGCACAATTTCTCCAGATTGCATAACAGAACTAGAACTCTAAAGCGGGGAGTAAAATACGAAATTTGTCCGTCATATTTAACTTAAAATCGTTAATAAAATCGTTGAGGGTTTTACTTAATATTCTATCAACTCGTCACGAAAATATTAAAGCTGTGAAGGAGAAACTTCAGGAGTGTTGTGCAAAAACATATCCGAGATGTGGTCTTAATCAGATGTAGATACTTAAAACTCTAAGGAACATGCATTTGGGAAATTAGAGATAATATCTTTTACTAGAAATCAATAGCATTAAAACATACGGCTTTTCGAATCTTCATAAACCATTCTTCCGATAAATTAAAGACTAGGGTTTTTGACATCACAGACAACTGTTTCTTCCATAAAAATGAAACACTGAATATAAATGTAATCATTGAAGACCAGGTCTTCCAAAAATCTGTTGGAATTTTCATGGGTTCTAATTATGTCCGTTATTAGCAGATCTGTTTTTGCGGTGGCCTTTAATTCGACATTTAGATATATGGATGACGTTTTATCAATTAACAATATATCCCATTGATCTCGAAATAAAAGACACAACAGAGTCTAACACATTTCTTTCAGTTTTGGATGTTTTACTAGAAAAAGACTGATGGCAAACTAGCAAGTAAACTTAAATGTAATGACTTCAACTTTTCTATCGTCATCGTTCCTTATTTATGTGGCAATATACGTAACATTATCACCTGTATATGGGGTTTATATCATTCGCAAGAGGTCCTACCTCTCGATGATGACTAACATCTTTCATACGAATTGTTCATTCATACGAATTAGGCCATTATTTTCACACTGAATCGTCTACGAGTTTCTCTGTTTACCCGATCAGGACAGAGAGCATATGGCGGGAGTGACAGGACGACAGGAGATGCACACGTATCCTCCATGGCGCCTGATCCCACCTCTGTTTTCAGAGGTCGTAGTTTACTCTATTGACAATTTGTATTGTTTAATAGACTTTGAGCATGATAACTATTTTTTTCATTCAGATAAAGTAATTGTTTCTGTTGTTATATAAACAGCATAATTTCATTCAACAAAGATTTCTTCAATTTGATCTTGCCTATAATGAATGTCTGAGTATGTCAAACCCCATTCCTGCCCCCTTAATTTATTTGAGGAGTAACTAATTTTCATTCAGTGTTTGTAATTCTCACCTAAAACATATGTAGGATACTAACTAAAGGTTACATTCCTGTATTCCATATATTCAAAAAATGAGACAAACAAATGGACTCCGATCAGTGGGCTATTCTCATAATCAATTATGTGCAATAGTTCTAAAATGCATGCAAACGTGAAATAATTACACAGATACTCAATAAGTAAATAATCTTTATTTTAGACCCAAAACTAAACTAAAGTTAAAGCTTTAGCAATTGAGCGGTTGCTCATGCATCCAACAGGTCGACTTTTCTGAAAATGGTACTCACAATATGGGTAGATGGAAGTCTGATGCTGTCAAGCACAACATTTGCAAGTGTTTTATTTACTGTTTCTATTGATTGATGCATTATTCTTGAACTGATCGGTTGAGATTCATGTTTCACTTTATAAGCTTGATTACCACTCATATAAAATTCAAGTACTGTTCTGGTTAGTGAGATTTAGTATGCTACCCCAAGCATTAGTAGTTCAGATTAAGTCTGTTATTTCTACACCTTTTTAAAGTTCAAATTACGTCTGCTACCATACATAGCCTTTGACGGGCCAGTTTATGCATGCTGATGAAATGAATTTGGTCATTTATTTTGTATGTCTTTTTTTAATTGGACAACTTTTTATTAAATACTGTGAATCTGTTGTATTTGAAATGTATCCTCATCATTATGTGAAAAAAATGAAAATAACGAACAGTGGTCGATCTCAAAAAATCCATAAACAATACAGATATATGAAGAGCATAAAACACGGACCCCTGGAAATTTCAGAGGTGCCTAAGAAGGAGTAAGCATCCCCCATTGACCTGTCACGCCCGCATTGTATATTATTATATAACATATGTTTTCTTTTGATTTCACTCTCATCGTTAAAGATTACATGTATGTGTTCCTTGGATAGCAAAATCCAATTGTCTTTGGATCCTATTACAAAATATTGTTAATTCCATCTTCACTTTTGTTTGCTTATTTTTCTAAAATATGTGTCATTCATATCAGACCGAGGTCTCGCTTCCACTTTTTAAGAAATTTACTTATTTGTATATGTTAGCAACTGTTTCCATCTTTTGTTTTTGAATGAAATAAACATATAGTTTTTTTTATATAAATTATTGTGTCAAAATTTAGGAGATCCCACTGCTTGTGCGATGATATATTGTAGTTGCTTATTAATCCTTTGTATGTGATATACCTATTAATGATGTAGATAAAAAATACATTGTTTCACATCATAAAATTTAAAAAATAGCAAAGGGTACATATATACGTTCAATAATGTCATACCTTTTCAATTCAATTTTAGGTGACATAAGCATGAAATACACTGCCAATGAAAGATAACCCAAAAATTTCAGACTGATTACAAGAATTGTCAATGATAATTAACTTTTCTAATCATTCAAACAAGAAGTCGCAATTATAAATTTAGTATGGTACTGTAAAAGATGATCAGTCTTTACTTTTCGCTTTCATCCCTCATTTTTTTTTTTTCAAAACAAAGACTGACCATAAAACAAAGATTCTAAATTATTATTCAAAGCAAAGATTGATCATAAAACAAAGATTCTAAATTATTATTCGAAGCAAAGATTGATCATAAAACAAAGATTCTAAATAATTATTCAAAGCAAAGAATGATCATAAAACAAAGATTATAAATTATTATTCGAAGCAAAGATTGATCATAAAACAAAGATTCTAAATTATTATAACTTCATCTTTGAACATGTAGCGGTAATGTGCAGAGCTTTTTGCGATCCAGGACGTAGTTAAATTCTTTATTCTCAACACATTATGCTGAGATTTTGTAGGTTAGTCAGTTTAATGCAACAACAAGATGCATGCCACGAAATCCCCATCCTCCTAGTGCGCTGGAAAGCAGATATCATCAGTTTGGATAGCTGGTATCTGCAGGAATAACCATATTACTCAATTCTGGGGAACCATAACGTCCAAGAAACACGATACAGAACTCTCCCGGCCTGGTACATACATATCCTTAACACCAACCATTAGAAATCTGTTTTAGAACCTCTCTCGTACAAAGAAGATTTCTGTATATATAATCAATACAGCAAGAACATTAGAGGGTAAAAGTCCCATTCATTATGACACTTATTCAGTTTCTTTTTCAATTCGGATCTTTTCATGAATCGTTGATCAAAATCAGGTGACACAGAGAAAACAATTGTATGAAAGTGAAACATTGGTGGAAAAGGTATATAGTATTCATTTCAATTTTGAAGGGAATCGTGTCTGTATAATTCTCTGAAATCCATGTCGGGTGCATCAGAAAAACTTATTGGGGATAAGGGAAAGGGAGATACAGTCAGTAACTGCCATAAGTACATTAATTGATTGATCGTATGTTGTTTTACGTCCCATTCAAGTATTTGTCACTCATATAGAAACGTCCCCATAATCCGGCGAAGGGCTTCAAATTTAGACCTTTACTCGGCACTCAGGGCCATTGAACTGTGAGGGGTCTTTATCGTTTGCCGTAACAAGGGGCCTCAGTTTTTAAGGTCGAGAGCTTGGCGAAGGAACAGTTGCTACCTATATCTTTATCGACTTAGGTCAGTCGCGGTCGCGGTCGAGATTCGAACTCACGACCTTCCGATCACGACAAGTACATGTACATTAAAAATATAAGTATAAAACAGTGTAAAACAGGAAAATAATATTGTAATTATGTTAATCAAGTTCTAGAAACTATAAATCAGCTTTTATCTTAAAAATCAAACTATTTTTTTACTTTAAAGTTCCTGTTTTGGGGTATATTTATGCAAATCTTAAGGTACATTTTTGTTTTATCATTTTTTGGGTTGTTTTCTATAGAATATATATCAAATAGTATATAAGTCGAAGAACTATTTTTAACACGCATTTGTGAACAATTCAAGAAGATTTTTTTAGATCATCATTTTACAATTTATAGAAGAAGAAACACAATGTATTTTTCTGTAATATTTCAACCATCAAATTTACCAAAGCACATAAATGAGACTATAGAAATTATACCTACCATATGCTTGTGACCCCTCAAAATAACGTCCGATGACCTTTTTTCTTTTTGCTTGTCAAGGAATTTTCGATAGTTGATAGTGCCCCCCACTAAAATGTATGGTTTGTGCCCCCCCCCCCCAACTGAAATATTTCTACGGGCCTGAAATGCAAGGTGTAAACTTTTCATGATTGTTATGTTTGATAATGAGAGATCCTTTTTGTGGTGTTTACACGAGATTCCTAATGTCGACTGTCATTGAACACAAAGGTATGCTAGTTTCTTTGTTTACGAGTAAGTATTACATATACATTACTATTTTGGATAGGAAAAGGAAAGATGCCAAATTGGGCTAAGATATATGAAGTTTTGGAATATTTATTTCTTTTTTTTCCAATCAAGGTATCAAACGGTATCAATATGTTTAAGCACAGGTTACCTTTCTCGCCACTATCCACCTTTATGAGCATCTTTGATTTTGTTTTCTTTTAGCATCAATGCACTGTGCAATTTGTTTATGTTTGACAGTAGGAGAAATTAAAAATGTTTCTAAAAAATCATCTTTGATAACTTGGCTTACCGAGTCTTGGAGCTATTGATATAAAAGTCAAAGCATTTATTTCTACCTCTTGAGCAGCACCGACAAGAAGTAACCTTGGTAAGGGCCCTGTCACACCAAGCTGCGTCCAGACGGAGTTATTACGGTGTTGTTAATTTTTTGAAATCGCAGTGGAATCGCAGGGAAATTTCACAAAGGACAAGATAGGCTAAGACCCCTTTTTGGCCCCCTGGTTTGGGGTGTCTTTTAGAATGATGCAACGGTTTATCAATAAAACCCTGTTGTCACCCCTGCCACAAAATGAGTATTTGTTCTAAGTTATGGGATACACAGAGGTCACAGGAAGGTCAGAAAATATGTCAATTTCCGAATTCTCTCATTTTTATGTAAATTTTCATCGATTTTACATTACATTTAGTTTCAGAAAACATAGAGCACAAGCTTGCCTATCTACCAAATTTATATATTTCACACACTAGTATCAGATGCATCATTTATATAAAAATCTCAGATAGGCAAGCTTGTGCTCTATGTTTCCCGAAGTGAAAAGTATCTCAAATTTGACGAAATTTCATCAGAATTGAGGAAATTTGGGAAAATGTTCTACTTCTGCACCCTCTTGTGGACTCGATGTAAGCTTTGAATCAAAATAAGTGCTGGTTTTGAAACAAGCATTATTTTAAAGTTCTTAACGACAAACTATCACAATTTTAACTGTGTTCTGATTTTTACATCAAAGAAGGGGCCAGAGTCGGCCGTAACCATACCTTGTCCTTTCTGTAAAATTTTCACAATGTGAAGATATCACGGCGTCCCTACAGCATCCCACGCGTTTCTACGGCGTTCTCGCGGCGTGCTACTGCGTTCCCACGGAGATCTCTTCGCGATTGACTGCGCTTCTGCGGAGCTTTCACGGTGTGTTAGGAGTTGTCACCTCGCGTTCACGGCCCTCTCACTGCGCTGGCTGCGTTCACAATACGTTCGCAATACGTTCACAATGCGTTCTTCACCATGGATATATATTCAGAAGGAGTGTAACAATTTTTTTTAAAAGATTCAAGTTACATGATGAAAAGTTACATGATAGAAATGATCTATTTGAATAATTTAGTACTAAATTATTGATAGTTTTATTATTAAAACCCTTCTTCTTTCAATTATATCAATTCAGATGTGTTTTTATTTTGTCTTTGATTTTATTATGAATGTAAAAAAATAAACACACTGAAAAGTTGTTATAAAATTTAAGTAGTTCCACCGCAACTCCTCTGAAACAAAGAACAAGTTCTGGTGTAATTTTTACTTCCCAATTCTACTCCCATGCTCCTCGTCAGGAGTGCAAGAAATACGTTGGAGTTATTGCTGATCAAATATTAGGCCATTGCTCTTGTTTTTTGAGCTGGCTGACAACGCTCTAACAACACCGTGAAAGCGCATTGTGATCGCCGATGGACGCGGTAGAAACGCCAAGGGAGCGCAATATTCGCATTGACAACTCCTTTTTGTCGCTGTGTAATCGCAGTCAAAAATCACAAAACGCTTAATCTCATTAGAAGCGCCGTGAAAGCGCAACAGAAACGCAGTGATATCTCCAAGGACTCCGCGAGGTCTCCGTGGAAGCGCAGTCTACTATCACTGCGTTCATGCTGCGATCATGTGCGTCTTCACGGCGTGCGTACGGAGCTCCCACTGCGTTGTTGGAGATCTCACCGCGATCATACTACGTTTCTACTGCGTTCTTATCAGACCGCGATAACACGGCGCGTACTTTGTGCATGCCCAAAGTGCGCGCCGTCCCCTGGCGTTCTTGGAGACCCTACGCGACCCTACCGCGTTCAGTGGAGATCTCGCCGCGTTGTCACGGCGCTGTAGGAGACTCTACTGCGCTCACCTCGGCGTTTTGCATTTTTTATAGACGCCGTGCGATTTAAAAAATCGTAAATTTTTCATAAACAGAACCATTTCGGTTTTATACAAAACGAGGATATGAAAGCCGTAATTTCATCCTCAAAAGTATGAATATATAGATGCTCTTGTATATATGTGTCTTATAAGAAGCTTTCGATTTAATTTTGTACATTTCTTTATTGCATAAAGAAATGCTTGTATGAATGTTGACAGCTAAGGGTGTAGAGTGCAACAATTTTTTTTTCAAGGACATAACTACAGCAAACTTGTTTATATTGCAAATAAGATGCATATCATTTTTTTATAATCATCTAATCATCATTTTTTTAAGCATTTGGGCATAAAAATTCGTGTTACAAAAATCGCATAATGTGATAGTTTTCTTAAGTTTGCTTTTCCCAGTAGTCCTTTCAGGTCTAATTAAAGTAAATTAATACAATTCTTTGAATATACGCCAAGTGAATAATATTTATCTTTATTCACCAAAATTCTGCGCATTTGTCCATTTCTTTGTGAAACTTTCTTTGCATCGGAAAGCTCGTTTGGTTTTAAATATGTTCAATAAAGACTACCTTTTCAACAAAGCAGAATATCCATCTATTTGTCCTTGTGTGCAAAAATAAATTTACTACGTAAATATTGCGACTGGATATTAAGCACTGTGAGAATGTCATGCTAGATATAAGGTCCAAATGTTGCTCACTTACAAATATGGCTTCAAAGAAGCTCGTTTCCTAACAGAGAAATAGAATGCTAAAAAGAGTATGTTTTAACTACTGTAATTGGAGAACATTTGTGTGCTTCTCTGAGCGAAAAGTCAGAAGAAACCAAAGATCAACTGATATGGGTTTTAAAAAAAATCCCACAGAATTTTACAACTGAAACTGATTAGAAAACATCACAATGCACCAAAAAATTCTTATTCATCTATGGGCGGCCCATGCACAATAGAATACAGTGTTTAGACATGACAAGAAATGTACATACATATGTAGGAACTAATTATTTGCTTTTGCTTATATAAGTAAAAAGATTTGCATCTATCCGAAACTATGAGCAATTTACACATGTGAGTACATCTGTATATGAGCAAATGCCTTTATATTCCGAGACCTCATTATGTGAGTATATCATAAAATTATTATGAACAGTTATGTTGAATTCATGCTAAAAGTGAACATAAATGAACATTGAGAAAGAACTATATATAATAAGTGTCTCAAATGCCCCCCTAAAATGAATATCTCTATTTTACTTCACATAAAGGTTTACTTTGCATGGCTATACACGTGCAATTTATTCGTGATTTTAAATTTGATCAAAATGCCATTGATTTTGAAATATGACATAAAATTCACCTTTTCCCTCCATTTTGGCATATTTTGTATGGGACTGTTTATTTTCAGACACTTTTTCTTCCAGAAAATATTAAGCGCAGACCAGAGTAAACTCTATATTTTCACCAAAGATGTATTTATCCAAGACTAATTACTGACAGAAAAATTGTGCTTGTTGCAAATCTGAGCTCTATGATTCCCATCGGAAAAATGTCCAGAAAAAGTTTTGTCTTAGTTTGATTAAATTGCAAAATTAACATCATTTCTGACGTCATTTACAGCCATTAAGTGTATAAAAATGAGACAAATGTATTAAAAATATCTCAAAAATAATTTTTTCTACAAAATGAAACAACAGTTTAACATTCCTGAATCACATTTAAAAATGTTGATTTGTGGGGGTCAAAATTGACTCTAATCAGATATAGTCCTTAGTATTGTTGTTTTTATTGTTTGTCTTATTTTCTAATTTTTTAAGGTAAGTGAATGACGTTTGAACAAAAATTTTTACTTTTCCTTAATACTTATAGAAAATGGTCTCAATTACATTGAAATAAGCAAAACACTTACAATGTAAGTAATATGCACAAGTGGATGATCGAAGCTTATATGAATCCGTAATAATTAATAAGGAAGTCGTGATTAAGAGAATGGTGGTTAAAGGGACCTGTGATCGCAGAAGTCTTTGCCGTCAATATAAAGATGTCACAATTCTTTCCGGTCCGCCGAGCCTTATATTCTATGACAGCCCCGTATTATCTCTCACAAGACCGTGTTCCACAGGCCCAAAAACGTTCGTGAAATAAGTTCTATGGGCATTTATTTCGATAAATATTTTTTTCTAAATTTTGTATTTGAGAATTTTAAAACGAAAAGTTGCTGTAACATATATAAAAGTTTTTGGGTCAGTCTTCTTTATTTATAATTATTGCACAAAGCAAACACAGGGAAAAATTTAGCGAACACAAAACAATTATGGAATTCTTTTTCGGACTGGTTGTTTTTCTGAGTTACATGTATTACACGGATGCCCATGGAAGAATGATAGATCCACCCATGAGATCTTCAATGTGGCGGGTTGGATTTGAAACACCCAAAAATTATAACGACAATGAACTGAATTGTGGAGGATTTGTGGTAAGTTTCAAATTTAGTCTAACCTTGCGAATATGCTCTTTAAAACCTAGAATAATTATTTGCTTAATGTAGAAATTAATACAAGTTAGGTATATTCGGTATTTAATTTTCTCTATTTTTTCTAGCCTACATTTAAAGCGTAAAGAAAAATCAAACGATATTAAAATTGTTGCTATGTTTCTATGGTAATGCATTGTCAATATTTTTGAAAACATTAACTGCTCGAGATCCAGAAAATTGTAATTCAGAATTATATCAGAATCCATTTAAAAAAAACAAAACTGTATTATTATGTGGATATATAAACGATATTGAAATTGTTCCTATTTTTCTATGGTAAAGCATGGTCAATATTTTAAAAAAAAAGTCATTTGTTTGAGATTCAGAAATTTTAAATCAGAATTATATTAGAATTTGTATAAAAAGCGTTTCTTTGTGTTTCTTACGATGTACATGTACAAATAAAACACTCGAGCCAATGATGGCACACTTTTAAGTGAGAATCGGAAACGATATGCCCAGCCAAAGCAGGTAAATTATTTTCCAGGACAGGTTTATGAGGTTTCGCTATAAACGAACAATACGCATAGCTGATTCCTTTATTTCCTCAGAAAATTTAACCATCTTACCTTGTATTTCTATAAATGTACTACTATTATTTGTTTGAATAAAATTATTTTATTTATCGAAAATATATTCTTTAATACAGCATAATATAATCAGTTAATAAGTTTTATCATTAAATACAGTTCTTTTTCAAATCTTTGAGTATAAAACAAACCTTTGCCTGAATTATTTTGCAAAATAAAACCATAGCATGTCTCTAGACAAATTGCAACAATCAATTATTCATGGATTTCGAAATGAAAATGTTTTAACTCTTTTTATCCCATCTAAATCATTTACCCTAGTGACATTTGCAGTTTCGTGTTAAAAAAAATTCTAAAAAGTCTTCATATAAGCTTTATATATTTGAATAAAATGAAGAAAAAGACTGACGCACTGTGCATTCTTCTTTCTTTTAGCAGTAAGATGAACGGCTGCAAGGTGTGTTGAACAAAGTTTGAACAGTTCAATACTTTAAATTATATAACTCTGTCAATTTATGACATATAGAAATGTTAAATTAAATTAACCTCCATAAATTTCCTCTTCATAAAGTACATGCAATGTGGTTTCATGGGAACATTCATTGAACACTAAAAGATGACATTTATATACTTTGCACGTCAAATTTTAATTAGACCACCTTGTCCAATTAACATTGTAAACATTAACATAAAAAGGATCTATATTTACACGCAATGTGTCGTTACTATATTCATGTACAATGAGCGATGGTAATTATGCTTTCGTTACTGTCATGAACTACATGAGGTTCTGTGATCAGCGGTAGGCGTACATCAAATGTGTGGCGAAATGGCGATCTTCGACAGGGCAAACCTTTTTAGGTGACACGATATGGGATTGCAGTACATTGTCTGAAAAGAATATTGATTAACTTCGGAAAGTTATATTCAGTTTAAAAAGGAGAGAGAGATTTTGGCGATTTTCCCCGAGATGTACAACATCAGAGTCTATGAAATGCTTGGAAATCTAATGCAGGGTCTTTCAGCTCCCTCAAACCTGCAGAATTAATGAATGAATAAACACATAAAAGAACATGTAAATAAATAAATAAATAAATATATTCAAAATGATATCATTTTTTTAAAATCACATTATGTAAATAAATAAATAAATAAACTCATGATCTCATATTTTTTTCTCATATTTTTAAAATCACAGAAATGCAATGCAATTCAGCTCCTGTACCTACCCTCTTTATCAACCAATTAGGTTTTTTTTTTTCTATGATATTACCAAAAGCAATCCACCAATTAGGTTTTTTTTCTATGATATCACCAAAAGTAATCCACCAATTAGGTTTTTTTCTGTGATATTACCAAAAGTAATCCACCAATTAGGTTTTTTTTCTATGATATTACCAAAAGTAATCCACCAATTAGGTTTTTTTTCTATGATATTACCAAAAGTAACCCAGGTTGGTTTATGATACGATTCGAAAATATTTATTCTGAAGTTTCAGTACCTGTAATATATAATCGTTTGGCTTATGACACACTTTTTCTCCCACAAAACTATGAGATATAGGCTCACGCGCAAGTCTCCAGTGTACCATGATCGCGGTCGAAATACATTTTATAGGTAAATAGATTTACTTTTCCACTCAAACGCGATCCTCTTGAACAATGATGTTCAAACTGTTAACTTAAAAAAATAAGATAACCATTTATACGTGATGTGAAAGCATTTTATGTCAACAGCATTTCAACTCGTAATAATAATGGGTTTTCCGTATACTTTGTTTTGCAATTAAAAAGATAACGAACATTTTCTAAATTTTTTTTTTAGCTTAAATCTGTTTTTCCATTGAGGCAAACACTGCAATGTTTTAGTGCATATGTGGGTGGGTTTTTTTTTGGGGGGGGGGTTGTTTGTTTGTTTTGTTTTGTTTTTTTGTTGTTTTTGTTTTGTTTTGTTTTGTTTTTCTTGTTTACTTATTGACTGGCCATTGGCATTAGGCTACTAAATTTCAGCATGGGTTACATGTATTTCTGTAAGAACAGACTGTTACGCTTGATCATTAATTCAACAAACATAAAAACGCCTATACAATCATGAAAGAAATTTAATGAATTTATGCTATGTAGGGTTAAAAACAACGTAGTATAGTGTTTGCCTTAAATCAATCAAATTAGACAATTCAGATCAAGGTTTTGGTTACAGGGAACATTATTAATTTTACATATACATTAGGAATTCCAATGAGAAAGGTCGTCATCAATTTTGATAATATTTTTTAAAAAACCTCTTAAGAGATGTGGATGGAATGTGTTTAACTTTTTTTGATTTAAAAGAAAACTATTTGAATGCATTCAACGCAGTGTGTGTTGCACGAGCTTGGTTCAGTGTGTCAATCGACAACGCCACATAATTAAATACGTTTCTACTTAAAATGCAGATTAAATTGTTGTGTCTCTCTTGTCTGTGTAAAAACTGAGCAGATCCTTGTTCATGTTAATTACTCTTTAATTATATATTATATTACTAGTACTTCTTTAAAATACCCTATTGAAACTTAAAAAATTGCCTGAAAACTTTTTTACAAATATGGAAAATATTACAGTTAAACTTCGTTATCTAATATCTCGAATACCATGGTTAAGTCGAAATGAGTTGGGAGTCCCAACCACTTTTTAAAAAATGAATTTCAACCTCATTATCTCGAATCCTTAAATCGCGGTGCCGTTTAGTTCGAGATAACAAAGTTTGACTGTATTGCAAAACTGATCTTCATACATCTTTTTTGTTTTATATTCCATGGTTTATATATACGAGGGGTGATAAAAAAAATTCGATAACTATCTCTTATTTACAAAATTCACTATTCAGATCAGAATGAAATTTGGCACACATATAGTCATATACGTTCTATAAATAGCAGGTGTTACGTAATGTTTTGTTCCATGTTTGTGACGTCTCAGTGTGAAAAGGACGTCAATATGTAGATGACTTGCAACAAAAAATGGCTGACTCAGTCGTACCTGAGCAACGAAAGGCTGTAAATTTAAACGTTTATCTTGAAAATTCTTTTGCAGTTGCATATAATAATTTGTACAAGGTTTATGAAATTCAATCATTAATTAGACTGATTGTCTTAGAGAAGGAAGGGAAATGGTCAAAAATGATGTTTGTTCTTATGCCCAGTGAAAGTAAGCTGGGGACGAGATGTGTCATTAGTTGAACAATTTGTTATGAAAGATCGCCAAGTTACAGTTAGAAATATAGTTGAATATTTTAAGAATATCATAACTATTAAATCCCTAAAATACCGTTTACTTTAGACTTTAAACATATCAGATATGATAAAAAGAAAGCGCCCATACTTTATCCACGATGGAAAAACGACGCACCCAAGACAGAGAAGTCGGGTTGTGAAGGTCACCATGCATGCTCATTCTGGGAAAAGATATCCTTATCAACCCATCTTATTGCAGAGATTTGGTCATTTATGACAAATGGACAATTCTTGCTTTAAAATAACTTGCATGGTAAGAAATATAAGACCCGGAAAAATCTTTTAGCTTCTGTGAAAAGAATGCTACGGAGCATTTCACGTGACCGTCTGGATCACGTGTTTGGGGCCTGGGCAGAACGGTGGCAAATGTGTATTAAAATCGGAAGGGAATACTTTAAAAACATGATAAACACCGAAATCTAATTTTATTTCTTTTATGGAAGTTATTCAATTAGTTTGCGAACTTTTTGATCACCCCTCGTACATGTAAACATAATAGAATATACCAAGTTGAAAGCTGTAAGTCTTGCAGACAGAAAAACGAACAAAATTCTTCCATTTCCTTGAGACATAAAGACATAAAAAAAAAAAACAAACATCATCCCATTTTTTTTATATTTTGAGAACCTCGTAACATTCTGAGTTTGCAGGCTGTGTGTGAATTAAAATTCCATTTCATGCGCGGATCTAGAGGGGGGGGTCAGGGGTCCGGACCCCCCTGGAATTTGCAGAGTTATAAAATGTATATACGAAACCAACTGACCTTTACCCCCCTCCCTCGAAAACGCGGATCTGTGTTAAGTTGGTATGAAAAGACATAGGTATGAAGCTTTAGAAGTCAACGACTACCCCACCCCACCCCCCACCCCCACCCATGAAATAGGTTTTTCACTTTTGGGAAAGTTGAGTTTTTTTCTATGTTATTTATTTATTTATTTTTTTTTTTTTTTTGCTTGTGAAGAAATTTGTGGGTTTTAATTTTTTTTTTTTTTTTGGCTGGGGTGGACCCCCCTGGAAAAAATTCCTGGATCCGCGCCTGCATTTATTGTATAAATAACAAGTGTGTATTTTTTGTATTTTCATCCATTTGAAATTTTTTAAAAATTTAATATAATTCTGCAAATTCTACTTTAAATGATTTTCACGTTGCTTCTCTTCACTATAACGCATCCTTCAAATGACAACTTTTTACAAGTCCAAAGCCATAACATAACATGTTTGTGTTACAAATTGCATTCCAAGTTCTCCGTTATGCACTCTTGGGTCATTTCATATTTAATAAACCTGAAAATGACATGATGGAATCTAATCAATTTAGGTCTTTAGGAGCCAAGGTAAATGAATTTGATTTATTGAAGGAAATATGCCAAAATGACGCTTTCCTCATAATGATAGTGATCAAGCTTTCATGTATGCGATTAATTAAAGCGATACTTTGATATTTAACCATTTTATTTTATGCCATGCATGCATTTATAATTTTAAAAAAGATGGTGCATTTGAATCAAATATAATACGTAGTACTAGTACACGACATTAAGAACAGTCATTTTATGTATATATTTAAAAAAAAAATTTATCTATTTATTTTTATTGATTTATTAATAAATCAATTAATTCATTTATTTATTTTACATTTTTTGTTGTTGGATATGGAATTTATATCACGAGTTGGACAGGATTTTTTTCCCTGTCTTTTGGAGCAGAAACAGAATATGAAAATCCTATCGCACCGATACTTGAAGAGTTTGCAATTAAAAATATTGAAATAAGTGCAGGAAAGGGAAAGAAAAAAGCAAATTAAGCTTTGTATGGCTTTAAATTCTTTTCCTTTTAAGTGATGCAGCATTCCCATTTTTAAAGTGAAGCGTTTTAATGAGTGAAATTGTTAATTACGATATAATGATAATATGATTTTGATGGAGGATATAAAGCATATATGTCGACATTATATATTGGCATTAAATCACGAAAAAATAACAGTTGAGTAAGGAAAAGGATGTCTTTTCCCTATGAGATGATAACTTCGGTTCCGCAATCTGTCATGTTCTTATATTTTATTATTTTACATTTGTCAGTACAGAATTATAAATAGAATATTTATCATTATCAGTTATGCCTTTACATATTAGATTAAAAAATAACGACCATATAAATATTCACAACAGAACTGCTTTTATGGACATACATGTAACACATGAAAATAGATTAATTTATTACATTGTTTTCGTTCGAAATACCGGGGTATTACATGTAGGTTAATGATTCCGTGCACAGTCTTTGCCCTATCCCTTAAAAAAACATATATAACATACTTACTTTCAGTATTCTGTAGTGATACATATATCAAAGAATTATTAGACACAATTACATGTAGTTTGAAATATAACATATACTGGTAAATAAAAAATAGAATAGCTAAAGAATAAATTTTTGCTTAGCAAGATGAACTCATTTCGTGTCCACAGAATGCATACCTTTACCACAAACGTTAAAGCTTAACCAAAGATACATTAAAGCGCAATCAATATGCAAGCTTTATCAGATCTAGAGTGTGTTCTGTGGTTTGGTGGTTGATGTACTTGATGAGTAGGCACAATTTTACGTATCGTACAACAATAGTAAGTGTGGCCATCTTGAATAATAATTGCGCTTCCGGTTTGAATTTTGTTGCCTTTCAGAGAAAACGAATAACATATAAAGGTATTCAATTTATAATGAAGGGGTTTTGAACAATTTTGAATCATCCTAAACTAGTTAAAAAGCATTGTTAGATAACAATGAAAGTGAAATGAACCAATTCTCATGACAGATAACATGTAAGAAGCCAGTCACCTTAAAAGTTTTTGAAGTGATAGCCCTTGATGAAGAAAAGAATTTTTTTTTTTTTTTTAAATATCAATGGTGAATTATTTATTTTATTTTAATAATAAAGAGAGAGTTTATGCATATAGTCACCAAGAGATTTGTTTGAAAAATTACTTTTGCAATATCTTGATAATACATGCGCTGCCCATAGACTTCAATGTTAATTTCAAGGTACAATTAATTGTACAATAATCAAAATTCGATAAATTCCTTTGGTGGAGTATTTTTGCTACCATGATTTAAAAATCGGACCATTCATTTATTAGGTACAAAAAATGGTCATTATACTTTGAATACCTTAATTAATAATCAATTAAGAGTTAAGAAAATTAAAAAAAATAGGAATTCATCATTCAAAAGCAGATTAAAGGTTGCTAACTAATACATGCATTATTTAAAGTTGATAATAACAGCTAATGAAGACAAGTTAAAAAAAATCGAGTGTTATTAAGAATTGCTTTATCTGAGCTAGGATATTCTTCTGCACGTCAACATAACTTTAATTTTACCAACAATCAAAAAAGAATATAAACAATCGTTCAAACTGCTCCATTCTAAATAGACTCAAAATAATCTTAATTTTGTTGATAGTGTAGCCCTCTGTTTTATCAATCATTGTATATGTAATTGATTTTCAATTTTCATAAATCTATAAAGGGGAAAACATTATCACAGCGAATAAATACATTTTTAGAAAAAAATATAGAACTGGACGATAAAACATAAGGGATGTTCAATTTCTTCACACGTGGAGAGGTGACGATTCTTTTGACAAAGAAAGTAAAACAAGCACCCTTTCATTTACAACCATTTTGATATTGTTCTAAAAATCATTACAATCCGCTGGATTCATGTTGTTTTTTTTATATCTTAGTTCAATGTCTATCTAAATATTTTTTGTGTGTGTGTTTGGAATGCTGTCTTTTTTATTATTATTATTATTTTGCATTCCTCGCATGGTTTTTTAATCACAGTTTTAGTTCTTGAAGTACTTTGATGCTTTGTTCCTAGGAACAAAAACGGAAAGAAAAATTGCGTCTTCATGAATATATTTCATATATTTTGTTTGAAATTTGAAATAAAGTCCTGACTCCTAATGCTACCTATCTTAATTACTACATTTTTTACTCCTAGGAAATGATGGAAAAGGCAAATGGTAAATGTGGAATATGTGGTGACCCGTATCTTGGACCTCGCGAAAATGAAGCTGGCGGGAAATACGCTCTTGGAATAATTACCAAGCAATACAAAGTGGGTTCAGTAATTAACGTCACCATAGAACTAACGACAAATCATAGAGGTTATTTCGAATTTCGCCTCTGTCCACAGAATGACCCCTACACCCCCATCACCGAAGCCTGTTTAGATAAACATGTGTTAAATATAATTGGATATGGAAAGCGATTTATGCTTTATGACGAAAAAACGGTCATGGTGGATTTGCAGCTTATGCTTCCCCCGCATTTGAGGTGCTCACAATGCGTGTTACAGTGGAAATGGAGAGCAGGTAATTTTATTTCAAATTAATTTCAAGGCTTTTTCCCCACACACATTCAATAAAAATAATTATTGTATTATGAAAATTCAAATAATTGTTCTCGGTTCAATTAAAAAAAAATATATGCATATTCTGCTTATGTAATTCAAATGTAGTTTAAAACATATTTTTTGTCGCAGCACAAAATAGAGGGATTGACAAACGTACAGGAAAAGAGTGCTTTGGATGTGGACCTCAAGAATATTTCGTGAACTGTGCAGATATTGCCATTGGAGATAAGGCTATTAACCGAATTCCCAAACCAGCAGCAAAAAGAGCACAAGTTACCATGAAACCAAAGGTACCTAAATTGACGGTAACAAGGACCAAAATCACGAAACAACAAATTCCCAAAGTTGCTCAAACACCATACACTGATGTTGCACAACAGTATCAACCGCATCAATATAACGAAGCTGTTTTTAATAATGAAAATTTTCAAGAATCCCTTGCCGATCGAGTGTTTTTAGATCTCATAGGCCAAAGCACATTATTCATTGACCCATCGCCGCATTTTGAGGCGATTAATAACAGGCAACCAGCGCAAAACCAGTTCAATGCACAGGCATCTACAAATCAGAACTTTGGACCTGCATACAATCCATTTTTTAATGATTTTATTGCTCCAAATGAGCCTTCTCTGCTTGATTTCAATTCTGCTGGGATTTCTAGGCAACCAGGGCCTTCAACTTCACACGCCGCTGCAGCTGGACAATATTACACAGCGCAGTCTGTTATGGCTACCGCCGCCATCTTGTCAACTCTAGCAGGTGGTGAGACCGGTGGTGATAATGCTTACATAGAATGTCCAGAAAGTGCACAACCGACCTGTAAAGGAAATACTATGTGGGGAGAAGGACGCTCAAATGATCGTTTTTGTTCATCTATCTGTCCACAAGGACATTGTCCCATGTCAATGTGTATGTGTACTTGTCCTGCAAGAAAACGTATATTTGTCAAAGGAAATACGTCACCCTCTAACACAGGTCAAAGATGCTTTGCAATTGACGCGTGGGATCAACACACAAATAACTTATGTGTAAGGAACTGTAAACCAAACCAAATGGATTTCTGTCCCTCCGACATTTGCACGTGTGAGATGTGGGGGATTTAGCGACAGGCAGCACTGATCGATCAAACATTACTTACAAATGATGAAATATGAAGTAATTTATCCGAAAGCCGTGAAGGTGATGTATAACATGTCGGTTTTTACAGCGTTTGCATTGCCTTTGTGCTTTCTATAGAAGAAATCCATTCCATGAAGAGATCTATTAATATAATTAAATAATGACTGCTTTTATAGGAGAAACATCTGCATGTACTATAACCTCTAAATAATGTTCTGAAAAAGCCTTTGATTTTTTTTATCCGATAACCCGGTTGATACTTACAAGTCAACACTTTAATGTATTTAAGAATGATTATTGATATTGATTGTTTACTCTGTCTTACTTTTTTCAAAATTATTTATTATTGCCAGTTTGAAAAAGCATATGTCCTCATATAAAATTCAAATATCTATGTGCAATGTGAGAACTTGTCAAATTAACTAAATAAAACGCTTACATTCCTTTTTTGGAATGTAAATTATATTTATAATCAAACGCTTCTATGTGTTCTTCTTAAAAGAATACGAATGATATGAACAAGGTTTATGAATTAGAAACAGCTTCAAGAAATCTTCAAAGGATTTATTTTCTTACTTTAGGTTTTCACTAAACACACCTTAAAAAGCCATGAATCAGAATTATTTCAATATTACGGATATACACACCAAACTGAAACATAACAATTTTAATTCAATATGATTTGTCTGCGGTGGAAATTTTCTACATCATTTAGTGCTTATAGAAGTTATTATCGAGACCTTTCCTACATTAACGTTTTGGCCAAAGGAAACGTTCAGAGGAAGACCTCACAGCTTCAGTCTGACCTTTGAACTTTTTCGGAATTATTGCCTTATCGCCCTTCTTCCTTATGGAGTCAACCTTAGGCCGGACAGATCTTAGAGATGAGGTTCTGGATGTAACTGAGGACCTTTTCGGGATAAGTTTGACTTCAGCTTCCGATATATTTTCTACACTTTCACATTTAGGTTCAACGGTCTGCTTCTCTGGCTCTTTCTCTGTTTCCTTTAGTTTAACTTCGATAACATGGGAAGCCTGCAATATTAAACGTTTACCACATATCTATTTTAGTTCCGCACAAGAAAATCCAGTGAAAAAATAAACGAGATTAACCTAACAACTACAGCTGTTCTAACGTCTAAGACATTTTGAATACTCTTTCAACCAATGGTCAACTGAAATACAACAATCACTCCTTTTTTCAAAATATAGGAGGAAAGAAAGTTTAACAAACCCATTGATAAAGCTTTGCTGCCTCGTTGCTGGCTTCCCGAACTGCTTTCAGATCTAACGGTTTCAGTAACTGGTCAGCAAATTCTGCTCTACCTCGAGGCACAGACTCCGTGTCACAGTGGAGCACCAATGACTGAAGACTATCTCGTCCTGACTTCGTTAGCTGTGTCTGTAGGTACTCCCACTTCTGTAAATGATCATTGAAAGGATACATGTACGTACGTTCAAGAAATACGAAACCTAACCTAAGGAATCAATGTGTAAAGGCCTCTTAAAATAAAATTTTTTCAATGTTAATATTTAAAAATTAGGTTTTATATACCAATAGGTCCTTTAAAATTTCGAAAAATAAGGTTATGAAGTAGCACTATTTCACCTCTCATTTAGTTTTAAAATTAAACCGCAGTTAATAATTTGACAGTTTGTAACTGAGAAACCAAAATGACGCTTTGAATACGCACATACAAACGATAGAGGAAGTAAAAGAATAGCACAACTTTTGGTTTTAGATAGTGTTTGGTTTAAAATACTGTAAACGTACTTTTTTTCCGCGGGATCATTATTCTGCGAAATCTGAATTTCTCTTCAATCTGCAAGTAGAAAATAATACGGATTCCGTGGATCGCCATTGTATTTTGCGTACGCTGTGACGGAAGATTTGTGACCGTAAATTAATCCGACGAGGAAAGTACGTTTACAGTATACAAAGCATAGGCAAGTCTATGGCTGATTCTCACATACAAGATGATGCATAAAATCTCTAAATTTTCCAGATAGGTAAGTCTGGGCTTTAATATGTATTCTGAAACAATATGTACCTAAAACTTGATAAAAAAAAATCAACAAAATCATGGTAATTCGAAAGTTGACTTTCCTGTAATCCTTTGGTGTGTTATAGACTTAGATCAATAACTCCAATTTTGAAACAAGCATAACACGTTTGTTCATATACTATTGTGATCTCAGACTTACCTCAAAAAGAAGCCTTGACATACCTCTTTTCTCACAATTTTCAGAGAGACTTCAAGGATCGCTTTCTTTTTTATATACATATATGAATTCAATTCATTAACAAACTGTGGGATACAAAAGTAATTAAAAATATGATGTAGGGTCCTTGGATATTCATTGTAAATGCTCAAGGAGTAAAAGTTTATACCTGAGCGGACTCTATATCATGTCCAAGTAAAATGTACGTGGCTATTAAGACGTCTCTAATAGCTGGTCTTGGATTGGTGTACCGTCGTACTTCAAACAAAGTGTCGCTTTCAATTTTTGTAATAGGATGAATGAACCCTTCCAGCTTTTTCAATCTAGCAAGTAAACCCTCTGCCTTCTTAATATCGATCCTCATTTTATCCACGTTAAATGAGTTCTTGGCATTTTCAATAGCAGCTTCCAAGACCTTTACATTCCTCCGCTGCATGGCATCTGTTAATTCTATCATTGAAAAATTTCTAAATTATTCTCTAAAAATATAAAGTATCTCTTAATCTAAATTCAAATCTATCACTTCTTGTCTTTTAAATTAAATAAAGCTTAAATTTGAGAAACAAAAAGGGATGAATTATCTGTCACTGAACCTCTTCTAGACTCAAAATATTTCAGCTTCCGCTTTGCCTTTTGTATTTCCCCTTGGTCAGGGACTCTGTAAAATTCGAAATTCTTCAACGCTTCCTCTACTTCCTGCTCCGTTCCATTTTCTGTTGCTTTAGATAATCGTTCGCGCATCATTCGCTTATCATACTTCTGATGATTAAAGACAAAAAAAACATGTATATTTTACAATACTAGCAAGACTTTTTTTAAAATTTGAGATACTGTAATGTATCGTTTTGTGTGACCATTGCACATTGTTTCGTTTAAAGAAAGAAATGAGTATTCAAAACTATTCATAATGAAACTTTAAAACTGATCTATAAGTGTAAATCACACATAAATAAAGAAAATTAATCAGTACCTCGGCATTTTTCTGGTCAAATATAAGCATGTAGTTTATAACATTGATAAAGTCACTATCGACCTCCTTTTTGGCAAATAGCTTCAGGGCATAGTGTCCTTCATCGGGTACATTAACCTCAACTGTGAGTTTATTGGGAGATATCCTGCATGTAGCCATTTTTTCTGTGTTAATCGAAGAGTTCATACTAATAATATGTGTCTTAAACTCGTATTTCCCCGTGTAATCAAATCGAATTTTCACAGTTTCTCTAGGTAAGATGTAAATATGTCCATATCCATGAGATGCAGGTCTGACACCATATCTCATACAGTGAGGTGTCGGTCCCCATCCGATTTCAGGAGTATCTGGTAATGGGAAACGCTCATCGTGTGAGGAACATTTATTACAAGAAAACTTGAATTGACATAGTACAGACTCGGTGTTGTGACCTCCTTTCTCACCTAAAGTTCGCCCTTCGATGTCAAGGACATATGTCCCTGGAACTGGAAAGTCCAGGTCAAACACTACTCGCGAGTCAGCACGACTCATAAATACGTATTTCCTAAGATCTGGTGGAGACTGCGAATTTGAGCTATCATTTTGTTCAGTCTCTGATTTACTCATATGTTCTATATTTCGGTTTTCATCCTTCTCTGTAGAACGTTTTTGTGTCAGCTCTGCATCAGTTCTTGCAGTTGTATCTCCTATGCTTCTCGGTGTGTTCGATTCCAGGTTTCCATTCTTTGCCTTTTTGCTATTTAATGTATAATTTAGAACAGTGTTCTGTGAATGTGTTTTGTCGATAAACACTTCCACACTTATTCTACCCTGATCCACTTTTAATTTTCCAAGTGTAGGTTGAACGATTTTGACCCCCATTTCGAAACATTTTCGTCTACAGTTTGGCATAGAGAGAAAATCATGTTTTGTCACCGGCGTAGATAGCAACTGCCATTCCTGTTCATTAGGATGACACCAGTGTATTAAGTCTTCGGGATCAATGAAAAAATATAAAGATTTCCACTGAAAGAAAATAAACGAAACTTACAACTGCAAATTTAAAAATCAAATTAAGATTCGACATATTTCAAACAAATACCACAAGTTTTCTAAATGATTTTTTTCTTATATTTCTTAAACCTTTGAATTAGTTGAAATTCCAAATTCCAGCTGAACAACTCTCCATTCTTCTTTAACGAACACGGCGTTCCATTTCCCTTTGACTAGTTTTTTCTCTGTCCATCCAATTTCAAAGTTGTCTTCTTTTTTAAGTCCTTCAATTGTTACACACTTCAAATCACCATAACTAAAACAAACATTAGCTTGAAATGAATTTTTGTAATGGCTTCATCATTATCAGGTTCGAATTATGTAATCAAGTACATCTATTACTTGGTGTAAAATATACCAACGGAGTGTTCTATGTTAAGGAATATTTGCACACTGCACCTGCATAAAGTTGTGAAAAAGTCTGCAATATGAGATTTCCCACAGTTAACGTCCTTAAGATCTCCTTTTGGTGTGTTTTTGGCTCCACCTTTAGAAAAGTCCTGGCTATTGAGATCTAAATTCACAACCCAGAGGTAAAAAGACCATGCTTTCTCCAAATCATGCTTTAGTCCTTTGGTAAGATTTACTGCAAGGGATTGGTAAGACCCCAGTTCTTTTGAAGAAACCTACTTTTACAAACGTTTCTCAGTTTATTGACTAAAGAAATATCCGTTCAGCTGTAGTAATAATATAAATAAAATTCGGACAAAAGTTTTGATATTTTTAAAAAGTTCAACAAACCTTCAAACTGTTCAAACATTTTAAATTTATCAATTTATAAATACAATACTAATGCCAAAACAAAACGTGTTTTTTTCTTGATAAACTCCTTGAAATAAATTACTTGTAGTATTATTCATACAACTGTATTGTACTAACCTGTTGATTAGCATTTTTGGTTGCCTCCCTAAGCAAATCTTTGTTGAAGATTTCTTTTCGTGCTGTCGTTGGGGGCAGTGGTTTTACCCCACGTCTATGTATCGTATGGGGGTTAATCTGGCTTGTTCTTGCCGTGTTCCCATCACTTTCTCTGTTTCGATTTCTGTCCTGAAACATATTCTTATTGTGACTTTGACTACAAAATATTGCGTTTCACAATAATTCAGGCAGTTGTTATGCTGATAAAATATTTATTAGCAGCTGTTCAGGGAATTGATTAAGATGCCATTGGAATGGTCAGGATATAGAAGACTAAAAGCCATACCTGTTTTGGAAGAGATGATTTATCCTCGGGTTTACTGCTGTTTCCACCCATTAATTCTATGTACAAAAGTTTCAGAACATTTTTCTACAATATAAAGCAAATTATTTCAAGAGGGGTCATGATCTAAAGTTTTACAATTAAAATTTAAAGAAGTGACACAATAATTTACCTTCTTAAAAGATTTTTTCGTTCACAAAACTTCCATGTTTACATTCCATATGTTTGTCATTTTTATATTTCCTAAACAGTACCAAGCTTGACGACAAGAAGGATTCGATAGGGTAGCAAGATCAATTAAAGAACGAACACAAATTCAAATCTCTGTGTCAATTTATAAAGAGTGCAAAACTGTACAGTTCTTAAATAAGACAGATACATTGGTATTTGTTTAAAATGAGCAAATACAGTTTTTTGATCAAAAGATTCACAAAAATCCCTCTCGAGAACCCAATGCTCTTTATGTAAGTAAAATTTATGGCCGAATCTTGTCTTTTTTGTTTTCATTTTGAAAAGTGCGAGTTCTCGAATTCCATTTTGACAATAGCGAGACAGTAGAGCATTCAATAGTTTGACAGATATTGCGCTCAATTCAGGATCAGGCATTGAATCCAATCGTGCTTTTTATATTCTTTTTTATTTACTAAACCCGTTATATTAAAGTTATCAGAGTTTATGTGCCGGAAACCCATAAGCACTCCCGATCTAATTGATAATTTAAAAAAAAAAACATATAAAGGTGTGAATTTCCAGGTTTGAATACACCAAGGGCCTTTTACTGTTTAGTTTTGCCATTTTGCGTTGCATTTATGTTTTTTTTTATCTAACAGGGAACGTAGTGAATTATTGATGAACAATAAGAGTACCCTATATATCAGCTTAAATCTCTCAGATGCAGCAATTTTTACCATTTCTCTGCATACTTTTTAACAAATGTATGACACGAAAAAGAACTTTACTACATTTATAGCTAATTACTCTATTCGAAATACCCACATTTATGGCAAATTACCATATTTAAAATGAAAAAAAAAAAAAAAGAAAACAGTAGTTTGAATGAAATTTACTAAAACAGCCAATTCATTGTAACTTAAAAAAAATCTTATTTTTTCAATATAAAAACAAATAAATCAAGAATTTAATTTAAGGATAAATTATAATGTTTTTACTTTGAAGATATCTAAAAAAGATATATAGGTTTAGAATTAAATGAGTATTCAGTTATAAGCTTCATTCGTCGCCATAGCAGAGTAGGAGAGGGGAATCATTCTTTCCAGTAGAATTTAATCATGGATATTATTCTTTTTAGTCCCCTACCGGTGAAACCGGAGGGGACTATAGGTTTCCTCTGAGTCTGTCCGTCCGTCTGTCCGTCCGTCTGTCTGTCTGTCTGTCCGTCTGTCTGTCTGTCTGTCCCTCTGTCTGTCTGTCAGTCTGTCCCACTTGGTTTTCCGCACCTTTTTTCTAAACGCTTGCAGATATTGAGCTGATTTTTGGTATGTGAGTGTATCTTGATGAGTTACAGATCAAGTTTGCATTTCGTTCCGCTTCATTGATTTTTGACGGAATTACGGCCTTTTCAATTTTTTCGGGTTTTCCGCAATTTTCTTCTAAAAGCTTGTAGATATTGAGCTGATTTTTGGTATGTGGCTTTACCTTGATTAGTTACAGATCAAGTTTGCATTTCGTCCCGCTTCATTAATTTTTGACGGAATTATGGCATTTTCAATTCTTAACGGGAACGGAACCAGATTACACTTGCCTGTAGGGGACTAGTATTGCTAATGCAATACTCTCAGAATGCTTGTTTGTACAGCTATCTTAAGGCAAGTACTTGACTGGATGGACCAGCATGCATAAATCTTGCTTTAGTTTAATAGTTTAATCAACCACTAACTGATAATAAAGAATTTCAGCATAACATTGGTGAATCTAATGGGTGACAAACAGACCGTTGTTGAACATTTAAAGATATTGATTCCGCAGTAAAGAAACAACGTCGTGCACTAGGGACATCGACTGACAGTTATTTGTTACCCCGGAAGTTAAATTCCGATCGTTGTGTTATACATAAATCGCAGACATAAAACAAACAGGTAATGTTGTAACATTCTGTATCATTCTTTGATTTGGGTTAATGTTAAATGCAACTGTTCTTTTTCTATCACTCTAAAACGCCCGATATTAGGCTTAATTCTAAATTTATTTGGATTAGTATACATTTTTGCTGTGGTCCTGAACTTATTTCTCTAAAATCACTTGCATTGTGAATTTATAATATTACCACGGTAGACTGGGACTTCCTTTAATTTGATGCATTAAAAAGTTGTTGATTGTTTAAATTAGTTGCAAATTAGTTTATTGATTTTCGAGTAAGTTCAATACTTCTTTTCAAGATCCTAATGACATTTTCTTATTCAAGTCGACATAAATAATTGTTGTTTATTACAACTGAATAAAGCCCGCTTGATAGATAATCTAGATAGGGCATATTGAAGACACAAGTTGGGGGTATTTAAAAAATCGATAGATTTAAAGTTCATTACAGCTTGACAATCATGTTGCAGGTTAACCTGAGTGTATATACTATGAATTAAATACATTGTAAAGGTAAAAATTTCTGCTCACAATGTATACTTACAAACTGATTTCATATATAGTACGCAAAAACTACTAATAAAATAGAATGTGGATGCGAACAGCCAAATACATGCATATTGCCATTGTTTGAAATGAATATGTTGCAGAGAGGCAGATTGATTCTCCTCAAATGAATTTAGTTCTACATATTGGAAAATTAAGGGATCTCAGTTAGATACATTGATATGCAATTCATTTAAAGTATTTCAAAGTGTTAAGAGAAAATAATCAATTTAAACCCCATCGACAAAGTAGCAATCATGTCCTGAGAAACAATAAAAGATATTATCCTTCATGCAGTTATAATTTTCCTTAGCAGACGACATATAATGATGGAGGATGGGATCAGGATGTAGTTCTGAAGAAGCCCCTAAAGTCAGCCCGAGGGAGACCAAGGACGCACCTATCGAAAGTCTCGTTGACACAAGTATCCACAAAGAAAAAACTAGAAAAGGTGAACTAGAAAACTTTTGCTCAAATGACTTATGAAAGAAGCAGGTCCATAAAAGAGTAAGACTGGAAACTATTTCTGCTCTTATTAAAGTAGTTTATTATGGATTTAAAAACATTTTAAAAGAAAAAATAAATATATATTTTGAATGAAAATACATATATTTCTCTTCAGATCATTTATCCACTTCACATTCGTCAACCATGTCTGGAAAGAGGAGACCCGTAAGAACGAAGTCCATTGTAGAAGGAGAAGCATATGATATGCTGTTAGTGAGGCACAGTGAACTGAAACCAACACTAAAAGAATTTGATCAAGCCCTGAAAAAGGTAATCTGATAATTTTCCTTCCTAACATGTAGTTATATAATACTTAGTATTTCGATGTGAAATGACAAGGTATGGAAACGGCCGAATCTGGTCCCTTCTTTGATGTAAAATCAGAACACAGTTAAAATTGTGATAGTTTGTAGTTAAGAACTTAAAATGATGCTTGTTTTAAAACCAGCACTAATTTTGATTCAAAGCTTACAAGAAGGCCACAGGAGGGTGCAGAAGTAGGAAGTTTTCCTGAATTTCCTCAATTCTGGTGAAATTTCGTCGAATTGAGATACTTTTCCCTACGGGAAAGATAGAGCACAAGCTTGCCTATCTGAGATTTTTATACATAAGATGCATCTGATGCTAGTGTATGAAATATATAAATTTGTTTGATAGGCAAGCTTGTGCTCTATGTTTTCTGAAACAAAATGTAATGTAAAATAGATGAAAATTTACATAAAAAATGAGGAATTTCGGAAATTGACATATTTTCTGACCTTCCTGTGACCTCTGTGTATCCCATAACTTAAAACCAATACTCTTTTTGTGACGGGGTGAGAACAGGTTTTTATTGAGAAACTGCTGCATCATTCTAAAAGACACCCAAAACCGGGGGCCAAAAAGGGGTCTTAGCCTATCTTTTCCTTTACTAGAATATTGTGTATTGGAATGCTACGGATTATATTTTAAAGCGGAAGGAATGATTATTTTTGTTTATTGACATTTTTTCCCGATTGTATACGAATGCAGTTCTAGCCACATCCTCTAAATGGATCAACTAGAAAGACAGTTTTATAGATGACAAATAACAGCATTGAAGTTTATTTAAAACTTAATTCTTTAAAAAAAATTCCAGATGCAAACAAATGATCTCATGAATACTAAATATTGATAGATATAAATTTTGCCCAAATTAAACATTTTCATATAGTATAGAATCATTATAGCCTCATTTTTCTGTGAATTGGGTTGTGCCTCAGGATCGGACCAAAGAAGGGGTGTTGGCAGATTGTCTATAAAAAGATGCAATTATTATAAAAGTCAAATGACGTTTACACATCCATTATAATACATGCTTTCTGATTTAATAAATGGTTAAATAAATGGGTCTGATTAATTAATACATATAACAGGTCTACAATCAAATCAGTTGTTTATCTACAGCTTCAAAACATGAATAAAATCACGGAGGAGATGTACCCGAAAATATATGAACTACTTGATAAAAAAGTAGACGATCCATTTCAAGACCACCAAGACCTGGAGCAGAGACTGGTGATGGGAAACTACTTGGCCAAAAATGGGTAAGTTTTACGAGTATGTAGCTAAGCATACTGTGGAATTATTTTTAATTAGTGAGAGTCAATGTTTAGGGCAAAAAAAATTTTACTGGGAACAAAATGTTGTTGGTAACTCAATGAATCAATACTTTGACAAAATAATCGTTCGTGATATGAGATATAAATTTTTGGGTAAAGGTGACCCAGCCAATCCCCGAACACTCTTCCCCAACGAACAATGACGATTCTACAGTATGCGACATACTAGAAACAGTTAACCATGATTTTTTTCTCACTGCGAACAATTTCAACCATTTTTGCAATTTTTAACCTTAATTATGATGTCAAATTTGATATCAGCAGTGATATACAATTTTACAAGTTTATCATCATATCTTAACCATTGAGCACCTTGTCTATTCAACCTCGGTCCTGTGTTACCTGTTGCATGCAAATTGAAAATTAATATTTGCAAGTATTACACAACTTGCTACATTAAAATCATAGCATACCGGTAACAAAAAAAAATGCAACTGAACCTTTGTTTGCTTTAGGTTCGTCCCTCATTTAGTGGACGTATACCAGGCTGTCTGGTCTAATCATGATCTCGAATGGTTTGACGATGACCTTGAAGAGGAGGAATCGGAATCAGAATTTTTCAAGCTTTTAGCACTAATCAGGACAATTTTATGGAATTATGCTGATGGGAGTCCCAAATTTGCCGAATCTATTGTTAATGACACACAGTTCTTTCAATATCTGACTGAAGATTTATTAGCTGTGAAACAGGACCTGGAAGAACTGGAGGACGAAATTACGGTAAATATTAAGGGGAAAAACATTTGAATTCAGTTCCAAGAGTTAAGTGTCTGAATCTTTATAGAGACATCTGGGTCACTCAGGTGACCTGTTGCTGTTTTTGTTCACCGTTGTGTGTCTTCGTAATTAAACATTTAAACATTTTAGACCTCTAGATCTTCCAATTAATTCGTGGACCATTTCAACCATTGGTAACTGAATACATCTTTGGATATCGGGAAGACATACACATGCTTATCAAGTAAAGAACCAGCAACATGTAATTTACGAATGAGATAATGAAGAAATCGAGAAAAAAGAGTGGCATCATTTAAGAAAACCCTCTTTAAATCCTCTTTGGAATCACGAGGATTGAAATGACAAAATTTAACAATCTTATATACATGTAATGATAATTCAATTTTTTTCGGAAAATGATCTTAAAACAACGATAAAAAATAGTGTTACTTTAAAGCATAAAAAATCTTTTAAAGCCCCCTTCTAATGCAAGTTTTAACATTTTCAGATTAAACATACATGTAGTAGTATAGGTTAAAATTTATCAAATTATAAGCCTCGAGCTAGAAGCAGGGATGGAGCCAGTTACTCTGAAATATATGAAAAATATTAAAAATATAAAAACTTCCAATTATGAAATTGATACGCAATCATCCTTATGCAATGTAAATTTCATATTGTTCAAATGTTGCCATTGGGGTAAAAATGTCACAACAATATTTCAAAATTTGTATGAAAATTTTCTCTTCAACAACCATGCTTAGTTTGTAAATGATGTGTAGCTTCCACATCTTATGTAGATTTCAACTCAGTCAAACAGTGAATGGGACCACAAAAAAGGTCCAAAGTTTTACATTGAAATGAATACGAATTTTTTTTTTAAATACTCTCAAGGTGAAAAGTTTCAGCTTGTAAAAATACAAGCATTCTTATACGGATAATAAGAGAACGTTAAATTGTTTATTGCTGTATGGTACGTAATTGAGAAAACAGGCCAATAGGACTTTCTTATACGTACATGTTGATCCTTTTTAGAGGTTCTAAATCTGTTGGCATTTTGGCTGTTATAATTCAAGGATTAAAAATTACTTTGTCCTTTTCACAAAGAAATATCATAAAAATGATTACAATAAGTTTCAAACAACCCTCCCCCTTTTACAAATGCAGATTAGGAAGGAATTCGTCCTCTGATAATTTAACTTTTCTTATGTTTTCAGAATGAAAACCACTTTCCATTTAACTCCACTCTTGGAATACTCAATAACTGTGCTCGTAATGCTGCTACAAAAGATGTTTACAGTATCAAGCGTTTGTCTAAGAAGGACGAACATGAGTCAAAGGATGTCAATATGGTAGAAATATTACAAGAGCTGTTGAAAACAGATATAACATGTGGGTAGTACAATATTTAAATCATCCTACTACAATTTTCTACTGAATAATGTTTTGCGTAATTTTTTTCTATTCTTTTTTATTGTGCATGAGAGAGAGAGAGAGAGAGAGAGAGAGAGAGAGAGAGAGAGAGAGAAAGAGAGATTCTTGGAAAACAAAGATAATGTATTTAAAAAAGTAAAGAATATAAGGAAATACATTAAACAATTACTTCAGAAAATCGCTTTAATATACTAAGGATGTGATTCCAAAAAAAGATCAGAGAAATTACATTTTGAAAAAGAATACCTCCATTACGCTGGGTCTATAATATTTATGAATAACTCCTTTGTCTTTGATGACTTTCTTTTCTGTAACAGATGTTAAGCTCGTTGTCTTGTTGGCATTGTCGTACATGGTCAATGAGGAACAAAACAGAAAAATCACTGCCGATGAATCCATTTTTGATTTCCTACTTGACATGGTACACAAGGCTGAAAAAGCAAACGATCGCAGGCAGTGGGGATTTTCTATCCATGAGCTCATTAATGGTTTGGCAAAATTGGCTAAAAATGATGAGAACAAAACAACCATTATGAAAAAGGGTGCCTTTCAGACCCTAAAACGAATTTTAAAACAAGGAAATGTAGCAGAACAGATTGCAGTTGTCAACGTCATTTGGGAGTTGTCTTTTGCAAAAAAGAATAAAGAACTATTTAAGGTGGGTAACAAGACTTTCCATTAAAATCCTTGTTAAGAAGAAATCTATCATTACTTCTTCTATATCTTCTATGGGAAAAATGAGCTACTTTGCATTTTATAAAAGCTCTATCCAGAGTTGTCGTACCATTCATTTACTTGCAAGTAAACACAGGTTAAACTCAGGGTAAAATTGGCATAAAATTTCAGAATGATAAAGAAGTTTGGAAAACACTTCAAAACCTTTACAATAGCGACAATGAAGAGTTATCAAAGGCAGCCCAGGGAGCTTGTTTTGTTATAAATGAGGGGCAAGACAAAGGTATGCATGTTACAAAATCTACTTGTTCATACAAAATCTTCTATGTAATAAATTTTAACAAAAGTCATCAACCACAAGTATCTAATTGTAATATTTCAAAAGTCATCTATATGTGCATGTTGATGTTTTTATTATTTATAGCTAAAAAGAAAAAGGAAAAAGTAGAAGAAAAAGCAGAAGAATCTGCTATTGCAGGACATATCATGCTAAGCTACAATTGGGCAAACCAGAAAATTCTTTTACAGGTATTAAAAAATTAAGTTTTTGATATTCAAAGTAGTATTAGTATAATACTATTTTTAAAAGTCTTTTTTTCTCTCTCTTTTTTTTTTTGACCTGATCTTGATTAAAAATTAAAATCTGAAAATAGGTTCACTTAACAGAGCAGATATCAGTTAAACAGTATCTCCCCCTTTTAACACAGCAAAAATTTATCACGTGATTTATCACGTGACTAAGTTTTCCGTGCAGCACTCAGTGATTTAGTTGAATGTATTTTTAAGATCAGGGATCGTCTTCAAGAGAAAGGCTTCACGGTTTGGATGGACGTTGACAACATGGAAGGTTCCATCCTAGAGGCCATGGCTCGAGCAGTGGAAGAAGCTAGAATTATACTAGTGTGCTACTCTGAGAAGTACAAAGATAGTCAAAATTGTCGAACTGGTAAGAATATCGCATAATTTAACATGGTTTAACATCAGTTAGAAGAAGATGTTATTGAAAATTCATGTCAAAGTTGTAGAGATGTTAGGAACTGGCATTACTATAGTTTGAAGTAATTAATTATAAACTTTTGTACCTTTGAAAATTGCTGCCTTGTTTCTTTTAATACTTTCATTGCTACTTAAAAAATCAGCAAACTGTAAAATATCAATAACTTAATACTTTTCATTTTACAGAGCTCTAACATAAAATTTTGCGAATGATATTGTTGTCTGTTCTTGTTGATAAAGTAGGTTGATTGTTCTGAATGATAAAACTTTTATTAAACATTAACGGAAAATTCTTTGACAGAGGCAGAATATGCTTACTCACAAAAGAAAGAAATTATTCCGCTTTTGATGGAGAGAGGTTACAAAGCAACTGGATGGCTGGGTGCCATGATAGGAGCTAAACTGTTTTACGATTTTAGCGGAAAGTACGATTTTGACAGAAAATTTGGAGAACTTTATACCGCATTGACTGGGAAAATTTTTCCACAGAAGACCAAGGCATTGTCAGCCATTCCTGAGGTCTGTTTCCGTCATTATACACCCCCTTTGAAAAGTGGGAGAGGGGGTCCGTCCGTCTGTCTGTCTCTACGTCCGTCCTTTAATTATGCTTTGGGGTATCCTTCTCTTATCCGTACTCCTCCTATACCACTGAATTGAATTTAATGAGACTTTCACAGGATATTTATTACCGGTAAATAGTGCCATTGTACTTCCCTATTTAACTTTTTGATGGACACTTTTTTAGGCTTCAAATAGCAAAACATGGACACTGCCATTCTTTCCATAATATTGGGGATACTCGTCTCTTATCCGCAACTTTATTGATATCACTAACTAAAATTTAATGAAACTTCCGCAGAATTTATTACCTAGTGCCATTGTGGCCTCCTATTTCTCTTTTTGATTGGACACATATTCGGGCTTTCATTAGCAAAATATGGACTTTACCATTATACTCATATGGAAGCAGGGATATCATTTTCTGAGCTCAGTGCTCACAGTGCCTCTAGTTTACTTATATATTGTAAGAAAATGCATGAATTTTAGTGTATATCTTATTCTTTTCTTTCAAGGTATTAGTATAGATTACTGTATGATAACTGAATGCCCTCTTGGTACATCCATATTGAAAATAATGTAAACAAATTGAATACACTTTCTCACGTAATTTTATTGATATAAACATTTTTAAATAACTTTAAATATCAAATTATCAATATTTTAGAATGCTGTTCCGAGCCTGATGCCTGCATCTGACGACAGCGTTGTCTTAATGGATTGGACGAGAAAAGATATTGAGAAATGGCTTAATGACAATCAATTAACAGCGTAAGTCATTCGAGATTACTAGAAAAAAAAAAGAAAATCAAATACTGAGGCGATATGAAGTGAAATGCATTTTTGAATGATAACATTTGATATCTTTATAGAAAATACTTATGAGTGAAGTAACTTTGTTAACTGCGATATGAAGCGGCTGAAAATTTACATCTTTATGAGAGAGAGAGAGAGAGAGAGAGAAAATGAAACATGATCTTTCTTTTACTTTTCCTTGCAGATTTTCTGGATTGAAAAATCTATCTGGCAAACAACTTGTATTTCTTTACAAGCTATTCCGAAGGGTAAGTTGATATCCATTTAGGGCATTTGATAATCAGAAAATGATAAGATGTGATTTTTGTGTGCGCTTTAGAAATTCTAGATACATTACATGCTCATCAATACCTTCTATATCTAAAACTTGGAAGAGTTATCTTTAGTTAAAAAAAATATTCTAAGGAAATTATTTTAATGAAGATTATGACTATTTTATTTAATTTCGAAAAAATAAATAATAAAATTTTTTAAAAAATGATTCTATAACTTTTATTTATTTATTTATTTATTTTTTTGGTTGTTGTTGTTTATAGTAATCTAATTTCTTATCATATTTTACCAAAATTATATCATTCTCACAGGCCCCTGAGTATTTCTATAGATGCATTGAAGAAAAGCTAGGAATGAAAAGTCTTGAAGATTTGATGAAATTCAGTGATGCTATAGAGAAACTGCAAGCAGAATACCCAGACATTAATCGATTGATTCATTAAATTCAGTATAATTTACTGGATTTTCGGTTGTTATAAGATTGTGCCAATTTCATTAACTGTGATAAACATATATATATATATATATATATATATATATATATATATATATATATATATATATATATATATATATATATATATAGCAAAACAATACAGTTCAAATGTTATGTACACCTGAAGACGGATTATGAAATCCAGAAAGCGCTTGTGTTGAATGAAATTTTGAAACTGTGCATTTTCTTTTTCTTTTACGATTATATATATATATATATATATAGATATAGATATAGATATATATATATATATATATATATATATATATAGGATTTCAAATCTAAATACATGTACAATAAATACATTCATTCATTGTCTAATCTAGATATCCATTATCTAAAATAAACAGTGTCTGAACGAGCATTTCTAGCTAAAATTTACAACGTTTATAAGCTGTAGTCAGAGCTTCTAATTAAAACAAGTGTCTGAGTTTGGATGTATGAACATGTACAATAAAAAAAACACTCTCATAATAAGAATGCAACAGTGAAGGCAAAAAAAACAAAAAAAACAAAACAAAAACAAAAAAAACATTAGAAATTATTGAAAATCAGCATGATAAATTTGAATTTTATTATTTTTGTTATTAAGTCAAATGGTAGAGTGGAAAATCGTTATTTTATTTTAGAAAGTAATTTCATGACTAAGTAAAAAAACAAATAAATCTTGAATCGTCATTATTGTAATATTTCATTGTATTCATTACATTACTTCCATCTATTTATATAAGCTACTTCTATTGGTTTTGGCTTGATTAATAGCTTGTAATGTAGGCATGAGAAATAAAAAAACAGATATAATTTCACTAGGAATCGCATTTTCAAAAAAGACATGGAAATATTGTTTTATGATTTATCATTCAAATTTGTTACTAATTGTCAACATATGGTGTGAATTGATAGGAGTTTATGATTTTTATCATAAAAAGCCCGTTCCTTTCAGCACTGAATGTCAATATGGAATATTGGTAACTATTTTCTAAATTTATTGTTATAATACAGGTATGTTAATTTAATTTAGGCTCATTTGGAAAATATAAATTTAATTTTATTGTCAACAGAATGGTAATACAATAATCCGAATATCCTTAAAATAAACAAGAGGCCCAAGGGCCTTAACGGTCACCTGGGTATAATACAACAATTTGGACGATCCGTAGAGTATAAAATGAACTGAGAAGTGAAGCTTTGTTGCCCAAAAGCAAGAAAAATAGGGTGATCAGAATCAACAAAATAAATAGTCTACCATTCATTAACAGTTCATAAATTATGTTCTAATCTGTTCCCCATTTATCACTATCACCATACAGTATATTATCAAATTATCAGTGCTTCTGTACTATATCTTAATTCCTTGTTGAAATCTCTTACATTGGCCTCTCTTGATCTTTGATGAACATTTAATAAGACAAGTTATTTTTGTCTCATTTTTATTTATCTATCACTTACAAGTCTACCTGATCATTAAAACTATGAAAGTACTTTTTGTATTATACAATAAAAATTCTTGGATAATTCTCTTATTCTATTAACTTTTCAAGTACATTATTTACAGTGATTAATTATCAAAAGTAAATGGCAAAGAGGAATAACTCCTCTCAGTAGATTACAAAATAATAGAGCCCTAGCCAGGACCAGAACACTTGACCAAATGGTCCAGATGTTCAAATATCTGGTAAAAATACCCTTCCTTACTAAAACTTTTACTCTTTTTGTCTCTGATATGCCCAGGTGCAGAGAAGATTTTTAAAGAAATAATGCATTTTTACTACAGATATTTTCAATAGAGCTTCCCTCCCCATCGAGAAACACCAGAGCCTCTCACCCTGGGAGCAGAAGTTTGCTCATCATAAGTAATCACTTTGTTTATCTGCTTAACACTAAGGAGCAGACAGGATTATTTAATAGAATTCATGCATTTTCACTATATTATCAAGAGCCCCACCATTACACCAGCACATCTGACCCAGGGGTCATGCAATTCACTACTCTGGAAGAAGCACTCGTGCTCATCATAACTATACACTTAGCTTGCTTTTTAACCAGAAGAGAAAAGAATATTTTCAAAGAAATTTTGCTTTTCACTATATAATCAATAGAGCCCTCCCCCCTTTTCACCAGAACCCTTGACCTTGGGGCCATGAAATTCACAATTTTGGAAGAGGCATCCTTGCGTATCATGACAATGTACTTGGTTTGTTTAAATAATACCCAGGGGCAGAGAAGATTTTCAAAAAATAATTCACCTTCACAATAGGATCTATATAGCCCCACCCTAGCACCAGAACCCCTATCCCTGGGGCCATGAATTTCACAATTTTGGAGGAGACATCCTTGCTTATCTTTACAATGTACTTAGTTTGTTTAAATAATACTCCGGAGCAGAGAAGAAGATTTATAAAGCATTAATGCATTTTCACTATATGATAAATAGAGCCCCACCCTAACACCAGAACCCCTGATCCAGGGGCCATGACATTCACAATTCTGGAAGAGGCATCCTTGCTTATCATAAGTATGTATTTAATTTGTTTAAATAATACCCAGGAGTAAAGAAGAAGATTTTCAAAGAAATAATACACTTTCACTATATGATCTATATAGCCCCGCCCTAGCACCAGAACCCCTTACCCTGGGGCCATGAATTTCACAATTTTGGTCGAGGGCTCAATGCTTATTACAATCATGCCAACAGTTTGACTGCTTGATGTCCAGGAGTAAAGAAGAAGATTTTTAAAGATTGCATCAATTTTGGTGGTTTTAGTCCCACCCCTCAGGCCCCAGGGGGGCAGGGACCATGAAATACACAATTTTTGTTCCCCTTATAGATGCCATATGCCAAAATTGGCTGAAATTGGTTCAGCGGTTTCCGAGAAGAAGCTGAAAATGTTCAAATGTTAACACACGACGCACGACAGACGACGACGGACGAAAACAGATAGCAATAGGTCACCTGAGTGACTCAGGCGACCTAAAAAGGAAAGATTTACCTACCAAATAAGTGCAAACAGCAAGAAAACATTTTTTATTTCTTTTTTAAATTTTTGTTTCTTTCGAGAACAATTAAATATTCTATATTACAAATAAATACTATAAACGTGATAAAATAGAGTTTTTCCTTGGTATGTTTATTTCTAAAATTCTACAATAATATGCAATACTAGATTCATTGTGAAATATCATTATTATTTTATTACTTTACATAAGATGTGCAATATACCCCCGGTATTTTGTACACATGTCAGAATCATATAAAGACTAGCTTGTTGATAAGTTATGAAATATCAGACATATTGGTGCTTTTTCTTAGAGAATTGCAAACTGAATATCTGTATATATTGGTATATCTTGACACGTGATGTTGAGAATATCTGTATCAGTGGTTAAAACAAAAATTAAGGGACAACATCCCTCTCTTTATTCATATTACATTTTGCTTCAATGATAACGGTTTTCCAAAAGAAATCTTAATTATTCTAACATGAAAATAATTTCAGCAATGGTTGCAGTACAAAATTCGATAAAAATCGCCTTTTAACGAATTTTTTGTGAGGATGTGTCATTATTACCACTGAGAGTTATCTCTTATCAGAGGGTCAATGAATCATAAAAGACCAAATGCAAGGTGTGTGTATGTTCTGTTTCATGATCAAACCTTCGTAAGTCTTGCAATGTTTTCTATGTCGATCCTCTTCAACAATTAACCTTCCATTTTATCAATTACATGTAACTGTCCATGAATAAAAGATATTCAGATCTAGTAACAAACGTATGAAGAATTTCTTCATAGAATTCATACTGAAAAGATTTAGCGTTAGGTTTAATTACCCTATATAACAGGCAATTAAAAATGTTAAAGATTTTCAAGCATCCTGGATGATAAACCCTCTTTCTTTAAGGATATTACAGTCATGTATATATCACACACTCTATTAGTTAAGACTACATTTTTGTATAATTTCGAGAGATTGTATTAAAATAACATAAAATTCTCTTAAATAACAGAAGGTTACTTGTAATACTTTAAATATAAAGAGGATGAGTAAAACTTATATTTAATGTTTAATGCAAAACTAATGTCTTATGAAAATATTCATTGCAAAACAAACGTGAATTTTAGAATTATGTAGTGTTTGATAATGTAATGCATCAAATGGGATGGATGTTAAGTACTGATAAAACAGCTTCAAGTATATGTAATAAGTACCCCCAGTAAAATTCAAATTATTGAGTAGGTAACTCATATTTAATTTTCCCCCAGAACCATCTTCGTTCACTTTTCTTCTCTCCTGGAGAAAACACCTTCCGGCCTTTCACTCGAGATTTCCACGGTTCGTTTTCTATCATATCGCCTGCTTCAGGGTGATATCTTATGAAGATGACTCGTCCATTGTTCAATTCCAAAATTTCTGCACGCTGGCACTCAAATTTGCACCACTCATTCTCGTCATATTTGTCCGACAGAATGATAATAACTCTTTTGCTTTTCTCCATATTGTTTATGATACCATCTGCTTTGTCTTCCCCAGCAATAAGGTTTCTGATAGGCACAAAAAACTTATAGCAGGGTTTTTCCTCTTCAAGACGTTTCACAAATTTTTTAAGCACCCACTGGCGTATGTGAATATTAGTGTCATCAAACGATACGTACGCGTCATACTCTGCAACTAATTCTCTGTCCACGCGGTATTTGTCCCACGGGTGATACCGAAAAAACCTAAATAAGATAACTTTCGTTTCATACGGGCACCGTTTGGCCCACACAACAGCAACAATTACGAGTGTAAGTAAAATGGCGAAGCCTATTGTAAACCCTATAGCAACATCATACGCGCAGTCGAGCAACCTTTCTGTCACTTCACGAATCTTGTAAAAGTCATCTTTCTTGTAAGTACATTGAATATCACGATTTGGATTGTCCTCAGGGGCCAAATTAATCCATTCTGCCATCCAAACCATGTCGCATGTGCACTTGAAAGGATTTTTACTTAATTCGACTTTTTCATATGGAGTTTTAAACTGAATGTTATCTGGAATGCTTTGCAAATTATTGTTTTCCAGGTTCAAATGCACCTGGTCCTTCATGTTCTCTATTGCTTCAACTTCAACTACCTGAAGTCCATTTCCGGAAAGAGAGAGTTCGGTGATATGAGATGTATAATTCCTACTAGATAATGTCTTGATATGATTATTATTCATTTCCAATTTCAGATTTTTGTTTCCGATCTCAGGCAATTGACTTGGTAAACTTGTGTGGTCTCCATTATCACAATTTACATGAAACATATTATCATCCGGCTTGTCTTGGCATAAACAATTCTGTGGACAGTCCTTGGTGACATTACAAATTAAATCGTTCAAATCAACATCTTCCACAAAAGATTTCCCTTTTAGTTCTGGTGGACCGTTGCATTTAACTTCAATCATATTTGAATAAGCGTATTTAATTAATGAATTCTGGTATCTCCTTAAAACTTCATGGAGCTTACAGTCACAGAACCACGGATTATCCCGAAGGTCCACGTTATATGTTACAATGTCGATGTAAAAGTCTTCACTATTAGGATTGTATTGTTGCAAGAATCCATCATTCCAAAATGTAAACTGATTGTGACGTAGATCTGCACTTGCGTGGTAAGGTTCCTCTAAGTTGTATGTCCAGTTCATTCTGTTGGTAAAGTTCACGATGAGGTTGTATGATACATCAAATTTCCTCAAAATTGGTGGTATATATGGCCACGGTTCAATGGAGACAAGTTTGTTATGTGCAAGGTGAACCTCTTTTAGAGCGATGTGGTATTTTGTAAAAACGTGAGATCCAATAAAATTTATCTGATTGTAAGAGAAATCAACAATCCTTAAAGCAGGTTTATTTTGAAGAATTCCATTTTCTAACTCTTTAATGTTGTTATTCGAGAGATCTAGATGTTCAAGAACGAGCAAGATCAAGAATGCGTCTTCGGCGACATAAACGATTGAATTGTTACTTAAATTAAGTTTGCTGAGCCGCCAGAAATACCCAGTGTTATCCTGCATTTTAAAGTCGTTGCTTGAAATGTTTGTTGTAAAATTTCCTTTCAAATTCAGACTTTGAGCACTTCGTGCAGCACTACAAGATTTGTTAATTGCTTCTGACAGGCTGTGGATATTGCAGTCCGACAGGTCTATGGAATTTGTGGACTGGCAAGGGTCACAGTGGTTTGCAGCCATTATCGAAACAAACGACGTAAGGATGATGTAAACTATGTTAAGGCAGTTTGCCATTTTCAAAATCTAAAAATAGATAATAGTACATTCTAGATTTCACCATTTAGTGTGAATTTCACTTCTGCAATCAATACATTTACAGTGTTTTGTAATGTAACTATAAATCTGTATAGCATCATATGCTATAAGTCTGTAAAAATGAAGTCTTTAAGAATCTACATTTCCACTGCATTTTTAGTAGAAGAATTGCATCGAACTGCTTAATTCATATTAAAGATTAAACAATTATGAAGAGACAAAATTGGAGAATGTAAATATAAGCATTGAATTTTTATTTTTGGATGTCGTCGGTCATATAACACACCTGGCCGTGCCGACAAATTGAATACCGCGCGTAAGAGCGATTTGATAATTTCTCAGCACGGCCAGGTGTGTTATAGGACCAACGACATCCAAAAATAAAAATTCAGTGCTTAAATACTAGTAATAACAAACTCGATATCACGTAAGAATTGAATATCATGCTTATACGATTTTGTACTCATTCACTAAATAGTTTAAAAAGTCAGTTTCATTAAAAGCAATGTGGAATTTCGAATCTATAAACAATTGTAGACATACTTCATAGATATATACATATAATGGTTTTACCTCACATCAGTAATAAAAGGTGTGATATCTCCTCTTTGAATGCAGATGAGTAAATTAAGTCCCCACTTCTTCTTCCTTGTTCTGATAGGAACCCGAATTGCCATTGGCTTAAAATGTTTTATAGATCTCTAGGTCAGGTGTACATTTTAGCATTGACAGTTGACATTTCTAATAGCACCTGGTAAGGTTTATACAAGTAATGTCTTTGGGGTACATAAGACCACCTATTTTTATAAGCATGTTCTTCAAAGAGAGTACGGGAAATATTTACCTATGACCATGAAACGTCTCAAAGTGTACACGTACTGTGGAATCATCATTGTTCGTGGGGGATCAATGTTCGTGGATTTCGTGGGTCACCCTTACCCACGAAATTACATCCCCACGAACGTTCGTTTTGTAAACATATTTATTAATTGAATCTACCGTACAAACGAGTAACCCACGAAATTACGTCCCCTCGAACAAGTAAAATTTTGCTTGTCCACGAACATTGACCCCCACGAATTAAAATGATTCCACAGTACGTTATAGATACTAAATTCATTCAACTAATAAAGTTTAAAGTTTTACATTTAAGGTAATCTATTCATCATTTTTATAAAATAAATTTTAAATTCTACAGAGAATGCGAAAAGAAAAATGTAAAGCTTGCTTATGATTTTTAAAGACATTAAACAATACAATATATACTTTCTTGAATTCTTTTTCCTGCAGGGATGAAAGCTTACATCATTGAAGAAAAATACATAACCTGAGTATGCAATTTATATATTTATTTTCTGCGACTATTGCAAGAGTTCATTAAAATATGAACAGAGAAAGAAATTTTAGTTGTTTTTTTTCCGGGGGTGGGGGGGGGGGTGAGTTATTTACGAAATAGGTTTAAAGTATAATTTTCATCGATCCATACATTACATCAATGACAGGTCCATGAAATAAATGATCTTTGACTATATAGCTTTTCTTAAAAAGTCTCTCATACAGATGTCTTCATAAACAGGATCTAACTAGCCAAGAAGTAAATTATGATTAAGCGTAAAATAATCAACAATTGGTTTTCATAAAATACAAAGCGAAAATATTTAGTAAATGCAAATCATGGCCGTAGGAACCAGGGGCCCACCCAATAATTTTGCCGATGTATATAATACTATAGAAAACATGGCTACTATATGCTTGTGCCCCCTCAATAATAACGTCTGATGACCTTTTTTTTTTTTGCTTGTCAAGGAATTTTGGTAGTTGATAGTGCCCCCCCCCAACTGCAAATGTGTGGTTGTGCCCCCTCAAACTGAATTTGCTTCCTACGGGCCTGCAAATAAATAACAATAGTCAGAAAGTCCTTTAAATTTAAAAAAAAATATTCTGGTTTGCTCCTTTTCATTGTATAATTTAATGCTTTATATGCAAACGTAGGCTGTTTTCCCAATTCAAAACATGGCAAAAATAAAAGGTAGAAGCATAAGGTTTGTTGTATGGAAAACTACATTATTCAGTAACCCTTCTCACTGATAAATTACCGAGATAACCTAGATGTTCTACCTAAATAAAAGGAAATTCTAAGAAACAAAAAATGGCGGTTATCCAAATAATTATGGCGGATATACATCTAATTACATCATTAAAATATGCACTATGACCATATCAATTAATGCCTGAGTATTTTTAAAAATAAGAATGAAAATTGAAAATTCAATGACCTAGAGATTTATAAAACAGTTTAAGCCAATGGCGATTCGGGTTCATATCAGAACAGAATTTAAATAAATATTTCTTCTACCTTCTCTACACAGTGAGGATTTTTTCTACACGACGTTTCTCTCCAATTTTTAAACTGTGCTTTAAGGAAGCTTTAAACACTGCTCAGTAAAGAGTTCAAATTCCATGGTAGTTTTATGCAGTTAGAGTGATCTGCCCTTTGATGTAAAATGGAATAAATGAAACTCTACAGTTAATGACACAATTTAGAATAGATTATAGTATTCTTTACATTATATTAGACCAAACTAAATTAATTAAAAACATTGTTTGCATGTACATCCCAAATGTAAGTAAACAACAGTGATTCCTGTTCACTAATACTTCATTGTCTTGAATTATTTTTTGTGGAGAAACATGACAGGTACCCTATGTTGAAAATGAACTAGAAAAATTCATTATGTACTTCTTTATGTGATAAAATTTTCTCAAAGTCCAAAAAAACATTTTTGTCAGTGTTTAGAGCTTCCTTAAATCAAGTAGACGTAAAATTTTAAAAATTCAACTTTAAGTAGTATTTTTTGCTCATGGGAAATCTTTTATGTACACAGCCTTGCATAGTCCATTGCGTATTAACCCGCTTTCTATTAGACAAGGGATGCTACCAATGTAAATATGGTTACAACACAATAGTTCGCCATGATAACCTTTTTTATATAACAACAGGGCTTTATAAAGGACTCTAACTTTATGTTTTATTTTAATCCCATTCTAAAAATTTTATTTAATCTGAAAGGTAAAGGCGATCTAAATATCATGTACTATTTTTTCTGTCGTGTGGGTGCTATTTTGTCAATGCGAGAATAAAATCGATAACAAAAAGGAGAAATAAAATAAATGAATAAAGAAAAAAAGAAATAGTATTCATATTATTTATACCAGTAATTCCCTTGTAATACTGTCATGGCCGATCTCTAAATACAATTCTTTTCATCTTTTTTTTATTTTAATATCCACCAATGCACCCTAACAAAAAATACTATATTTAACTAAAGTTAACTACAGTTTACTATGTCAACTATAGTTTACTATAGTATCTAAGTTTCTTCACTATAGTAAATCAAAGTATTTTCACTATGCATTTCAGATTGTTATATTTTTTTGTTCTTCAATTCATACATGCACATTTTTTTTATATTAACGTAGGTCGCGGGTTTGCTGACGTCGTTAAAACTGTGTACGCAATTTATATGATTTGGGCGATTTTCTTGTGCACATTTGATTATGACGTCACAATGAAAAAGAAATCTGCGATGATTTTTGTTTTATTAAATTCTTCAGTATATCGTTATTTAGCTATAACTTTTCTTGGAATTGGCAGTTTAGTGTTATATTATTTAAGCAACAACTTACCACAAATAATGGAGGCTTTTTACGATTTGTATAGTCGATACAATACTTAGATACAACTTTTTGTTGGAATTAGTAATTTAGTGAAGAAGGCTTATTACGAATCGAATGATCGACACTGGAAATATTAAAAAACGTTTAATTATATTTGTTATCAATCGCATCTTCTCGGGCCTTTCCTGCAAGCTTGGAAAAACAAGTGGTTGTTTTTCGGCTTGTCGGAAAGGCCCGAGAAATTGCGATTTGTTTTCACTTGGTATCGCGAAACGATATGGGCACAAGTCTCAACTGACTTTTTTTCCTTTGATCGTATTTGAATTAACAGTTTGTTTGATCAATAAAGAAGCCATTATTTAAAAAGAAAAATCGCAAATACACCTGTTACATCAAAAGATTAAACTTTATTTTTAAAAAGGATATTTTTAAAATATATAGATCTACAAGTTTATCATAAATTAAATACTGCTAACGTACGATGAAACATAAAGACATATTTTTAGCGACACTGGCCTCCTGTTAGGGGACAAGTATTTGATTCTGAGGGAGAGGGGGTGGCAAATTTTACCGAGTCAGATTGTTTATTTTCATGTCGGTGAAGAACAAATTATTTATCCCCCCCCCCCCCAAAAAAAAAAAAAAACAAGGACATATTATTTATTTCATCTTCACTGAAAAAAGTCTGACAAGCAAAAAAAAAAGGAAAACATCAAGGTTGAAAACTCCCATGGGGGGGGGGGGGTGCTAGAACTAGTCATGGGCAGATTATTTATTTTCTTGCCCAGTCGAGGACAGATTATTTATTTTCAACATTTTCGAGGACAGATTATTTCCAAAATCTGTACCCCCCCCCCGAATGAAATGATCGCGTCCCCTAAGCAACAGCTAGCAATGCTGTTACCTACAGATTTTATTCGCTACTTCGCTTTCCATGTCCAACAAGTAGAATTAATGTTCTCAAAAAACTGGCTTTTGTTTACAGACAAAATTAATTTTTAAATTCTCGTCCCATTTACCCCTCTGAAAATGTGGTATGTAAAAATAAATATTTTGTTTAAATATATACTGAAAATATATTGTATTTAGCCGGGACGATATTTGGCAGAAATTCGTAGATTTAAGCGCCTTGCTGAATTGTCTGAATAAAAACATTTTATGTACTTGAATTAGAGAGATACCGTTTTCCGCCAGCACGCTGGAAAAGAAAAATACACAGCCAAATGTAAGGATACGTCTAATCTAGAAAAAAAAAAAACAGAAAAGAAACGGTAAGAAAACAACACATAAATTGGAAGAAAGAAACTAAAGGATTGATTGTTGTTTTACATCCCTTACGAGAATTTTCACTAATATATATAAGACGTACAAAAAGCCTAATCTGAAGAGAAACATGCATGTCTAATAATCATTTCATTGATATTGAATTATTATGATACGATTCACGGGTCATTTGAAAGCAGACAGACGTGAATTTCTTTTTTATAAAAAATATTTCATCTTATTTTTCTGCACTGAATACCGGATAGATATTCACGACGTCAAGCATGACGTCGCGATATTTTATGACGTCGTTCTTAAAAATGTTAATTTTGCGATATAAAAGCAATTATCCACATTTAAATTACGCGAAAACTAACCCGAAGACATATTAATTTTTTCACATTGATTTATTTCAAATCAATTCTTTGTTAAAATACCAAAGGGGAAACAATTTCGTCTGCACCATTTAAAAGTTATTGATATTTTTTGAAACAAAATCTTGCCTCAAAACGAGCCGAAAACGACGTTTTTCTTATATAATTCATTAGAATAACGTCGAAAATGTAACGACAACAATGGCATGTTTGGGATTTAATTACACAAAAACGATACAGACAAATTTAATAAAATTTTCAGAGAATATAAAACGAAGGTAGAGGATTCATATAACTAATTTTCATGGTATGTTTTCGGACACTTTTAAATGGCCTGCAAACCCGCGACCTACGTTAAATGGAACTATTATTTGTATAATTATTCACATATTATTTTCAAATTTATATCACTGTTACCGAATTTAAGAGATTTTAAGCTTTGGAATCTCAAAACAAGTTCCAGAGTTCAGTTTCATAGTAAATCAAAATATCAAAATTTTTACTATAATTAATTTTAGTAAATTTTTTTAAGGGCAATCTTGAAATTTATGTGTTTTGAAGAAAACAAATTGTCTTTCAAATTCATATTCAGTGGTTACAATTTTTACTTAACATGCAATGTGCATACGTTTATGGATAAGAATTGTAAAGTGTAATGTCTCAGCTTCTTTATTCAATGATGTTGTTTTATTTGAAGAGATCATTCTTGTGTTGTGCTATAAAGATAATTTTAAAAAATAAATTTTGTGAATTCAAATTTTCTTAAAGTTCCTTGCAGGTTTGAGTAACCACATCTGATTATCATCACTTCTCGAATATGTTGTGTACAGTACTCCTGAAGTTTCTCCTTCACTGCTGCTAATATTTTGTTGAAGAGTAAAGAGAGAGGCTTGGTAGAACCCCCACTTGAACCCGCTATGTATCTTTCATCATAATGATTTTCACATAGTCAAGAAATCTGTTATAAGTATGGAAATTCAAATTCTGTACCAAGTCTTATTGATTGATTGATTGATTGGTTGTATGTTGTTTTTCAAATCAAAATAATTATAAAAATGCCAATAGTTGATACTTAAAATCAAAAAGTAATTTGAGGTTGAACTGAAGTATTTCTTGTTAAGGTTCATTGATACTTTAATAAGAGAGATAACTCTATCTGGGATAAATGACTTTTATTCTTTTATGCAATTCTCAAGATAAATGTCTTTTCTGTCATATTTTGTCCCGCAAGCAACTCTGACATTGTTTGCATTTTACTTAGAAATGACATATCTTTTGGAAAATCAGAAGCGTTCAAGCAAAATTTCCTATGAGTAAACTGAAGGGTGAAGAACCGTACAACATTCCTCCTCGTATTTTTTTTTAAATTTAATATTCGACTATCATTAACTCATCATCATCATCAATGAACTAATCGCAATGTTCATTAAGTTTTCTCCTCAAATTCAATAAGTGTGAAAGAAAGTGTGTTTAAAACACCAAACTGCATTTGAATATGCGTAATGCAATCGACTAAAAGTAAGGTACATTGTCAAGAGCTTCCAATAAATGTGACACCTTGGTTTCAGAGATAAGAAGGTCTTTTGGTTGCGTTGTTAATAAACTATGCTAAACTTTCATTAAAGAAAAACTTTGTTTACCCACCAAATAAATGCACAAAGCAAGCAAACACTTCGGACTGTTTTTTTTTCTTAACTGTTTTATCGTAAACAAAAGCTTCAAAAAACAAAATATTAGATATCACATGGAATATATTGTACTAGAAAAACTTAAAAATGTACATGATAAATGAAGATTATACTTCGTACTTTGTACATACAAATTCTACAAGATGCAATACTAGTAGTTATACTACAAAAAAAAATGATAGCTGCAATGTCAAATATCATCTAGTTATTTATAACTAGACATTTTGTCACATATTTTATCTACATAAGTTAGGATCGTGATTAAGACTTGTGTCTTGATAAGTTTTAAGATATAAAAAAAACCCTTCTTTTTCTCTTTCAGGCTTCCTATTTCTTTGATTCTGACTCATTGTATCTATTAGCTGTCCATGTTAATCAATTAATTTTCCAAAGAGGAAAAGACAAACATATAACTTTCTTCAATGTATTCAAACTTACTAATTACTTTCCTCTTTAATCACCTTAGTTTCTTGAACATTCTAGATTCCTTCACACAAGCTTTCCATGATAATACAGAATTTTATCTTTTATTTCCTAAAACATTATTTTTGCTTAAGGCCAAGACCTAGTAAATGAAAGGTGCCTACAGATTTTTCAAATTTCAGAAATTAATTCTAAAAATAATGTTCAAAACTATACCTTGAAAAAAAAACAGGCTGAAGAAGGGCATGGTTTCTTTTCCTCGGTAAACACAACGTAAAAACATCTTTTATACTATCATTTTCAATGAAAAATGAAGAAAACCAAATATAGATATGAAAATTGTTTCCATATCAGACAAAGGAAATGGATCCATATTGCCTACAGTCTCTAAGTAAATAGTAATTTATATGTTCTTGACTTTTTCTTTAAAATAACTTTTAAAAAGTTTAAATTGAACAGATATTGGAATTACTTTTGACACGATCCATGAAAATGCTTCATTTCTACAAGTATAACTGAAAAGTACGAGAAAAGTCAAGTTTAAATTAATTATGACGTCATAATGGATCTGGCAAAAAAAAAATCATTAACTAATTGACTAGATCTTGACCTTAAATTGAGATTGTTTTTACAGAAACATAATTTTAAAGTATTTTCTTGAATGAAAAGTGGCAGTAACTTTTAAAATATCAAATTATAGAGGACATATAAAAATTACATTTTGCATACAAAAGTCATGTTTAAAAGTGTTTTATAGTATCAGTTACACTATGCATCAAATGGGACGGATTTCAGTTGATTTAATGTAAAACACTTAAAAAACAGTTACAAATATACGTAATTAAGTATCCCATTAAAACAATTTATCGAGTAGGTAACTCATATTTAATTTTCCCCCAAAACCACCTGCGCTCGCTTTTCTTCTCTCCGGGAGAAAAAACCTTCCGACCTTTCACTCGAGACTTCCACGGTTCGTTTTCTATCATATCGTCTGCTTCAGGGTGATATTTTATGAAGATGATTCGTCCATTGTTCAATTCCAAAATTTCTGCCCTTTGGCACTCAAATTTGCACCACTCATTCTCGTCATATTTGTCCGAGAGAATGATAATTACTCTTTTGCTTTTCTCCATATTGTTTATGATGCCATCTGCTTTGTCTTCCCCAGGGATCAGGTTTCTGATAGGCACAAAGAACTTATAGCAGGGTTTTTCCTCTTCAAGACGTTTCACAAATTTTCTAAGCACCCACTGACGTATGTGTATATTATTGTCATCAAATGACACATATGCGTCATATTCTGCAACTAATTCTCTGTCTACGCGATACTTATCCCACGGATGATACCGAAAAAACCTGTATAAGATAACTTTGGTTTCATAAGGACATCGTTTGGCCCAGATAACAGCAACAATAACTAATGTAAGCAAAATTGCAAAGCCGATTGTCAAACCTATAGCAACATCATACGTGCAGTTGAGTAACCTTTCTGTTACTTCACGAATCTTGTAAACGTCGTCATTTTCATAAGTACATTGGATATCACGATTTGGATTGTCTTCAGGAGCAAAATTAATCCATTCTGCCATCCAAACCATATCACATGTGCATTTGAAAGGATTATGACTTAGTTCAGTTTCTTCAAATCGAATTAGATACTGAATGTTTTCTGGAATGCTCTTCAATTTATTGTTTTCCAAGTTCAAATATTTCAGTTCTTTCATATTTCCTATCGCTCCGCTTTCAACCACCTGCAGTCCATTTCCAGACATTGAGAGTTCGGTGATATAAGATGTATAGTTCCTACTAGATAATGTGTTGATATAATTATTATTCATTTCCAATTTCAGTCTTTTATATCTGTTTTCCGGTAATTGACTTGGTAAACTTGTATGGCCTCCGTTATTACAATTTACATGAAACATATTGTCATCTGGCTTGTCTTGACATAAACAATTATGTGGACAGTCCTTGGTGACATTACAAACCAAATCGTTCAAGTCAACATCCTCTACAAAAGATTTCCCTTTTAGTTTTGGTGGACCATTGCATTTAACTTCAATTAAATTTGAATCGGCGTGTTTGAAGAATGAATTCTGGTATCTCTTTGAAAAATTATGAAGTTTACAGTCGCAGAACCACGGATTATCGCGCAGATCTACATTATATGTTACAAAGTCGGTGTAAAAATCTTTACTATTAGGATTGTATTGTTGAAAGAATCCATCGTTCCAAAATGTAAACTGATTGTGACGTAGATCTGCACTTGCGTGGTAAGGTTCCTCCAAGTTGTATGTCCAGTTCATTCTGTTGGTAAAGTTCACGATGACATTGTACGATACATCAAATTTTCTCAAAGTTGGTGGTATATATGGCCAAGGTTCAAAGGACACAAGCTTGTTATGTGCAAGGTAAACCTCTTTAAGAGCATTGTGGTATTTTGTAAAAACGTTTGTTCCAACAAAATCTATCTGATTGTACGAGAAATCAACAGTTCTTAAAGCAGGTTTATTTTGCAGAATTCCATTTGCTAACTTTTTCAACTTGTTATACGAAAGGTCTAGATGTTCAAGAACGAGTAATGCCGAAAAAGCATCTTCGGCGACATGAATAATTGAATTATTACTTATATTAAGTTTGCTGAGCTGCCAAAAATAGCTAGTGCTATCCGCCATTTTCAAGTCGCCACTTGAAATGTTTGTTATAAAATTTCCGTTCAAATTCAGAATTTGAGCACTCCGTGCGGCACTGCACGATTTGTTAATTGCCTTGGATAAGCTGCGGAAATTGCAGCCCGAAAGGTCTATAACATTTGTGGATTGGCAGGTGTCACAGCTGGTTGCATTCACTATGGGAACAAACAGTGCAATGATGGTGTAGAAAATGTTAAGGTAGTCTGTCATTTTCATCATCTAAAATATATATACATATACTTAGCATTTTCTCGCGTTGGTACTTAACATGGCTAATGATAGCCTAATTTTCAACACCAAAATAACATTTCAGTGTTTTGAGCTGTAGCATTCATCAGATTTAGATAAATATCATGAAAAATCATGTTCAAGTTTAAATGTAAATATGACACATCTGTACGTTGTAAATGAGAATGTAAAAATTGCTTATTGAAAGTAACAAGTTGTTCTAATTCCATAATTAACACAGTACTTCCTGTCTCTTTTAACTTTCAACAAGGAACGTTAATGGGTTTTAAAATAGACAAACAAACTATCAAGATATATTACATAACAATCTGATCGATAACCCTAGGAAAAAATGAAAATAAAAGCTTTTAGGAATTACGTTGTGAGTATGTTGTTTATCAGACCCTAATTTCGTTCTTTTATGTTAACCCCTTATTGAAATTATAGTTGGGCTTTCAAAGAGTCTTTAAACACTTTAACGGATAAGGACATTTTATATATATTGTATCATATCGTATTATTTGAACTCTCAGATCTGTGTTTTAAGAATGTGTGATATATAATTCGATATCAATTAAGTACTGTGCCTCATGCTTTCAACTTATCATTTTTTTATACCAAAAAGATGTGAATTAAGTTTCATAACAAACCAAATTGAAATTTGTAATTGTTAAAAGTATGCATAATGATTTTACCTTACATCAGTGCAAGAATTCAGCACACCTTACCTCCATGAATGTAGATGAATAAACTGGTAAGTTCCCCTCTACTTCCTTGTTTTGATATTAAACCTCCTTACTATTGGTTAAATCTCTAGGTCATGTGTATATTTTTAGCATTGTCAGCTGAAGTGTCTATAAACAAACTAAGTAAGATTTAAACCAATAGCTTCTTTCGGGTATATTGGGTCAAAGAGGGTTATCCAGGTCTAAAACTATTTAAAGGGCGTTGCTCTTCATCGGGGAATACCCGAAATATTCTCAATGACTTTGATACCGTATACATGTATCTCTCAGTGTGTGTTGTACATACCATTTTCACATACATGTACTTAAGAAAATTGCCTTTTCCCCTTTTTGCATTTTTACATTTAAGGTAAACTATTTGTCGTAATGTTTTATTCTGCAAAGAATAACAATGAAAAAAAAAAGTTCTTGTAAAATGTGATTATATTACATGTTTAATTCAAGAGAAAATACTTTCAGAACGTCCGTGGCTATATACAAAACTGTTCTTTTTCCTCCACTGAGGTGCATAATGTCATTACATTATATACAAGCATTAGTAGTTTGATCAAATTTATCATCGCCTTAAATACATGACATGGAATCAAAAAAGGAAAACAACAAACTTACTTTATAGAAAATTTATGTCATTCATACAATTTTCATTGATTAAATAACATCGTTACACAAATGTTCGTCTAAATTAAAAAGCCGAATTATAATACAGTTAACAGTAGTAGTGTTTAATCTTTTCATTACTTTTAAAGCTTTGAAACAGACCACATTATACCCACAATAATGCAAAGTAAGGGTTTTGCAATATTCTAAAACAGAATATGAATAAATCTTTTAAAAATTAATAAAAAAAAATGAATTTCAATAGTTGAAAATCTTAATTTTTTCCAGCTTTCAGATTTTCTTGTACTCTGAAGTAATCTACATATTTTGACAGTTGAGTAAATGCTGACATCTCTTTTTATGAGAATGAATTCTCTAGCGTTACACCTTGCAAACTGCAAAAACTTTTTGTTTGAAGCCTCCGGGACATTTCTCCTGATGCACAGATATTCAATCATTGCAAGTTTACCTTGCATTCCTCAAGGAATTTTCAATTCATACATCTATACCCAAGTGCTCTCTATTAGAATAAAAATAATAACAGTAAGTCAGAAAAAAAGATTTTTTTTTTTTTACAGCGAACTGCATTTTAAGACAAGAATCTATGCTATGTATCCCATATTTTTATCTTAAACCGGTAACCATAAAAAAGATTTTCGTCTTTTGATATTTGTTCAAAACTCCAGGTAATGTAGCTGATCGTTTTTTCTTAAAACATCTGACGGTAATATCTTTATAAATTGAGAATATCTTTCAAAATTATCAGTGAGAAAGGTACATTTTAAAGCACATGTACGTTGCGTATAACCATAATAACACCTGCATATTAAAATATTAATATATACATTAAACTTTTTTCAAAAATATTCACTCCTGGTTTCCAAAATCCTGCCGACATCTTTAGTTAAAGCCTAGTCCATGCTGTCATGCAAGAGAAAAATATGTAGTAAGTGTAATTCTAGTTTAAGATTGCGAAAAATTAAATTTAATCAAATCACCTGTGAGTTATCAGTTCTGAAAGTAGGCATGTTGTGCAAGAAGGACGTGAACTTCTTATCAAATTTATGTTTCTTTAAAAAGTCTCAAGGGGATTCGTTGTATAGTAGCCAATGAGTTCTTGACCATTTAAAGTAGAGGATCAATAAAACAGTTGAATATAAGGACGTCTTGGCATCATTTTTTACGATATCAATGTCTAGTTTGAATTTGTGCAAATGTCTGAAAGAGCTGTAAAGTCAACTTTTAATTTTATGTCACTATTCCTTCCTACAAATTTGAAAACAATTTTAGCAAGATATTTCTTATTTTCTTCACTAATAATGACAGAAGGACGCGGACACTGTAGTCTCGGTCATACTTATGGCGAGGACAAAATGACAAGAATAAAAAAAACATATAACGTATCTCTGACTCATAATCACAAATGAGTTAACGAAATCAACGAAAAGAGAGATGAACTGTTCCTCTACAGAATAAGGTACAATGAAAACTTACCTGTAGCTTGTGCAGTATACAAATGTGTAAACATACTTAAGATTACTCCGATACAATAGGTTCTTACAACAAACCTGCCATAAAGCCCTCTTTCATAAAAGGGAATATAAATGTCTTTAATGACGACTTGGTCCCAAGAGGAGGTAAATGTAGTTACCTAGGATAAAATATAGGGCGAGGGTTAATGTAATATTTTCCTTAAGTCAGGTCACAAAATACAGCTGTCATACAGTTAAATAATTAGTTGGTCGTTATCGTCTATACATGTAGCAGACTTTGCAGTATTTTTAATTTCTAATTCACTGGGATATATCGAATTGACATTCGAATGAAAGTAACTATTGTTAATTGATAAAACGCGTCGATATATCTAAATGTCGAGTTGAAGGCCACAGCAAGAGTTTTTTTCTTCTTCTCATGCAGAAGGTTTTCAATAAATTCTGCTTCATAGGAATGTATCGGCAAAAAAAAAAGGGGTCAGGGATGGGGTAATCGTAATCAGTAATCGTAATCAGCTGTAATCGATTACAGTTTGCAGTGTAATCATGATGAGTACTAGTAATCAGTAATAATCTTTTTTCTGATTTCAAATAATCGTAATTTAATCGATTACTCTGGAAAAAGTCTTGTAATCATGATTACTGTTTGATCACTTTATGATTACAATGATTAAAAAGAAGTGCATAAATACATGATCTTTGATGATATTTATTGAATATTTTTCAGTGTGCAAATTTGTTTATAAGCAAAAATTATTCTCAAAATTATAAGCAATATATAGCAATATCGTCTTCTTTTGCTTTCAGAAATGTTTATAATTAGGTCCATTAACCAGGCAGAGGGTGAATCGTCTCATACTAGCTATATTCAGTGGTCATTTCAAAATGCTGGAGTGCCTTAGCAATTTGCATTGTATAGCTAGATACTGAGGAAAATTACTACACTTTATTTTTTTTAAGTTTGACTTTTTTGGTCCAATTAACATGATAAACATGTACGCTACATAGCATTTTGTTTTCCCTGTAAATCTTTGAATATATGTGAATCTTTTATCAAGAGTATCTTTATGATGTGCATTATAAAAATCACAACTTTGTTAAATTTACAAAAAAAGTTAATTAATGATATAGCAATAAAACATAGATGTACTTACATGTATGTTGGGTCAGCTTGGGTAATGACAATAGTGAACAAACAATGCTTGTCCAGTAAAAGTGTCAATTCTAGTTAAAACATCTAATAATTAGCAATTTAATTGAAATGTTCATCACTTATATCAATATGGTCAATTACATATAAAACAGTTCTCTATTGAATCCTTTTATCTTTTGCTATAATTTTGTCCACTTTCATTGATAAATTAGTTATATTGCGTTTTTTCCCTCAACAATAATACAGATATTTACTTGTATATGGGACAGAAATAAGATAATCAGATAAATCATCTCGAATATCTATATGTGAACAATAATGTAACCAAACCTTGTCCAAACTCTACCTTTAAAATGTATATGAAGATTATGTGCAATTAAAAGTATTGATTTTAGAATATAATGTGTTGTTAAAAAAATGTTTCTTTCCCAGACATTAAAGAAAAGAACTTAAAAAAAACTTTAAAAGTTAATGTAATCTATAGTAATCACAAGTAATCATGATTACATGATGGGAAAGTAATCAGATGTAATTGATTACTTTAAAAAATGACTAATCTGCTTGTAATCGATTACTTTTAAAATCCAAAGTAATTGTAATTTAATCGATTACTTTTGAAAGTAATCGACCCCATCCCTTTAAGGGGCACAATTAGTGCCCCTAGATTTAAACAGGCCTCGAGACCATAAACTGAGAACAGACTTAAGTCAAAATTTGATTTTGAATAGCTTGTCATTTATAATACATACGTTATCCAAAATTTGCAGGTTTGTATAATATTTCAATTTAAACATATGGTAAAAATTTTATTTTGTTATCAAAATTATTTCAAAAGTTATATTGATTTGAAATTTTGACTTAAGTTTGTTCTCAGTTTATGGTCTTGGGGCCTGCTTCTCCAAAGACTAGATAGACATTGTCAATGAGGAGCTCCAGCGTCTTTATAACATCAACTTCAGAGTATTGTTGATTTTTAAAATAATTTTGTAGATAACCAATCACATTATATGATTCAGTTCCATATTACTTGAGGAAGCAGTTGTCTATGTGTCAAAAAGTCTCCTTTTTAATTTATCGTGAGAAATGGTTGCACAAAGTGTAGAAAAGTCAAATGGTTTGATGCTTTTGATGTTTTGAAATGTTGAGATTTTAAATTTTCCAAAAGTTCTTTGGAGTTTTTCAGAATCCATATTTGATTTACACCGGCCACTTCTTGAATAGCTGCACGATTACTCTTGAACTTTCTCCTTCACTGCAGTTAATATTTTGGTGAGGAGTAAAGATAGGGGCTTGGTTGAATGTTTACTGGGCCCTGCAATATATCTTTGTTTGTAAGGATTTTTATGAAGCTTTGGAGCCCAGTAAACTCATTGGCTGGAATGTTATAAGTATTTAAAACTAAAATGTGATTTTGAAGAATTTCATCTTTAAAAAGGGAACTCTGAGTAGATGGGGGGAGGGAGCTTTTCTCAAATTTAAGAACAGTAGGGCATATCTAAAGAAATAGTTAAGAACATTGGGGCATATTTTCAGTGATGTGCAAAAATTATCAGGGACCTCGAGGACTGCTGTGCGTGTACAATTGGGTTTTATCATCTTTGTAAAAAAAATAAGAAAAAAAAAATCTGAAAAAGAATAAGGGTACCGGAGACTCATCGAAAATCAAAAAGGAATAAGTAAACTCTATCGAAGTTTCCTCTGAAGTGTATATTTTTCTTCGCATTTTTCGAAACTATTGTGGGCATATATTTAAATCTAGACCCTCAGAAAAGGGAAAAAACTCTTTATAATGCAAGCAATTTACTTATATTTGATATTCTGTAGGTTGGAATTGTTGATAACATGTTTTTGAAGCTTGGATAAGATTATTATTATAGTATATTAAGCATTTCAAATCGGCATTATCGTTAACTACATGTATATGTACAACATTAATCATAAAATCTTTAGATGTTTTATTCGTTGTTACAGAAACTTGAAAAGGGGGGGGGGGCAATACAAACTTATAATACATTGACTATATCGATCGATTATTCATAGGTTTTAACTAGTTTGTTTGTTTTTTGTTTCATAAAACCACCTCTTCTCTTAGCGTTTCTTCGTGGCTTACAAAAAGTTACCGATATACATGTAGCGTTTGCCAAGACATACTTTTTTTTTGCCCTAGCTGTAATATTATGTTGTATAAAATTTCAAAAACAATGTTTTTTACATCAACTGTCAGAATATGCAGTGACAATGACCTTAAGAGATATCGTGAGAAAAGATCCTGGCAAACATGAAGGTCAAGGCCTAGGACAACAGCATAATTAATTTATTATTCTAATAGTTGGAATCAATATATTCAGAACAATTAAAGGAACCTTATTCATATTCTGGGCACAATTTATGATGTAATAGCCTAGTTTATTTGGTTTGTGAGAAATTACCTGCAAGCAAATGCATATCTTGACACATCCCTACATGATAGGCATGATCATCGACATCTTTCAATTTTGAATTCATTTCAGTCAGAAGTTATAGTCCGTAAACATATTTAACCCCTCCAAGTAATTTATACCTCAATGGTCATTTCTATCACTAATTTTGTCCTATACCTTAACTTTCAGATACCTATCAGAATGACAGTTATCTTTTGTATGTTGACATGACATTAGACCTGCCAAGGTCTTTATTAAAATTAAAAGTCATGTCATTATGATCAAAGTTGATGTTAAAATGTAAAGAAGGAAGCTGAAGACATCCATTTTGTACACTAAAGACACTTAAGACAACTCACACACTAGTTTTACTTGTTTTAATTTTTACTGTTCATAATAAAAAACTTTAACCTTTTGGTCAAATTCCGCACTCTTTTTTTTTCAGAAATGAAGAAACTTATTGATCCTGATAATGGATGGTACAACAAGAAGTAACATTTTTAATCATTAACAAATTCTTTTAAAGAAATTTGAATTCATTCAAAAAGCTTTAAATACTATCTTCCCATTTCATGTAAAACTTGAAATTCTGGTAAAACTGATTCTGTGAAATTCATTTAATTTAAATCAAACAAAACATGTGTAAAACATAACTGAATGAATTAATTGTACATTGCCTACGAACTCAGAATACATAAAATGTTTCATAAAAACATGAATTTTGAAAGTAATGCACATGTACAGTGTATATTCTGTCTCAGTGATGAAAATAAAGTGTATGCATTTAAGCATCAGTCTGCAAAATTATAACCATGATTAGGACTAAATAGTTCAATGGAAAAGTCATGTGTTTAATGAAATGTGGTTGTATGAACAGAATTGTGGATCAAGTGTAAATACAGTTTTAAATATTACTTTCCTTAATACGTGATATTTGACAAAATAAATGTTGCAGTTATTAGTTAGTTATAAATCACAATGATATGACACAAACTGGAAAACTTCAAACACTAGATTTAATAAATAGGATATATACTTTGAACAGATACATGTATAATTTTCATATACCAGATGCAATTTGTCTATTAATTTTGTCCATTAACTGTCCATCTAGTTTCTTTTGTCTCACTCGAACCAATGAATATGTCACAGCAAATATTGTAAATGACACAGCTTGGAAAATCCAGAAATTCCTTTCATCCATATAAGGTGTAATTTCACAACTGAAAAAAAGAGATAAACTATTTAAAAGTCGTTAATTAGATCATGTCAAATGATTAATTTTCTTGTGTACATGATGGGATGATATATTTTAACAATAATTAGAATCTTTGGCAAAAATAAAACAAATCAATAGATCATCTCTGCTGTATATCAATTACAACATGTACATGAACGTATGTAGATATATAAAACTATATATTGTTAAATTTCCTAAAACAGCATTATTTCTTTTGATAGCCAATGTAATCTTAATTTAAATACATGTATCTCTTCATTAAATATTAAAGGGATAAGTATTTGTTTGTGTACATTTAACTTTCTTTTATTATAATGCTGATAGAATATGTTAAAGTTAGTCTATGGTTTCACTATATTATGAGTTCAAGTATCAACTTTGATATCAAGAACTCTGTGATATTTCTCTAATATCTTGAACTCTGTGACATCTCTGATATTTTGAATTTTTTAATATCTCTCTGATATACTGAACTCTCTAATATTTCTCTGACATCTTGAACTCTCTAATATTTCCCTGATACATGTACAATGTATCTGGAACTCTCTGTTATCTCTGACATCTTGAACTCTCTGATATCTCTCTGACATCTTGAACTCTCTGATATCTCTCTGACATCTTGAACTCTCTGATCTCCCTATCTTGAACTATCTGATATCTTAACCTTCTGATATTTCTCTCAGACTGATATATTCAACTCCCTGATATCTCTCTAATATTTTGAACTCTCAAGTATCTAGTGTTTTTCAATCCTGCTAAGTTGGTCAGTTTGAGTTACTGGGTTTGACTGTAGCTGTACAGAACAACTTTATAGAAAGGGTATGGGCAACAAAAAGTGTCAGCCGAAAAAAACTTCCAAATCTTTTGAACAACTTTCTAGATTCATTAACGTTTTCCCTTACAATTTTAGTTTAAGGTGCATGACTTTTCTGATGGAATTTGTCATTAAAATACCTAGAGAAAAACTTTTATATGACCATTGTATTATCAATGAATTCAATGACTTTTGCAACATGATGTACATATTCATATGAAGCAGAATTTATTCAGAAACTTATACATGAGAAGAGGAAAACACTTGCTGTGGCATTCAACTCGACATTTAGATATACATGTATTGACAACATATTGTCAGTTAACAATAGTTACTTCCATTCATATGTCAATTCGATATATCCCAGTGAACTTCAAATAAAAGATTCCACAAAGTCTGACATATCTGTTTCATATCTAGATATTTTACTAGAAAAAGACCTTAATGGTAACATAACAGCAAAACTTTATAATAAACATGATGATTCCAACTTTTCCATCATTAACTTCCCTTATTTATGTAACAATATACCCTTATCACCTGCATATGATGTTTCACAGTTGATTCAATATGCAAGAGCATGCTCTACATACAAACAATTTCTAAAACAAGACAAGCTGTTGACAAACAAGTTGATGAAACAAGGATATCAACATTTTCGTTTGAAGTCAGGACTTTGTCACGAATACAATCTATCATTAAGTTGAATGCTGACTGACATTTTGCATACTAATTGTTAGGCCATATTTTTACATACTGAATTGTCTACGGATTCTTCCATGGCACCTGATCCCACCTCTGATGCATCTAGAGGTCCGTGTTTGCTCTGCTCCCAATTTGTTTTGTTTCAATGGACTTTTAAGCTTGATTACTGTTCATTATCTCCATATTTCATGGTAAAATTTGTTGAAAAAATATTCTCCATAAAATATTTTTCTACAGCAGTGAAATAACCTGAACACAAAAAAGACTTACTTCTGAAAAAATGTATCTTTATCATCACACAATATCTTTTGTTTAAATCCTGTCTCTTGGCACTCTGGTTGTAATTTCCTCTACAATGGCAAATAAAATGAAATAATTAAAAAGTACAATAACTGTATTAATGAGTAGTTGTTTCTTCTACATATTATAACAAAGAACCTTTGTTTTTCTCCTCATTCAGAAAAAAAAACATAAAACGAGCAACTTACAATCAAACCTCATTATCTTAAAATAGATGGAACCAAGAAAAAACTTCGAGATATCAAGGATAAAATACTTAAAAAATAAGTGGTTGGGACTTCCAATTCACTTTGACATATCCATAGTATTCCAGATATCAATGTTCGAGATACCGAAGTTCAACTGTATTAAGTTTGTTGTGATGTATGCAAATTTTCCTCATATCCACCCAGGTTGATTGTGAACTTTAAATATCTATGTTCACTACAGGTGGGGAAAGTACCAATTCAACTAAAACTTCAATGACATGCATTTCCTGTAATTCATCATTTTATAATTTCCTAATATACATGTGACATAATGATACACAACGTTTCAGTATAAAATATTCCCTGTTGTGCTTTCCAGAACCTCTCCTCAATTTTTTTCTTTGAAATCCTAAAAAAAAAGGGCACTGAGACTCTTCCAAACAACCTATGACAATCAAATTACAGAAAAAAAAATTTAGATATTTACCAGTTCATCTTTACTGCATCTTTCACATTCGCTTAGAGCCTTTGCTTTCTTTGAAGGACATGATTTGTTCAGCTTTACTAAAAAAAAAAAGTTCTTTTTCTTATTGTCATGACACACAATGGTGACATAAGTAATATCTGGGTGAAATTGAACCTCCAATGTGTTTCCATAAAAATTATGGACTGCACACCAATTTTTAAGTTCTTCTTCCAGTGACCTTGAACTTGCAAAAATGGCTTTGGGTCAAGATCAGGACACACTCTACAGTCATAAGCAACTTTTGTGTCAAGTATCTGATGTCAAGTCTGATGTTTCTACAATAGATGGTAATGGACTAGATAAGAATAAAGCACTTTTTTGCCAGTGACTTTGAACTTGCCAAAATGACCTAGGCCAAGGTCATGTCAAACCCTCATATCATAGGCAATTGTTTTTCAAAAAGTATGAACTTTCAATGTTTCTCTAATGCAATTTATGATCAAGACAGGAATTATACACGTACATTTAACTCAAAGTGACCTTGAACTTGACTAAATGACCTTAGGTCATGGTAATAACACTTTCAGGTCAAATGCAATCTTTGTATGAGCTTCCAATGATTCCCCATTAGAAGGTTAAAGACTGGATAAGGATAAAAGATTTTTCCTGTCAGTGACCTTGACCTGTTGGAATGACCCTGATCAAGGTCATGCCACACTTTCAGGTCATAAGCAATCAAATTTTTTAAGTATGAGCTCCCAATGTTTTTCCATTGCAAAGTTATGGCCCAGACCAGATTTCACACAGAGCGAGACAGACATACAAGGTGATTCCTATATATGGTTAGCCCGAAAACTTTGTTTGCAGAGGGTTTTTAAAATACTTGCAAGTTATAGTTTCAGCTGCTTCTGATATACTGTTGCTGTTTTTAAAATCTTAAATCAAAACATGAGAGGTAGTGATAAAAGGCCATTTGAGAAAGACGAAGAAAATATCTAGACAAGTCAAAAGGCTGAGGGGATACTTCACTATTCTGTGATTATGGGGATGACTTACCAATATTAGATGGAAACTTAACTTCTTTTATTCTGTGTTGTGTTGGCCATGCACTTTCAACAACCAATATTATTACAGAAATACTGCAAACAGAAAATACAGACTCAATTAAGAGCAAATGTAAACCCATAATACATGTACATCTGGTATTAATTTATTTGAATCACATTTTTTAACAAAAGTGTGCTGAATAATAAGATAGTTATCTTGTGTAAATAATATTAATGTATATTTCTTACCAGGCCATCTTTAAACAAATGTTTGCTTGCCCTCTCTTGACTAGGGATAAACAAATTGGGTAGGTAGGTGGGGGGGGGGGATTATTTTGAAAAGCTTACAAATATGAAGTTAATATAGTTAATAATGGGATGTGAAAATTTCAGAATAAATAAAAAAAGATATTGTTTCCTAGAGGTTAAACAAAGTTTTGAGTTGGGCAGTTTTTAGATAGGTTTTAGCAAACAAACAATTTTTTAAAGATGGCCCCATATTAATAATAAAAAATGTGAGATTGAAGGTGTCATTGTCAAATAAAAAGTTTCTGATGAAACTGAAGCTCTTCTAGATGCTTTTCATTTGTCCTTGTCTGACATATATAATTTTATAAAGACCATTACCTGACATAAAAGAAACTTTACAAATTATATGAACTTCTGAGAAACAGGTCACTGTCATTAATACTATACCATTTTTCCCATTCAATTTTCAATCTTAACATTGATTTTTATGTATATGTCATCTGTTGCAATGCCATCTTTGGGTAAAATTTTAATAAATAACTCCTTCTGGTCACCTTCATAATACAGTTGAGCCTCATTAATCTGGATGCTTGTCCAGATGTTTCACTTATACGAATGACTTGCTTGGGTCAAGCAAGTCATTCATATAAGTGAAACACCTGGACTACTGAAATGTACTTTTTATAGAGAGCTCAATAGACTAACATGTAAGACCAGAGAAAATTTGAATTAAAATCTGTATATTCATCAAGCAAATTTTTCTGTGAAACCTTCCAAGAATTCCTTCGCTACCAAGATTCCATGCGATCATGGTGAATAAACAGTCCCATAGATATGTTCTAAGATTTAGTTCTTGCAGGGAGCTTAAATGAAACAAAAAATAATCGCATCTACCAGTGTTTTCCCTTTATTTCAAAGTAAAAGGTTTAAAGTCCAATTCTAACAGACTGGGGGTCAAAGGGGCTGCCTAGGCCCCCTTGTGGGCTGAGGGTGAAGCCCTTGTGGGGGCCCAAGGGGGCAAAGCCCCCTGGCAGAAATTGATTTTATGTGATTTTTGAACCCTTTGGAGAGCTCTCAGGCCAGATACAATTGAAAAATTTAGGCATCTTCCAACAGATTAAAAATCTTATAAATTTGTCTTACATATTAAAGTAATTTCTCAATATCTTTTTTTTTTATTGTGAGAATTGTAATTGCATCTATATCCCTGTCAAAATATGTTAAATTGCTATAGATAATATGAATTTGCACATCCAGCTACAGGGAATCTACTATTGCCAGGAAAAATATAACAGAATGCCGAATAAAAATTCCCGATAATAATAGAAAAAGAGAAAACACAAATTCAGCTTGTTTTTAAAAATAAACATGCATATCACGTTAATAGAAAAGATCGTCCAAGTCGGAGTGAAATTCTGAAATTTTAGTCATAATGTCACAAACTGTTAGTATAAATGTTTATCAAAACTATCGCTTCACTGTTCATTCACTAACCTGACAATTTTTTGGACCTCTTTCCCATAAAAACTTCTTTGACTTTCAATTGTCTTTTTTTCCGCCATAATGCCTCTTATTATTTGGGATACAGTCGATTTAATCAATTCGTGCTACGTTGAGTCGTGTAAGGTTTATTAGCAACGAGACGTTTGCCTCAATTTTTTTTTAACTTTAAAATTTCTAACTGGCATTTCTATTAATTGAAGCAGTCAATTTGGCCAATGGCCGTTTCTTAGGGAAAACACAGATCTACTCTACACTGCCTTTCACTACAAGATTGCTAATTAAAAGGCCTATTTAGCCTCAGTTACGGAAATGCAACTTACATATGACATCAAGTGATGTCAAAGTCTAGACTGTCTAGTTTGAAGAGGCAGATCAAAGTTTAAATTGTAAGCTATGTAAAAGTTTTTTAATGGTATAACTTGTCACAACTGCACTTGCTCCAATGGTGGCACTGAAAACATATTAAGGTCAAGATCTAGTAAATGAAAGGAGCCTATAGATTTCTCAAATTTGAAAAATAAATTCCTTTAATGATGCTTGATCAAATAAGATGGTGGGGCATATTTTGTAGGAAGGCAAGACAAAAAATCATATCTTAAACTGTCTTTTTCAATGAAAAATCAGTCATGAATAGATAGTTTTCATATGACATATTTTCCCTTGGCCGCCATCTTGGTGGTCAACCTGGTAATTTTTCCTCTTTGTCTTACCAAATCTAAGAGGGTGTAGCGGAAATATTTGGGGAAAAATCTTTATAGAATAAAAATTATGAAATAAAGCATTTCCTTTGTTCGATAAGGGAACAACTCCCATATAGATAGTTTTCAGTAGGCCCAAATTAGCAAGAGTTATTTCCCGTTGGCCGCCATATTGGAGGTCAACATGCTCATATTCCTTCATTATTCAAACAACTTAAACTTTTTATACTGGCCATTGTGGGGTCATAAGAAGCATTGTTTTTCTGAAAAAATACACATTTGCTAAAGCTTCCTTTAGGAAGTGTATCCAGAGCTGTAAAGTACGGGAAAAAGAAAGTTAAAACTGATTATGGCGTCATAATGGATCTAGCACCAAAATGACAGTCTTGAATAATTTACTAGATCTTGACCTTAATTTTTAGATATAAATGTAAATTCTGTTCTCAACAAATATCACCCAGAAGGTGAGGTATTATTGGCGTCCTGATAACAAGGCTCTACTGTATTTGAATAACTGTTGATTGTCCGTCTTCACCACCGCATCTTGGAAGATCAAATTCATTTTCACCAGCAATTAGGCTCTGAGTCCAATCATATCTAAAGTTTTGCGCTAAATAAGTTACAATGTCCAATTGTCTTTCTCCTTTTATCGATAAACAAGAAACTATAGACATTTGGTGTAAAACTCTTTATAAATATGGTTGACCAGTTGAAGTTAGCAACAGTGGAATATATGATGGCTTGTTGCTCAGATTGTGTAAAAACTTTCTGAGTCCTAGCAGGGACCATATATTTTAACTATTTGTGTACATACTTTTTATTCTGTTCTGTTGTATGTCCCTTGTCCTAGTGACTATAGTCTTTAGGATTGATACAAGTAAGTTAGTAACCATTACAATACAGTATTCAGATCCTCAATAAAATGTCATTTAAGGCTTCACATGTTCGAACATCCTTACCTAAAGAGTAGGAAAATGGCAAAGGCCATTTTCTTTTTCGTACAAAACTCAAGCATCCTTGTTTGCCATCATAATTCTGGGTTGAAAATACTCTTGCAACTGAAATGAAAATAAACGGATAAAAACGTATTTCGGGAAATTAGGAATCAGTATAATCAACACAAGCGCTAATAAATATAGTTAAATAAATAACTGAAAATTCTTCTATACTTATGAAAAATTACTTTCTGGAACTTGGTTATACATACCAATATTTATGTCTGCCGATCGATATTAATGTTGCTACGTTTTATCCGGCTTTCTTAAATTTATACGTACATGATATTCCATTAAAGAGCTCTGCTGATCTGGATTACAACTAAGCGGAGAAGGTCACACACTCGAAGAAAATGATCCGCTCTTCGTGTAAAAAAGTCGGCATTTCCGTCCTAAATGCAGTCAGCAAACAAATTCAATCTGGATGTCCCGCTGGTATGGTGCCTAATTTACATAAATTCCTGTATTTTTTTACCATTATATGATATTTATTAGAATTCCATACGAAGAATACGAACTGGGTTCCTTCACCGGCAGAACCTGTGTTTAATTTACCATGTTGTTTGATTTTTTTTAAGCTCTACTTGTCAGAGACAAGAATACAAGGTGTCTGTCGTCTGTCTGTTTGTAAACAGAGTTTTCAAAATGCAACTCCTCCTACAGTTTTGGTCCAAGACTGAAGTATACTTGTTACACAAGTAGACTTCACTAAAGATACATAATTCTTTGTATCAGTTTTTGATTTCAATGAACGGCATTACTTTGGTTACTGAAAATAGAAATTTCTATGAAAAACATTCAAATTGCTACTCCTCGTACAGTCCTACAATTTTAGAACTTGGTACAACAGTTGCCTACACTAAGATACATAGTTATATATATGGTTTGTTTGGGTTTTGTTTTTGATGAATGGTGTTGCCATGGTTACTAAAATAGAAATTTCTATGAAATTCTTTCAAAACGCTACTCCTCCCACAGTACAATTTGAAAATAACTTGGTACACAAGTCTACTGTCGTACCAATTTATATTGATATATATAATCATATCAAAGATAGATCTCACCAATCAGAATGCCAAAATGTAGAAGTGTAGGAATTTTAAAAAACTATTTTGTGAATCAGGTACACCCCATCCCACCTCCACCCCACCCCATTAATCTGAGATGGCAAGTGTTGTCCATTTACTCCCTTGCTACACTGTGTTTTCTATACTTGTAACTGTTTATATTTCAGCTGCTGTAGCAGGATTGAGAGCATATTCTGAAGCTGGTCCTAAACCCCATACATCACTCTACCCAGTAGTCAGCGAGGGAACTTGGCTGCAGAAGAACAACTACTCCCAGTTTGATGGGTGGGAGTTGAGACAACTAATCAATTACATTGCTGTAGGTTTTACAATAATTTATGAATTCTTGTCAATCAAGGGCTTTATTTTAATTTATTTATGATTTTTTTTAAATTTTGGTACAATTAATCTAATTATCTTTGAGTAAGCCATTATGGCTCTTATATTTTTATCAATAAGTAAATAGAAAGAGAATTGGAAGTAAACGCTAATCATGTGATTTCATTTTTCCAACTGTAAGTAAGGTCTTCAACAAATTTGTGATTTGACATAAACTTACTGTATAAGAAAATGTGTGATGAATTTATTGAATAATCTATCTCTGACAGGCTGATGATGGAGTACCAGAGCCAGAAATTTGTATCGAGATCCTAAAGGGCTGCAGGAACCAGAATGACTACGCCCTGGCCACCCGCTTTTTGGAAGTCGCAAGGGTAGGAATTTAAACTTGCCTATTGGATTTCTGCAATGTATATATTTGCTTATATTTGTAAAATATTTAATAACAGTTTGTCTTATCTGCACATGAACATCAGTATATACATATTTTAGATTTAGGTAAGATTGTACCCTGAATTTCATGTATTAAAAAAAATGATAATAATAAATATTTTTTAAAGCCATTTAAAAAGTAATGCAATATATGTAATTTAAAGCACTATATTTTAATAGAAGTTTGCAAAAATTTGAAATGAACTTTTTTAAACAGAAAATTAAGATTTAAAAAAATTGATTTCAGTTGAAGGGAGGAAATTCAATGAATGTTACCTGGCCATACCTTATGCAGGAAATTGGACCAACATTACAGGAACTAGGAATCAGCACTCTTAAAGAAATGGGATATGAAGAACCAGAATTATGGCTAGAGAAAGTAGATGATATGTAAAAACTAAATTGGTAGGTTCATTTATTACGTATATTTTTTAAAGCAATGATGAAGTTTTTTTTCCAAAATGGTTTGTTTATGCTTTTTTGTGTGAAGAGATGCATAAACTCTGTTAATATCAATAAGAGATTTTCTGATTAATTCTCAAATGTTCACTTTCAGGTGCTATTTGTGTAAATTGTATAAATCAGCTATATCAACATGATTGAATTCATAATTGTGTGATTAGGATATTAGTAAGAGCTATATTTAGAAATGAAATTTGATGTTAGGAAAAAAACTTGATAAAGTAATGAATCTGAGAGTAGAGTACATATAATTGTATAGAAAAAAAAACATTTATTATAGTTTTATGAATATGAAGGAACATGCAGATTCTAGTTTTATGAATGACAGAACTTGCAGATTATAGTTTAATGAATGACAGAACATGCAGATTATAGTTTTATGAATATGAAGGAACATGCAGATTATAGTTTTATGAATGACAGAACATGCAGATTATAGTTTTATGAATGACAGGACATGTAGATTATAGTTTTATGAATGACAGGACATGCAGATTATAGTTTTATGAATGGCAGAACATGTAGATTGTAGTTTTATGAATGACAGGACATGCAGATTATAGTTTTATGAATGACAGGACATGTAGATTATAGTTTTATGAATGACAGGACATGCAGATTATAGTTTTATGAATGACAGAACATGCAGATTATAGTTTTATGAATGGCAGAACATGTAGATTGTAGTTTTATGAATGACAGGACATAGATAATAGTTTTATGAATGGCAGAACATGCAGATATAGTTTTATGCATGACAGAACATGCAGATTATGGTTTTATGATTGACAGGACATGTAGATTATAGTTTTATGAATGACAGAACATGTAGATTATAGTTTTATGAATGACAGAACATGTAGATTATAGTTTATGAATGACAGAACATGCAGATTATAGTTATATAATGACAGAACATGCAGATTATAGTTTTATTATGATGGAACATGCTGATTACAGTCAAAGTTCTTCTTTTCAGGAGTGACTATTAAAGTGTGGTATAATATGGAGTCTGATTTAGGAAGAAAAGAGACATTATTTTAACTTTACAAAGGACATGTGTTGTTAAAAATGTTTACTTGAATAAACAACTTGAATTACCTCTTCAAAATTGTTTTATGTATATCCATTTATGTCCAGTGACATTTCTATATACATGTATTAATATTTTACCATTTCCAGATTAACTCTGTTAACTGGCATTGGCTTACCCTTGAACCATCAAATTGTTATGATAATTCAGATAAATAAGATCCTTTTCATTTTAAAAGCTTCTTGTAGATTTTTTTTTTTTTTGATAACTGATAAAAGTTGAAAGGATAACACTGTGATATGAGTTAAAATTGGTTGTTTTATGTTTAAAAATTATTTGATCAAGGACTTTATCAAGAATTACATTGTTATAGATTTCAAAATTTTACATGAGTATATACAGGAAAAATCTTTAAAAATCTTCTTCTCAAGAACATCAAAGCCATGATCTGTGTAGATTCAAATTTGTTCCGATCTTGACCCCTGGTGGTTGGATGGGTCCACTATGGGCAATTAAGTTTTACATGGTATAACTAGGGAAAATCTTTAAAAATTTTCTCAAGAATAGCAAAGCCATGATGAGTCATATTGATATGGAAGTGTCAGCAGATAGTGTAGATTCAAATTTGTTCAAATCATGACCATACACTGTACATGTTAACTCTACCGCTTTTTTACTCCATCTCCCGCCTACCGCTTTTACTAGTAAATCTATCGCTTTTATTGTTTTACAATTTTGGGTTCCCTTGGGTAGCCATTTTTGAAGCCACTTGTCATAAAATCTTGTTAGATATTGCATAATTTGACCTGGGAGCATACAAATGCTTCTTTTGGACCGATGTTATCATAGATTTCAAGGACATGTTTGACAACGACAAGTGCACAAATATCCATAATTACATTGGTTGCTATAAATTAGTCAACATCCCTGCCAAGAGAATTCTATGACATGACACCCTGGAGTAGGGTGGGGCAATAATGGATGAGCAAGATTGACTTGGATAAATAAGAAAGAATCTTTAAAAATATTCTTCTCAAAAATAGGAAAGCCATGATTAATCATATTAATGTGGAAGTATCCTCAGATAGTTCAGAATCATAATTGTTCAAATCATGACCTCTGGGTGGAGGGTGGGGGCTACAATGAGGTCAAAGAATACATAGGAGAAATATTTAAAAGATCTGATGATGAAGAACAGCAAAGCCATGATCAGTTATATTTATGTCTAAGCATCCACAAGTAGTGAAGATTCAAGTTTGCTCAAATCATGACCCTTGGGAGTAGGGTGGGGCCACTATGGGCAATCAAGTTTTGCATGGAAATAGATCAGAAAAAATTGTGAAAAATCTTTTTCTCAAGAACAGCATAGCCAAGATCAGTCATATTTATATGAAAGCATCCACAGGTAGTGTATATTCCAAGTTTGTTCAAATCATGACCCCAGGGGTAAGGTGGCACCACAATAGGAGATCAAAGTTTAACATGGGAAAACAAAAAAATCTATTTCCCATGAACAGCAAAAACATCAATCATAGTTCAAGTGTTCAAATCATGACCCCTGGCGATAAGGTGGGGCTACAAAGGGTGATCAAATTTTACATGGGAATCTATAAAAAAAACAATCTGTTAATGAAGGACAAGAAGGGCCAGAGTTACTCAGGTGAGTGTTGTGGCCCTTGGGCCTCTTGTTACTTCACAACAGTTTCAGAAACACCACCCATGTTTAAATGTAAATCAAATTTGAAGCTTTTTTTTAGCATTATTAATAATGAGCCCAACTGTAATTGATATCCAAGGATCACGTCCTACCATACTGTCTCCATTCCTTTTTTTCTGCTCTGTCTCTCCATGTCTCCTTTATAATGGAGAGCAGAAAAAAGGAATGGAGACAGTTGGATGTGATCCTTGGATATCCAATTTGGTCCATTATCAATAAGTTATAACACTTCATATTTGATTTACATTTTATGCTTCATATTTGATTTGCACTTAAAGCAGGTAATGGATATAGGTGTTTATAAAACTGTTGTGAAATTAGAATAAATCAAAGTGTAGAGAAAAATCGGTTTCTTCCGTTTGTGCAAAAATTACAGCTGGAATTTGGAACTGATTGAAATTTACTAAGACTTGCACAGTAAAACAACCAAAAACCTGAATTGATGTTCTTGAAATATTCTATAAAAATGTAGCATAGGAGAAATCTAAAATATTGAAAAACAAAAATAATTCTATATGCATTAGATAATGAAACGTGGGGAAAAAAAGATAAGTGCATATTATGCTGGACTCAAACTTCATATGGAAAAAAAAATTAGTTTACAGAGAATCAAGTGTCATAACTACCACGCCATGTAAGACAATGATTCTAATATATATGGATTTAGCCACAATTAAAATCATATATGTGAGTTGTTTTCCCCCTAAAAAATACTTATGGAGAAACATGCCTCCTTGAAAGAAACCTTGAAAGAGGTAGTTTTCTCCCTTTCTCTCTTAGTAACAAAATCCGATATTACTTTGGTCACAGCTAATTAAATTGCCATTGTGTCAAAGAAGAGGATTAAGTGAATCTAGAAAATACAAGGATATATATGTATAGGCAATGTCTATTTGGAGTTCAGAATTGAATTTGATTTTTATTTGATTGGAATCCTCATGTTTGATGATATGTCCAGGCTTTAATGGAGAAACATTACTTTACCCAAATGTTACTTATGACTTTGAACCAAATATCCTTTGAACAAGACAATTCACAGATGAAAGTTGTAAAAAAAATTTTAAGTGCCATACTTAGTAATGCAGTGATTGTGTAGTAGTTAATAATTGTATATGGGTACCTATATGTATACATTAGGGTGTCATGTCAGTTACTGTAATAATCCAAGATCATTTGCCACCTTAAGGTCAAATTTTAGTCCTGGTCAGAACAAGATGGTTCATAACTTAGTTTATTAGATTTTGCAAAGGCTCATACTTTTCAAAAAAGTGTAACCTAAAGGAGTCATGCCTGACCATGAACCAAGATCATATAGACAAGGAAACAGGAATCAAAAGTGTAAAAATTTTGTCTGGGACATAGTTTCTGATGTAGAAGTTGCAGAATTTTACATTTGACAAATAGAGTCTCTCTTTCTATCTGTGTAATAAATATTTGGTTTTGTAAAACCAATCAAATAACAATATTCACTATGTACTGTCTATCGAGGGATTCTGTCTATTATGATAAGCGTATTCAAACAACCTGGGTATATAAGATAGAAAGGTAAAACTTAATTGTTTAGCATTTCAGATTCAGAATTTGAAATATATAAAACTTGAGAAGGAGCAATATCAACTAAAATTCAAACCTCTCCATCTCTCTAATTGTATAAAATTATTTATTTTTGTAAAAACCAATCAAATAAAAATATTCACTATGTATTATCTACCAATAGATTCTGTCTGGCGGTCAGACGGGTTCTATCGCCAGTGGCCAAATAGCTCGGTTGGTAGAGCACCTGACTTTTGAGCCTTTTCTATTACATGTTCATTATAATACCTGTATGTATTTGCAAGCCAGGAATCAACCAGCATTTTCAAGTTTCAAAACCCATTTGCAGAGTCAGCATAAAGCATATACTTCCATGAATTCAGCATCATATACTAGTACCCAATAAATTGATTGCAAGAATTCTTGTACTACTTGAAGAGAATTTACAGTTACGAAGATTGCAACACATTGCAGCGCAATATAATACAGAATGGAAGTGTGCATTGCAATTCATAATGCTAATGCAATTTTGCAACAATTAAAATTCTTAGATTAAACATTATAGAGAATAACATCGTCCTGTACAGGTAAAAAGCTATCAGTTAACAATGAAAAGGGAGACGGGTTAGAAGAGAAAATAAAACACTTAAAATAATTAATGCTCATAGTTTCATTTATGTACTTTATCTATTTGAGTAATCTTAAATACATTGTAATTATTCATCTCAGAATTTTAATTGTCGCAAAATTGCATCTCAAGCTTTTGGCCGTTATCTGCAAGGAAATGACAAAATAGTTGGTTTTCATGTAATAAGATTTTTAGTGGACGTTCATGCAAGTAAAAAACAAACCTACATTCTAATGATTCAATTCATAGCGGTTTTTCATTGATGAGAACAAATGAAACAATGAGCATTAATTATTTTGCTTGTCGTCAGTTTATTTCAAAACATTCTGAGTATAAGATTGCGAGGTAGTTTAACTTAATTGTTTAGTATTTCAGATTCAGAAGTATAGAAAACTTGAAAAAGGAGCAATATCAACTAAAATTCTCTATCCTCTCTCTCTCTCTCTCTCTCTCTGTGAGTATCAAATATTTAGTTTTGAAAAACCAATAAATTGATCGCAAGAATTCTTGTACTACTTGAAGAGAATTTACAGGTAAGAAAATTGCAACACATTGCATTGCAATACAATACAATGCAAGATGGAAATGTGCATTGCAATTGATAACTTTCTGTCAAACAAACACAAATATTCTACCTGTAACAGTAAAGGATTTAGTACCCCAACACCACCGTTTGTACATATCTATTTTATATAAATATTGTTTGCATTTGGGCATAATTTTTTAAAATTTGCATTAAGTCACTTCTTATAAAGTTAGACAACTCAAATTATGTCCCTTTGAAATGCGAACATACCACGTTGGTGGCAATCGGGGTCATATTTATGCAAATATTTGGTCACCTTTAATCAGCACCAAACCTATGCACTATATAAGTATATGGGTGGGAAAAATAATTTAATGATAGAGTGAGGTTCTATCATCATATACTAAACGTTAGACACATTTTTTTTTTGATTATTTATAAAGGTTTCAAATGAAATCTTATTCTATCAAAATTCACCATTTTGGTATTATGCGCAATATGCAAAGATTTTGAACAATTAAAATTCTTAGATTAATCAATGTACGAAACAGAATTCTTTAGCGTCCCAATAAAGGTAACCAGCTATCAGTTAACAATATGAAAAGGGAGACGGATTAGAAGAGTGAGTTTATCTCATCAATGAATACCGGTATGTATTGAATCGTTAGAATGTAGGTTTGTTTTTTACTTGCATGGATGTCCACTGAAAATCTTATCATATAAAACCAACTATTTTGTCATTTCCATGTAAGTCAAGGCCAAAAGTTTGAGATACAATTTTGCAACAATTAAAATTCTGAGATGAGTAATTACAATGTATTTAAGATTACTCAAATAGATAAAGTACATAAATGAAACAATGAGCATTAATCATATTGCTTGTTGCCAGTTTATCAATACATTCTGAATATAAGACTGCGAGGTAATTTAACTTAATTCATCAGTATCTAAGATTCAGAAGTATATAAAACTTGAAAAAGGAGCAATATCAACTAAAATTCACCCCTCTCTCTATTAAATATTAATTCTTGAAAAACTGATCAATCAAAAAAAAAATTCTATGTATTATCTATCGCACTATGGTAGGTGTATTCAAATAACCTTGGTTTACAGTTAGATGACGCACTTCTGGTAATTATTGACAAAATTGACTCATTTGCAAGCCAGGAATCAACCAGCATTTTCAAAACCCATTTGCAGAGTCAGCATAATACATACATACATGTACACTCCCTTGAATTAAGCATCATATAACGAATAAAACGATCGAAAGAACTCTTACACTACTGAAAGAGAATTTACAGTTAAGAACGTTGTCCAACACATTGCATTGCAATACATTACAAAATACGATGGAAGAGTGCATTGCAGTTGGTAGCTTTCTGTCAAAGAAGCACAAATTATTTACCTGTAACGGTAAAGGACTTGTTACCCCACAACCATTTTTTGTACATGGCAATTTTATACCATTGTTTCTGCACTTGGGCATAATGTTTAAAAATTTGCATAAAGTCACTTCTTGTAAAGTTAGACAACTCAAATTATGTCCCTTTGAAGTGCGTACTTACAACGTTGGTGGTAATCTGGGGCGCGTTTCACAAAACTATCTTAAGATTTGTCCTAAGACAGATCTTAAGACAATCTTAAGATCTGACTTACGACAATCATAACATCTGTCACAGCTGTTTCACAAAACTATCTTAAGTAGTAGAAATCTTAAGACAAGTCTTAAGATATATCTCATGCTACAATTTTATAGGAAATTGTATAAAAAATTAAAATAAAAATATTCTTGCTCGATGTTAAGTTTTCTTCCAATCAAATCACTGATATGTTATTTTTTTTCTTAATTTTGTTTTTAAAAAAGTGTATCTTAAATATTGTAAAGGAGTTAAACGCTCGAAAATAAAATTTCAATGTACCAAATACATGTACAATGTTCAAATTTTTGGTGGGGCGGGGGATGTAGGAGCAGAGTCAATAATGCTAATTGTGCCATGATTATGTATGAATTAATTCGAATGAGAAAATTGTGTGACAAAAAGTATTTGTGTTTGTTGATAAAATAAAAGTTAATTATGTTTAATTTGAATTGTTAAATATTTCATATGAATTTACTTTAAATTTGATCCACCACCCCATTTGCGCTTGTATACACGAAATGAATGGTATTCTAATGCATTCATCTGTGTCCACAAAACGGGTACGAAGTCCGTGCGCTCAGAAAAAATTCTAGTAAGAAAATGTCTCTGAAAAGATGCCCAAATTTTAGCTCTGCTGAGATAACTGTGTTAACAGATGAAGTGGAGAAAGGAAAAGACATTCTATTTTCCAGGCAAAATTCAACAGTTTCCAATTCTTTGAAGAAGGAAACATGGAACAAAATAGCCACCAAGGTAAATGCTGTAAATACTACAGATCACATCAGGTCCGGAGAAGAAATGAAAAAGAAGTGGACCTGCTTGAGCAGCGAAAGCAGAAAGAAGTTGGCACTAAACAGGAGGGAGCAAAAAAAGAGAGGGGGAGGATCCTTGCCATCAGGGGCCGCCTTAAGACCAATAGATGAGAAAATAGAAGGTATCATCGGGGAAACCTCAATTTCGGGAATTGAGGGGGGCATTGACGTTTTAGAGACAGAGTCGGCCAGGGAAACGTCACCAAGCAAGAGCACAGATGCTGTAAATGGTAGGTTTAAGGGTGATACTCATTAGACTTCCCGGTGAAAGGGGGGTGTTCCTAAAACTACTTGGTCTATTTCACCAATCCTGTAAATAGTGAATAATAAATAGCACTGAAGTGAGATGTCTTACAAAGGTACGAGAGGATACATAGTGTTTGATTTTTTTTTCTACAGAGGTGGGTATGCTCTACACTATAAGGAAAGTCGTATGCAACTTTGAGTGATAATTTTTTGTCTGATATTTTGTAGTTTTATTAATTCTTCATACAATTATTTAGCATGAAGAGAAAACAAATATGTCATTTATTCACCATTTTATAATACTCCATGTAAATTTTGAAATTGAGATAAAATAACAAAATTAATGTTTTAATATATTTTACGAAAAAAAAAGTTTCGCGATTTTGTTTACATGAACTTCGTATTTCTGATTGTATAATATAAATTTTGTTTACAGAAAAAAGACTTCCCGATGTACATGTAGAGCCAGCAAAGAAACGCTCAAAGATTCTTGTAATGATGACATAACATTGAGACTAGTTGCAACAGAGGAAGAGAGGCTGGTTGTTGAGAAAAAAAGATTAGAAATGGAGGAAAAACGACTGAAAGTTGAAGAACTACAAATACAACGTGAACAACATGCTCTTCACCTGTGTCAGCTGGGAATCGTTCGTGACGCTACAGTAACAGTCAACACCCCCTCTGAAAATAAATAAGAAATCTCTAGAAATGTGTTCAATTTACTGCATGTTATTTATTTTTGTGCTCATTACAATCACAACAATCTTGATACAGAACAAATTCACAATCGCTAAAGGTGATGTTCAAAAATTGTTCCATCAAAATTTGGTGTTAAAAATTATTTGATAGAGGGTATAATTAATAACAATTATTGTATGTAAGCAGCTGCTGCATAATAGAATTTTAATTTTGAAAGTTGTGGGTCAAGGGACCAACCTTGTAGATGGATTTTACTTTTGTTCTCGATAACTTGAACACTTTATTATTTTACTATGAGCATTGGAAAATTGGACATCAAACGCTTTTTATAAAAGTTACCAATATTTTATAAAAACCAAATCACCTTCTATCACTCCTCCCCATTTCACAAACAGTTGGATAATATACAGATAAACAAAATATTTCTAATAAATATTAATGTGTATTTGGTTCCGAATCCATGCTTACTAAATACATAAAATGAAAACGGCACCATATTTCATGAATGCACAATTTTTTTTGGTGGTGCGACCTTAAAATCTAGAGAGAATCAATCTTTGGCGGATCTCGGCTCCGTCATTATTGGGTCCTTGATAGACGTAGTTATCTGGTGGACTAAGTTGATATGCCCCAGGATTTTGTGCTTGTGGCACCGGAACATTGTGATCAGTGCACAAGTTGTGCAGAACAACACAGGCAGTCACAATTCTACATGCTCTTGTTGGATGAAACAGAAGCGTTCCACCAGAATGATCAATGCAGCGAAAGCGCATTTTAAGCACTCCGAAGCTTCTTTCAATAGGGTTTCTCGTCTTAGCATGCGCATCGTTGTAAGCTAATTCACGGGGATTGCTTGGGTTAAGGACTGGTGTCATCAGATAATTTTTCAGAGGGTATGCACTGTCCCCAAGCAACCAACCTCTTCTAATATATCCATTTTCAAAAAGATCACTAAGTGTTGAATTTGTCCACACAAAAGCATCGTGTGATGAACCAGGCCACTTGGCAACTATGTTAGTAAATTGTGTCCTGGAATCACAAACTGCCATTACATTTATAGAATGAAAATTTTTTCTGTTAACAAACAGATGCTCGTCATTTTTCGGGGCTCTAATTGGAATATGAGTTCCATCTATCGCTCCAATGACGTTAGGAAAATTTGCAATGCGAGAAAAGCCAAGTATGGTGTTATTTATACTTCTATCGTCCTGTGGAAATTTTATATAATGTGAACTCAAAGTTACTAGAGCTGATGATACAGCATTTACTACTCTTGAAACACTAGCTTTGCTTATGCCATGAAGATCACCAGTGACAGTTTGAAAGTTCCCACTGGCATAAAACCTGAGTGCCACCATGATTTGCAGTGGTGGAGGAAGAGCATGAGACCTCCTAGTATCACGCGCTAGATGAGCATTAAGCTCTACAAATAAACTCAAAATTAACGCACTTTGAAAAGATATATTTCTTTCCAAAGTGCGTTAATAACGACCATATTAACGCACTTTGAAAAAATAAATGTGCACGAATGGTCAATACTCTTGCAAATTTTAGGTATGATAAATAATTATCTAAATCCGTTTGGATACATATGTAATTTTTCGGTGATGACGTCGCTTCAGGATCTGAGATATAGACGTTTTAATGATTTTTAGGAATTGTCTTGCTCCCAAAGGTTCTCGTAAATGTTATAAAAGGGAAATGGGTCTTTTGGAAATAATGGAGGATTGTTTCATGATTGTTTAATAGCACAATTTCGTTTTCTTTCTTTATTTTATACCGTCTGTAATAAGTTTGGTAGATGTAGGGTCGATAAGTGACTTAAAGCATCGCATTTTTCCTAGGGAAAAGGAAGCAATTATAATTTTTCCACTAAAAAAATATAATGGGGTTTATTTTTTTTTTTTTCAGGAAAGCTTATCTCAATTTTTTCATCTATTTTGCGTTAACTCAAATTTATTGAGAGAAAGTATATCAATGTCATACCAGTTATGTTTTTTAGGTAGAAAAAAAAATAAAGAGTTGGGCTGAGGAACCTTCTACCTGTCTTCTCCTAGTTCTCGATGAGGGTAGATCAAATGCGGATTCAGCGTCGGCGCCCCCCCCCCCCTCCTTCCACGTTTGAACTTATTTTTTCATGAAGTCCCTTCTTACTAAAGTTGGATATTTCAAATTATGTCCCTTTGAAATGCGTACATACAACGTTGGTGGCAATCGGGATCATATTTATGCAAATATTTTGTCACCTTTTATCAGCACCAAACCTGTATACTATATAAGTCTTAAGCGTCCTCAAACAATTAAAATATAATTAATTAAAAGATAGAGCTGGATCATATTTACGAAGACAGTAATTTTGGAATAACAGGCTCAGAATGGTATTGTACATGGTTATAATAATTTTTAGTGCATTTGGTTCTCGTAATTTTTAACTATGCACAGCTTTATCTGGATCCCTTCATAGCTGACCCTGAACCGAGCATTTTGAAGTATTGAGATTTTTTTTTTATTATGGCGTAAGCAGATAACAAAGATTGCATAACAAGTCATGCTGATTTACAATGTAATATCATTCTGTGTATACTTGAAGATCAAATCTAAAATGCCAGTACCTTTTTAAAGTATCACTGAACGATAACGCATAAAAAATTAAATGTTAACCTTTTTAAAACATTTATGTGTACTGGTGTTTTAAACCTGTGCTGTCATGTATGAACCATTTACTTAAAAAAAATGTTGTCTTGTCTTTTTTAGGTAGTGCACGATGGTTTCATATTTCGGATACTTAAAAAAAACGAGTTCTTTTGGCTTCATAAATGGTTATCAGTGGGACAATGAGGTGCATTCATGTTAGGTATCCCCTGGAATTCATCTTTACATAAGAAATTTTTAAATAAAAAAGGGTAATAAATTACGAAAGCCTATTAGGATCAATCTATGGAGAAAAAAATTTAAAAGGCGTTATAACGCCTTTTCAAAAGGCGTTATTACGCCTTTCTAAAAGGCGTTATTACGCCTTTCTAAAAGGCGTTATAACGCCTTTCTAAAAGGCGTTATTACGCCTTTCTAAAAGGCGTTATAACGCCTTTTCAAAAGGCGTTATTACCTCTTTCTTAAAGGCGTTATTACGCCTTTTGAAGAGCCATTATTATGCCTTTGACAGGCCCGTGTTTATGAAAAGGGGGGGGGAACAACCTCCCAAAAAATTGACAAGCAAACAAAAAACAAGAAACACCCCCCCCCCCCAATACTAAACTGCCTAAAACTCGACGGGGATCTTTTTATAACTTTACGGTAAAACTTTTTTTAAAATGCAATTATTTTCCAGAGTTTGATCATACTGCAACAAAATGTTCAGGGACCAAAGCCAATAAATGAATTTTTATATTTAAACTATAGCAAGACTCTTCTCCTAAAAAAAAAAAAGTGGTGGGAGACCCCCACCCCCATTTGCACTCGTACTAACGGCCTGTTTGAAAAGGTTTTATATCCCAAAATGAAAATGCGTTATTCTATATTAATAAATACTTGAAAGATTGAATCAAAGCTATCTTTATTTATGCAATATTTAAAAGTATTTTCTATATTCCTGTACATCTCGCAGACAACTGTTTGCATGCGTATTAAGAGAAGTCAACACTCTTCTTGTAGAAATCCAGGATACAAGCAGATGCAGCTTGGGGCTTTGCTTGCCATGTATTGAAAATTCATGTCAATTTTGAAAACATTTTTCTCTCCTCTTGGAAAAAAGCAAGCAAACTATTTGCATGGGTAAAATGAGCAGCAATTAGCCTTCAACCAAATTTGTGAAATCCATGACCCTTGGTATAGGTGCCTGGCATCAGAGAAGGACTAAGTTGGTTTAACATTGAAAATGTATTACACATTTAAAAAAATTTTCCCTGGAAATCTAATAACAATATCTTTAAATTATTTTTGAAGAAATAAGCCCTATATTTAATTGTAAAATTCATGTCCCGAGGGTAAGATTTCAGCCCCCGGAGTGGGCTAAGTTAGTCAGTATTGAAAATAAAAGGCGTAATTACGCCTTTTTGAAAGGCGTAATAACATTTTTTTGAAAGGCGTAATAACGCCTTTTGAAAAAGGCGTAATAACGCCTTTTGAAAAGGCGTAATAACGCCTTTTAGAAAGGCGTAATAACGCCTTTTGAAAAAGGCGTAATAACGCCTTTTAGAAAGGCGTAATAACGCCTTTTTGAAAGGCGTAATAACACCTTTTAGAAAGGCGTAATAACGCCTTTTGAAAAGGCGTTAAAAACGCCTTTTTTCGCGTTATTACGCCTTTTTTCGCGTTATTACGCCTTTTTGAAAGGCGTTATAACGCCTATTAAATTTTTTTTCTCTATAGATTGATCCTAATAGGCTTTCGTAATAAATAACTCGACACAACTTTTAAAAACACATTGTTATTAAATAAATGCATGCATAAGTACTTATCTAGCATTGTTTCTTATGTTCTCCTTTTCATTTGCGGGGGGGGGGGGGTGTCCCTCGATGATCCACTATTTGCAGCAAAATAAAATTGCAAAAATTGATCTTATTGGATAAGTGAGAACAAAATTTACAATACGAAAAATAGGTTTATAATATGATTATTTTTTAATAATCACCGGGCTAATTTCCGGAAACTAAAGGGGGAAACCTCGCTAAAAAAGAGGGGGAAGCTCGCTATATAGTTAGTCTTTCCTCCCAGGAAAAACGGCTGCATAGTGAGACTTCCTGGGAGAACTCTCACTACAAAGCCAATCTTCCGGAGGTTGGGGGGGGGGTCATTATACATACTTGTCAGATTTGCGGAGGAAAAGGCGTCTCTCTATATAACACCGGTAGACTTTAACATGTATTTTTTATTACACAATTTCCTCCTCAAATGAAAAAGGAAGAGTCAGGGACTACTTTTACTCAAGAATATCAGTGGCAGAGGTGTAAACTTGAGTAGCGCGCCCTCTGGTGAGAGATTGAATACACGATAACGATTTTTAAAAAAATTTTAAAAACACAATAATAAGGACAAGTCCTGTAGTTTGAGGGAAATATTTAACTCTCCTCAATTGACCTTGATTCTAGGTAATATCATACCTTCTGATTATAAGAAAATTACAAATGCCAAGAATTTTACATTCCCGATTCATTTTACCTTGACCTTGTTCAAATGACCTTCATTCAAGGTAATAACGCACCTACTAGGCACACATATAAGCTACCATCTGATGAAATAGGTTCTACATGCATTGTTGCTGTTTACTCACATATTAATTACATGTATATAATATAAGCAACGTTAACGTTACGAAGAAAGGGATAAAAGAAAAAAGAGCCAGACATAAAGACAAACAATCCACCTTTTATTTTAATCTGGGGGCGAAAAAGAAATAGGTAACCAAGTTATATTTCATATATATTCGTGATGACAATTTATATCTGCACTTTTTGTTCATGTCCTCTACAAACACGAAGGTCAAAGAATGCCAGTGTTGGTATTAAGTTCGGGATTTGGTATCGCATTTCCTTGTGTGTATGGTATATTCAAAGCACCCTATCTTCGATATAATTACATGTATATTAAGGAAGACACAGGTAGTTTTCAATAATCTTTATATAACCGTGTAATTCAGTACTTTGACAAAGAAATATTTTTTTTCGGAATATAATTGTGCATGATACACTATATAATAGATGTACATCATAATTCAATGAAATTTATTTCGATTTAATAAATTAAAAAAAAAGGTTATGTATAAAAGTTTATATTATGCGTACAATGTAATAAAAAGAGACAGTGGCTTGTTACGCTTGCATTGATTATAAAAGAGAGATCTAAGGGTCACGATTATAACAAGTTTCAAGTATCTATATTTGCATTGGATGTATACCAGATGCCGAACATAATGAAAGCTCTAAGTAATAAAATGTCTGTAAGCTTTTTATTAAGACTATAAATGCTGGACCATTTGCAAGGCAAATTTAGAGAATTTGAAGTTTCTACAATGTTTAGTTGTCCAGAAAGACTTGGGCAAGTTAGAACTTACTTGAAGACATTTTTCAATGATAGTCCAGGAATTTGAAATTCAACTTTATCATTAATGGTCTATGGGACTTTACATGGATTACAGGTCAATGCCGACTGTCACTGTCACTTGACGGACAAACACTGGTCAGAATTGTTGTACAGATTTATTGAACAGTCTACAGATCAACTGTAAATGTTGCTGAAAAAGTTCTTGCTTCAAAACCTTGTTATAAACTGCAGATATATATTAATGGTGGTACTGGTTTTAAAAGAAAAGAATTTTCAAAATTGTTAATAAAAAATGTATCCGCAAATGGGAGTACAATATGGCGACACTTAGCCTGCTAATTATTCAGTGTTTATAGATATTTTTGAAACGGGGTTCTTTATGAGCTAAACGAGTTACAATTTATAAAACAGCCAACCTAATTCATAATAAATGAAAGAATTGAATACTGTTTTGTTTTACATATTTAAGATATGGCATAAAGTGTTCGTCCTTACTTAAAGGTAGAGAACAAGTTGTACCAATGTTGCTGCTCTTTAATGTCGGGCTGTATTAAACTAATTGAACATAATTCGGTCATCAAAAAGAGATGTTTTCCAATGATGTGTTTTGACTTTTGATTCAATAAGGAATTCACATTTATAGCTTTTTTTGAGAGAGTCATGAGTAATTTGGATGGATATTTCAAAGTCAATGAGTCTCCATGTTTTGTTCGTAAAGACTTAAAATCCAAAGTGTTTTTGGCAACAAGCGCTTTATTTTTATTCATTCCTTAATCTCTATCTAAACAAATGTTCTTGAAATTTTCCGTTTTGAAATGATTATTTGTGTACATTTAATTTCAGCAAATCTCAATTTGTTTTCACATGTTACGCTGCACTTCAATCTTGACTTTTTTTTCATCAAAAACTTAACGCATTCCCTTGACAATTATGCATGTGCAATATAGTATTTCTGAAAGATAATAATGCACTTTAAACACAACAATTTCAATTCCTAATGCAAAAAGAGTAAACAAAGTCTAATGTAGGTAAATACTTCAATGTATGAACACAGTTCAATAAGGTGAACCTACATAAGAAAGGGGGGTTTAAACGTTTTGTTATTGCATGCCTGGCTGACTTTCTATAGAACAAGAAAGACCTGAAAAAAGGGTTATATATATTCTATAAACCTAAGAAGTCACACGCCGTTGGCTCAATCGGGTGTTATCATCTCTTTGGAGTTTTGAATTGGGTGAAAATCTCTCATTCATTGTAAGTCTATTTGCATTTTTTTTTTGGTTTTATATTTTCTTTTTCGTTTAAAACACCTGTGTGTTCACGTTCTATGAGGAAAATATTGTTTTTTTTCTTTTTATGCAAGGTGCAAAAGAAGAAGTTGGAAGATTTAAAGGGCGTGTCGACTTGGAACGAAAAAACATGGCTGCTTACGACACAGACGTGGAAAAGCATAAAAAAGTAAGTGAATATAGTAAAATAAATAATCAGATTTTGTGTATCAAGATTAAATAATCAAAACAAACCAAAGGAACGAATTAATTTTTATTTAAACAGCTGAGTTTGAGCATTTTCTTATGAGAGTCGTATGGTATTGGCAGTTTTTCCGGTCATTATATTTTTAAATTTAACTTTTTCAAAGCTATAAGTTTAAAGTAGTAACGATAGTCCTCTATCTTGTAAACAAAATCAACAGTTTGCTGAAGAAATAAAATCCAGCGTAGGGTAAACCCAGTTTATTTACCTAAAATTTATTGCTAAATTATAATCTGTTACACATAGCAATACTTATGAATAAAATGTACCCCTTTGCCCGGAAAAGCATTAATTTTTCCTTAGGCCAAACAAAAAAATATGTGTGGTTCCGGTTACACCTCCAAAAGAATTAGGGTAGATAGGTAGGGATTTTTTTTTTTCAAGCAAATTGATTTTCTTAATTTTTCTAAATAATACTTATCACTACTTTGCAAATGACATTTAGATGTGGTGTGATAATATACTAGTCAATATTGGTAGGGGACACCTACATGTACATGCTAGCTTGCTTTGGATTTAAGGTATGTCACTCGTCAGCTTTTTAGAAAAGTTCAGTCAGAACCTTTAACTTCAAAACTATTTATTACAATTCATTTTTTGTAACATATTTAAATTAAACAACCCAAATTATTCAACATTCAATTAAAAAACTGCTCACAAATTTGTAAAGAAGCAGGGTTTATGAGGGACTATTTCTTGTGGTGGAAGGATATTTAGAAGAAAATTATTCAAATCTACACATGTGTTAAATTTAATGTCTTGGAACTTTAGTCCCACACATTTTTACTCAGAGAAAATTTTCCGTTATGATATGCTAGGAATATTAAATATAGGTCTCAATTTATATTTTTAGAACACATTTTACACATTCACTCAACAGAACTTGCCAAGAAATGAAGATATGTTAAAGAAGTCAAGATAAAATTTACACAGTTGTTTGCCCGAAAATCGCACATTTTGACCAATATCTCAAAATTTACATCACTGACCCCAGCTTTTTCTTTCATTATTTTAAACAGCACGATACTTTCAACCGATCAGCACTTAAGTCATAAAAAGTTTGATGCAAGAAAATGTTTTGTTGCCTATTCAGATATTTTATACCCAGATATGATACTTTGTTTAGTGCAAAAAGGTCACACAATAATTTATGCGCATTAATTTGCCTGATTTGTTCAATGATAAATATTATTCAAACTATTTTACGTAAAATAAGGTTATATTCATTGCCATAATTACATCTGATAAAATATGAAAAAGATTAAAGTGATTAACCAAAGAGTTATAATTTAAGTGCAAAAAGGTCAACTTAATTGTACCGTAGCTCAATAAGATGCACACTGACCCCCCATTTTCTTTGCGATTTTGAGTCATGTTATATGAGTACTTATCTAAAATATACTTCTCAAAAAATCCTTGATATAACTAATTTCACGAATGATATACCTTAACAGTAATAAACACATGCACTATGTTGTGCAAGGGGGCCGTCATTGCTGAAACTAAAACTTAAACCGGAGCCATTAATGGAAATTGGGGGAAATTCCGGAAAAAATATGAAAATTGCCAAAAAAAAGCTTAGGGTCGGGGGTATGAAATAGGGACGGTCGGGTAACCGGAACCACACATATTTTTTTTATTTGGCCTTACACAAATGCACAAAGCATAAAGTGCTGTGAAAACACGATAATGCTTTACGTCTCATGTGCCTGTAATAATGGTTTCTAAAGAAAATGTAGGTTAGTAGAAATATTTGGTCAATCTGTACAGCATTAATACAAATTTTGGAGTTCTGTTTAGCACACACAAGCAAAACACATCATACACTCAATTTTCATGTGAAATTCGTGCACGTGCTGCACAAAGTTGGTATCGCCAAAATTTTGAAATGTCAATTCACGTGAAAAATATGCGTGTCGGCGAAACTCACGTGCCACACACACAATTCAAGTGAAATCCGTGCACGAGTTGCACAAAGTTGAGAGTCGACTACAAATTTTTGACATGAAAAAACATGCAAAACTCGATGAATCTCTCTTTGACTTCCCCCACTCGAATTTCGCGAAATGCAGTTGAATTTCAGCCAAGTGAGATGCTTTTTGCAAGAAGAAATTCATTTGAGGTGCAATGAAAGTTTTTAATTAAAAATTCATTTCACAGAAAGTCTTTTAGTTCTCAGAGGCGTTACTTTTTATAATTTAGTTCATTTGTGTTCCCATGCCATACTGATCAGTGTAGCGTTTCCTTCAACACCCACTTATAAATTTTTGGAAGATAATTTACGAATTGTATTTAATTCATATTATTAACAAACGGAGAACATTATATCCCAGGGGATGAATACAAGTCTCCGAGTATAATGATTGATATACATTATGGCTGAAACTACTATGCATGCAGTAATCGGTCGTGGGAAGTCTAAAATTATAACACTTTGAACCGAGTCATGTGGATATAAAAATTACATAGCCCGTGAATTGTATTTGTTCCGTGTATTCGTAGCATAGGTGGATTCAAGAATTGGTGAGGTGGCTCAATGGCATGAAAATATTGCTGTTTTCAAACTCCACTCCATTTAAACCCCTTTGCTTATGTTCCTTACATCCTAGGGAGACCTGGAGAAGTTTCCTATTCAGATTGCTGACCCGGCCTCGCAAAGTGTGTGTTTTTGTCCACAGAAGGGGGTTCGGACCCCCTTCCTTCTAGATCCGCCCTTGCATGGGAAAGATTTACATATATACGTGTTTCCATCAATTTCAAGAAAAGGTTCTTCATGGATTTTGTTTTTCTTCAGCTGTTCAGGTCCCGATTTTGTCTTATACAAGTATACATGCATTTTATGCAAAAAACAAGGTAGAATTAAGATAGTTCATTTAAAAAAAAAAGACATGTTCACACGCTTGCACATTTTCAAACTCGCAAGCTTTTATATTGCACATCTACCCTTAAAACGCAACCATCCCATGAATTAAAATTAGATTTTTTCCTTGCTTTTTAACATTACTTTGCAGAGTATACCGTTCATTGAACGGAAAGAAATCCATTGGATAATATACCATTAGACTATAGCGAAAACCAATTTTTAAAACCACAAGGAAAAATAGTTTTCAGTTTTCATTCGCCATTTAAATTAATTGAGCAGGACAGTTCCATCCGTGGGACCTGAGGCCCCATATACGTCCTTGAACCCACCACATGTAGATTAAACCTAAATCTCCCCTTATTAGGATATTTGGTCTTATTTTGTGGGATTTAATTTATATTTTATTTAGTGTTCATGACCGTAGCTGTTTAGAGATTTAAATACTTTCGTAACTTTTGAGGACAGTCTGCTTATCGAGTGTTTCCTTTTTCAGCATTGTAATTTATTCAACAAACCTATTTTCTTTTACTTGTACATGTACTTTTTGCCTTGTTGAAACTGAGAACCATAAAAATAGACAAAGAAACGTTTTTGTCTTTGTTTGCGAAACCTGTTTATACATATAATTATGCAGAGGAGTGTCCTTATTTTCTATGCAGTTTTTGGATTTAAGCACTTTTCTCTGTATGGTATCACCTACGTGTTCAAAATATAATTCACCATTTTCTACCACTTATACACCGGGCCCCAAAAGTAATGTTATACTTGAGAATGCATTATTCAGCTATGGATTCCTTTAAAACACGCACCACAGTATCAAGGTCGAAAAAGAGAGAATACCGAAGCTTCTTCGTATTTCAATAACGAGACACAAAACACGGATTTCAGATACTTGTGTGTTAAGGTTTTACCAAAGGTCAACATGTCCAAAGATTTATTTTTACAATAGCTCCAAAACAATGCGGTTTATAAAGTTAAAACTTTTACAGTTTATAAATATATCATTGATTAACAGATAGAGAGTATCACTTGATAACAAATACTTAAAAAATATATTTTATGCATACATTTTTTAAAAATACACCTAATTAATTCCGTACTTTTAGTGAAAACCAACATTGCAGAAACAATATATGTTTATCAATGAAGGGCAAGTTGGACTTCGATAGCCTCTGGAAAGTTGTTTTCCCTGTTTATTTTGTCCAAATATTAAGATTTGAAACCGAAAGTACATTGCAAATGGCGGATTTTATAGGGGTCTTGTCTTTATACATGTCATGCTTTCAATAACAGCCTCTCAGAAACCATTCACGTCCAACTTGCCCTTCATTGATAAACATATATTATTTCTGCAATGATGGTTTTCACTAAAAGTACAGAATTAAGCAGGTGCATTTTTTTTTAAAATATGCATTTTTTTGATATTTTTTTTTCTCAAAAAAATTTTTTTTTTAAATATTTGTTTTCAAGTGATACTTTCTATCTGTTAATCAATGATATATTTATAAACTGTAAAAGTTTTAACTTTATACCTCACATAGTTTTGGAGCTATTGCAAAAATAAATTTTTGGACATCTTGACCTTTGGCAAAACCTTAAATCGAGATATTGTCCCCAAGGAAAAGGTTACACAATTGTTTAAATTAAAACACATTGCTTTTCAAGGGATTCCTTGGACACGGTTTCTTGTTCCTTTTGGGTAGGATGAAATTATTGAAATTAAGGGGAAATATGCAGGTATATGCATAACATAGGAAGTATAAAGTTTACGTAACGGTCTAATACACATGATAAAAAAAAGTTTAAATGACATTCTTTTGAATAACATATTCAAAACATTAAATATACATGTTTCTCTGCAAGCACGACGTAATTGTGTGTTTAAGAGAGAGAAAGAGAGATCGAGATCATTTAAACCTGGTCAAATCGCAAAGTTGTAATTAATTATAAAGTTTGATTTTTATGAAAGTCTAGATGGGGCTAAATGTCAATTAAACTCATTACCTTACATGGCACTAATAGCAATAATTCAATGTATTCCAATATGTTCACTTACCATTAAGTTCATTAACCCTAGGTCCTTCCTCCACTCTACTAAACAAAAGGTAGAGGATTAGGTTAGAATTTACTAACTACTTCTAGCATTTAAAAAGGAAAACAATTTTATAAATATCTTGTTTTTTTCTCAGAAATTATCGGAGGAAGAATCGGTCGACTCTGGGGACGAAAATGTCGAGAGAGGAAACTGGTCATCTAAACTGGACTTTCTGTTGTCCTGTCTTGGGTATGCCGTGGGGCTGGGAAATGTATGGAGGTTCCCCTATCTATGTTACAGAAACGGAGGAGGTAGGTTAATTTTTAAAAAAAAAAAAGAAGAACATGCGCAATATACGAGGGTTGTTCGGAAATCGTGGATTTCTGTCACATCTTTTTTATTTAACGTCATATGTCATCCAAATCTGGTAGAAATATTTTAACAATAAATTTAAATGATTTGTATTAAATTTTTCAAAAATATCATGATTTATTTAAAACTTATCCAGAATTAAAAACTGCAAAAATCGGATCGCGGCGCAGGTCAAAATTTAATAATTTACAAACAATACACTAAATAATGTCTGTAGTCATCTTCTCTGTAAAATGGAGCAAAAACCAAAAAGATGTTTATTTTAAAATGAAGTAAATTAATTTCTATCAAATCGAATGGAATGAAATTTCACAGATCAACAAAACAAATATTTTTACACGTGATATTGTGCTTATTTTAAATTTCTTGGAAGTAGTATAACAAAGATTGACATCGTCCACGAACTTTTCGAACAACCCTCGTATAATTTTTTTTACATAAAAATACCGATGAATTCTACAATTATTACAGATGAACATGGATATAAAAATGAAAATCGTTACCCTACATATAAGACAAGTGTGAAATAATCAGTATAAATATAGCAACGATTATGAATATATTTATTATGATTATATCCCATGGTATCGTTCTGTTTCAGGGGCGTTTTTTATTCCTTACTGTATCGCCCTAGCCTTTTTGGGAATCCCCATATTTTTACTAGAGTTAGCCATAGGACAGTACTCTAGTGCTGGACCATTCACCTGTTGGAAGTTTTCGCCGATATTTACAGGTATGTACTACAGGTATTTTGAACACCTTTGAGACAAGTCAAAATTCAATTTTAGCAGCTTGAAAAGTTGTATATACATGTACTTTTTATTTAAATGCATGTTTATAGATTAATCAAAATACATATTTTGATTATCAATATTATCAATTAATTAATACATTATTTTTTTTCTTCAGGAATTGGATATGGAATGTTTATTGTGTCTGCTTTGGTGGCCATCTACTACAATATGATCATTGCTTGGGCATTCTTCTACCTTTTCGGTTCCTTCACGAACGAGTTACCATGGCAATCATGTGGGGACTGGAGTACAAATCGTAAGCAAGAAAGAAAATCTATTAAAATCTTATCATTTTTGGCCAGAGGAGTTAAACATTGCAACAAAAATGACTCATATATATAGATTGCAGTTATTTATTATTAATATTATTACAAATAATTTAAAGTAAATTGCTAAACAAATTTATTTCTTTATTCTGCAGAATGGGTTATTATTTCATAATCTGTGAAAATATATGCAGTGCATGAATTATATCTTTTTCACTGGGTTTTTCTACTTTTCAAAAAAAAAAAAACCAAACAAACAAACCCACACTGGTTAGCTTATGTAGTTATATCATATGGATGTCAACTTTACTCTCGAGAATATTATTGCACAGATTGGAGAAATACATTATCTTCTTTTATATCTAATAGGCATGTAGCATTGTGTTTGAATGTGGGAGAGGATAGAAAATAATTGACAACTTACCTGAAAAAATCTTATTTCGACCATGTCAAACAAAACAAAAGGAAAACTTTCCAAAATAGAAAATCCTCTGTCGTTGGGGATGGGGGTGGTGTAGTGTGGGGGCAAGAAAAAAATAAATATATTAACAATGGTTGATATAACTATACCCCAAGAAAATGGAGGGGGGGCTTACATTTTCATTCTAAATCAAAAGTAAAAGATTTCGTCAGAAAGAAGTGGAGGGGACAGCCTCTCTCCCCCCCCCTCCCCCTCCCCGAAAATACGTGGTTGGATAATTAAAATTATGTTGAGTGTCGATTTATGTTTAAAAAAAAACATTTAAATTAAGGTATATGTACATGAGATTTCTTTATATTTCATATACTTTTTCTTTTACTGAAACAACTATGTTATTTGAATTTTGTAGTATGTTACGACAACGTCAAGATCTTAAACAAAACATTTGAAAAGTGCGATGGAAATAATAGATGGGGCCTCAGCTGGGTAGCCAATGAAACACAAGGCATCTGCTACGAGCCTGGATTGTTGAACAAAAAGGAGGGTGTCCGTGCTTATCTTGATCCTGAGCTGGCAAAAAAATACTTTCCCAGGACCCTCCCATCTCAGGAGTACTTTGAGTAAGCCTTGTTGTTTCATGAATTACTGTGACACTGTAAAAAGAAAAATGGCTTCCAATAAATCACCCCAACTACACAAAATACTGCATGTTACGCTGTTTTAACTGAAAATGAATTTCAAACAAACACTCATCAAGAACAATTAATTTACAAGTTCCGTATTATAAGTGGGTTTTTTTCCTTTACAAATTACGTGACAAACATTAAATATGAGTGTGCATATCATTGATTTTTTTTCACGGTCGTACGTGTCATTTATTTAACTAATGAAATAATACTGGGAAGTCTGCTATACATAATATATCTATTGTATAAATTTTTAGCTTGCCTGAACTTTAGTACCAAATTATAAAATTCTGCTTTCCTGTCCGCGTACTCTTCAGCGTACCTCCTAAATGATAAGATTAACTGAAAAGCTTTTAAAATTGGCATACTAGTATAATACTACACATGTAGTATACTGTCATCTACATATTTGTAATTTTTTTTTCTTCAATGTGAGGTGATAATCAAACAATTAGTACATGCGAGCACAAGGTGACTAGGGTCTCTCATTTGCGTTTTTTTGGCTCGCCAGAACAAGACAACCATGCAACAAATTATGATTAATGGACAAATGTCAGAAACATCTAAAGATTCACTTTTTCAAAATTCTCTAATTTGACAGCAACTATGTAACCGGATCCGGATATAGCACTGGATATGACGACCTCGGAGGAGTCCGCTGGCAGCTTGCTCTTTGTTATCTTCTGGCATTCATCGTTGTCATACTTTCTCTCAGCAAGAGTATCAAATCATCTGGAAAGGTTTGTTCTAAACATTATACTCCACATTTCCATCTGATTGTTTTCTACCATTGATTCATTGTAAGTCAATTTTCACTACTTAGTAGTATTTTATTTTATTTTGGGAGGGTACACTTTACTATGTATGTACAAAATCTATTTTGTTGTTATATACATGTACTAGGAAAAAATCTGAATCTTCAATAGTTTGCTTTGTAGTCTAACAGGAAATCAAAGAATTGCAGTTGATGCTTTATATTCATATTATATGTTCATTGATAGATTTTAAACACAAGTTCCACTATAATCTCATCTGGAAGCTTTGATATGTTTAATAACCACTGTACACTGTAAAATCACTTATTTTCGTGGGGTTTAATTTTCGTTGTTTTCGAGGTATAAAAAGACCCACGAATTTATATCCACCACGAAATATAATTTATCACATATATTACCGCTTATAATTTCTTCATCCACGAAATCAAATTCCCATCAACCAATATATTTTCCTCAAATCACGAAAATTTGACCCCTCGAAAATATGTGATTTTACAGTTTTATATATAATTGTTTACCTTTTGACGGTAGGTGGTGTACTTCACGGCAACATTCCCCTATGTAGTGTTAGTTATCCTCCTGATCCGTGGCTTAATGCTGGACGGAATGGAAGAGGGAATCAAATTCTACATCACACCAGACCTTGACAGATTAAGCGATGCACAGGTAATGAACCATACACAAAGATTACTTCTAGCTAAAAAGGTTCTCGATAGTGCTGTGGTGTAAATAAATACTAATGTCAAGAAACGGCATAATATTCAAGGATTTCTTTGTTTCTAAAAAAAAACTTTTTAAAAAATCTTCCAGAAAGTAAGTATGCATTGTTAGAGTGTTCAATGTATGCAGGTTTTTCTCTAGTTTTTGTATGTTCTATAAATGAAGTTTTTGTTGGTGTATGTAATAGGTGTGGAAAGATGCTGCCGTCCAGATATTTTTCTCTCTATCGGCTTCTTGGGGAGGTCTGATCGCCTTGGCCAGTTACAACAAATTCCACAACGACTTAATAAGGTACTGTCAAAAATAGGAAATTGTATTTAAGAAAAAGGAATTATAATTATTTTCTTCGCCAATAAAAATTTATCCTCCGATGGCAAAATCGAAAGCACGTTCAAGGCAAATGATATATCTGCTTCATTTTCACTGTAGTTTTATTTTTAGCATTTAGAAGAGGGACAACTGTACGTGAATTAAACTATTAAGTTTATAAGAACTATATAAATCAAGAAGATGTTTATGCAAAATACAAGAGGCAATCGTATTTGTACTTAAGCACACTATTTGTAGTAATTTTAGAAGAGTCGATCTTCAACACAAATTATATTTCATCCGTGAATCCTAAAATTAATTGAAATATTGCGCATGGAATACGATTTTCTGTCATTAAAACGGCTAAAGTTATCCTATTATTTTAAAGGGATACCCTGATCGTAGCCTTTGGTAATTGCTTGACCAGTGTGTTTGCTGGTTTTGTCATCTTTTCCTATTTGGGCTATCTTGCTCAGTACATGGATCTGCCAGTAGATGAGGTTGCCAAAAGTGGACCGTCCTTGACCTTTGTCGTGTATCCATTTGCTGTCACCAAAATGCCTGTATCTCCACTTTGGGCCATTCTATTCTTTATAATGTTGATTACATTGGGAGTAGACAGTGAGGTATAATTAATGTGCTATATTTGCAATGTTTTGTGCTACAGTTCAAGTAAAGGTTATATTCCATAGGGTTTTATTAACTCAAAACTTATGTTTCTTTCAATTTTTAAAAATTTTTATACAAGCTGCGAGGGGTAATTATTGCGACCATGTCATGCAAAATACAATCATTCAATGCTATAAAGTAGAATTTTTTATGCCCCGCCATGAATATGGCCGGGGCATATGTTTGTCATGTCCGTCTTCCGTCCTTCTGTCCTTCCGTTCTTCCGTCCTTCCGTCACACTTTGCGTTTAACTCTGTTCAAAGCTCAGTTTCAAAGAAACTATCCAAGATATACATGTATTTATCAAACTTCATATGCTGATAGATATTGATGAGAGCTATGCAACTGCATCAACATTTTTTGACCTTGACCTTTTCTTTGACCTTGACCTCACTTTTCTTAAATTACTGTTTAGCTCAGTTTTAAAGATACCATTCAATATAGTGTTATCAAACTTAATATGCTGATAAATACTGATGAGAGCTATTCAACTGCATCAACATTTTTTGACCTTGACGTTTCCTTTGACCTTGAACTCACTTTTCTTAAATTATTGTCAAACTTCATATGCTGATACATACTGATGTAAGCTATTCAACTGCATCAATATTTTTTCACCTTGACATTTCTTTTGACCTTGACCTCACTTTTCTCAATTTGTGTTTAACTCAGTTTTAAAGAAACCATTCATAATATTTTTATCAAACTTTCTTATGCTAATACATACTGATGTAACCTTTTCAACTGCATCAACATTTTTTGACCTTGACTTTTCCTTTTACCTTAACTTCATTTATTTTAAATTAGTGTTTAGCTCAGTTTTAAATAAACCATTCAAATTTTTTTTTTATCAAACTTAATATGCTGATACGTATCTATGAGAACTATTCAATTACATCAAAAACGTTTGACCTTGAACTTTTATGGGACCTTGACCTCACTTTTCTTAAATTTGCATTTTGCTTAATTTTAAAGAAACCATTTAAGATATATTTATGTTAGCTTATGCACTTATACATAATTTGGTGAGAATTTATCATCTATGTCAAACTTTTTAGATTTCAATTTCAATTTTAAAGAAACTATTCAAGATATTCTCATCAAATTTCATAAACTACTACAAATTTTCATGTTGCATTACTAATATACCCTCAGGGGGGCATTCATGTCCTTTGGACATATTTCTAGTTTCTTATCTATATTTATTTTTGTAGCTATCAGTAGAATGTTCGATGAATGATAATTTAAACAAAATTATATACTAGTATATAAGATGTAGCGATATGCGTGAGCGGATCAGCGAGATATTTGTTGTTTATTTCAAGAGCTGTTTTTCTAGAGGAAAAAACTCAGAGATCTATCTTTTTCAGTTTGTCCTGGTAGAAACCGTGCTGACGTCATTAATGGACAGATTCCCCAAACTACGTAAATACAAGCTCTTCACCGTCATGATCACGTGTTGTATTTTCTTCCTTCTTGGTCTAACTTTAACGACAGACGTAAGTGTATTCCATTATCCGATCCCTGATGTAACAATGCTTCATTTTAAACTTTTTTCCCGAATTCAATTAAAAATATTTATCTGATTGCAAGCACAGCAAATTTTCTTAGCCCTAATTTTTTGCTAATTGCATACAAGACGCATTGCTCAGAAAACAAAATTAAAATGTGTTTTTTTTTTCATAACAGAAAAAAAATCAAGAAGCAAAATAAGTAAGATATATTGCTTTTTCAGGGAGATTTGTTTGTTGCTTTTTCAGAGAGGTATTTATATATTGCTGTTTCAGGGAGGTATTTATATATTGCTTTTTTAAGGAAGGTAGTTATATATTGCTTTTTCAGGGAGGTGTTTATATGTTAGAAATCATGGACACCTATTCGGGAGGATGGAGTATTCTATTCATCGCCATTTTCGAGTGCATTTCCATTGGCTGGGTGTACGGTAAGGAGAAAGCTGCTTTCATTATATTGTCATTATATAAAATTTATCCCCATCAAATTCTTGGAATAACGATTGGAAATCCTCTTTGTTTAGAGAATTTTATATATACGTAGCATATAAAATAACCAATTTTAGTCATAATCATTTTATATTAATCTTGTAGTATACTTGCAAGGCTTTAATCTATAAATTCGGTCTTTAATCCACTCTTCAAAGTGAATACGTGAGCATCAATGAAAATGTCTACTAAAAAGCATAATACAAGAGTATTTCAGTAAAATCTTTATAGTGGACTCTCATTTCTACAAGTTGAAATAAGCACTGTAGTATACACCTGACCTTATTTTGTAAAATGTAAATTGTAGGTATCTTCCGGTTCCTGGACGACATTAAACTGATGACAGGGAACAGTTTCTGTATGTGTTTCCCCTTCATCATGTTTAAATACTGGTGGATGCTTTGTTGGTGTTTACTAACACCCCTCCTGGCAGCCGTAAGTTCTACTGAGCAACAATATATTAATGTAGATAGTGAGAGAAATTTGATTTTATATAAAGTTCCTTTTAAATCCTAACAATTTGTAGGTTTGAATTTATTCATAATTATTTAAGCTAATTACTACATATACATGTATATTGGAAGCATGGCATAATTTTGAACTATATTTACAAATAAATCTAAAATGAATATTGAATTGGAGAAAATACTGTTTTCAGATCATTATGGTGTTCTCTTGGGTGGACTACACTGGAATGGATAACGGTGCTGAATATGACGTGTACGCAGACTTAATGGGATGGGGAATGACTCTGGTCACCATTGTGTGTATTGTGGGTACTGCAATTTACGTCATCATCAAGTCAGGCGGGGTGAGTATCATGATTATCATGTGATTGAATTGAGCATTTTAATAAATTTGATTAAGGTATGATTGTATTTTTCAACTCATAGTTGTAAATTAATTTATACGTATATAACAAGTTTATATCCAGCATTTCATTAAGATCCGCTTGTACATGTATTATTTTTTTAAAATAAAAATCCGCTTATGTTTTTTTACAGAGCATAAAGAAAGCAATACGCCCAACCATTGAGTGGGGCCCAGCTCTGGTGAGGCACCGACGAGAAGCCGAGTATCACACAAAGAGATACACCTCGGACTTCGTCGTAGATCCGTGGGGACTGGAGCCAGTAAACCCCAAAGACATCCAACTGCAGGTATATAAAATAAATTAAAATTTAAAAAAAATGCAATACCAATAATCAACAATTCTTTCATGCGTACGTATGTAGATCCAGATAATTACGAATATCGTACATGCTTATACCACATAACAGTATCTTTCTTGAATTATGTACATGTATTCGTGTATGATATAAACTGAGTTAATATATATTTGTATTATGAGAAATCCATGTACATTTACTAGTATATTGTATATTGCATGATTTAATACTGAAGTTATAAGGTTAACCAAAGAGGCTATAGAAGAAGGTTATGCTTCAATGATACAAATGAATTTAAATGAAATTCTTGTATATGGTTTGCCAAAGGGTAAGAAAAAAGATGAAACTTTTCAGCGGTTCCGCATGAGAATCTGCGATCATCTGGCTTCAAGAGTAGTTTTTCATTAGTTTACCTAAAATTGACAATACAGGCTACTATATGAGCACATTGAGATTTTATTTGTTTTTGGTTTTAAAGAAACTGAAGTACAGTTTGATTTGAACTTATCGTGAATCTATCGATACTGCTGAACAACTTTTAAAGACAAAGACAGGTTATTACATAATTTCATAACTTTCAGGTGGAAAATAAGACCGGATTAGAAAATACGGGCTATGTACCTCACGTTGAAGATTCGTCTAAATTCTAAACTGGTGGTGAATATCAATTGTTCTGGACGTTGTGTTTCATTTCTCACTTTAGCACTTATCGTTTTTAACTAAATCTGATTTAGATTCTTCACTTTCACACTTAGTTTGTTTTTCATTCAGTTCAGCATTTTCTAGAGTGTTTCTGAGTATATTTAAATGCACAAATGTATCAACTAAATTTTTTTCAGAGTTGCTATCTTCATTAACCTGCTTGGTTTAACAAAAATAATCATTTAGCATTTTTCATTTAATATATACTGGTAGAGTGTAAGATCTCAACATAACCATTGTAATTTGGGTTTAAAAAACTTCATATCAGCAAAAAAACAAACAAACAAACAAAAAAAAGAGGAATTTACTATACTTGAAAAAAGTTTACGTCATGAATTATCTTTGAAGAATATTAGAAATACGTATAAATTGATTAGAATGTTAATTTGTTTTTTTATTTAGTCTACACTATGTTTAAGTAAATCATATGTTGAATCATGATGCTAGATTTTGAAAATTTCTTTGTTTGATCAGAACAGTTAATTAAATTGCTAAGAATGAGCATCTGTTTATTCCGGTATATAGTACATGTTGGTTGTTATTGTGTATTTGCACATGAAACGCCAAGATAATGTTTTGCTTATTTCTCCTAATATAATAGGACGATAGTCGCAACAAGAAAGGGCCTTTATGGATCCAAGTGTGGAATTAAATCGTCTCTCACTGTAATTTGTTTTCTTCTCAGCATGCAAACAGATTTCATATATTTTTATAATGCATGGCTTTTCATGTTCAAATGCAGGATATATATTCTTTTTTATAAAATTAATATATTTGTGAATTTAATTCTGCTGATCTGAATGAAGTAACGTTATTCAAGTCCAGTCTCAATGTATTTGGTACCCATTTTGCCGTCACTAAAAATACATTAAATATCTTAACATAGTCTTAATTAATTTAGATTTATGTTGCCTTGGTGTCATTTTCTAGCTGTTCTCTATTAAATGAGAGGAAGTGTTTTTTCTTTTTATTGAAATGCAAACTAAAAAAATATTTTGAAGAGAGTATTTTTTCAAGTATTGAACGGTATAGCTATGTTTCTCAAAATTTTTCAAGAATGTCTTTGGAAAAAGTAAAAAAAAAAAAAATGATATATGGAATTTTCTTCCACTAACCCAGTTTAAATAGACAAGTTTTTAAAGTCAACCTCTATATTACGTGTAATTTTAATTCTTATGCAAATGCAACTTGCAAAACGTTTACAAAAGAACAATAAAATTACCATAATAAACTCTGCACATATATTTGTTTTAGTATAAATTTATATAACTTGTATGTATATGTGCAAATATCGTTTCCTTACAAACACAAGTAATACATATATACTAAAATGTTAATCAATTAATGCTACGAGTACATGGAAGTATATGTATGTTATTGATATTTTTTGTGTGAATTGAGATTGAAACTTATCTCTTTTTGTAGGATGAGAAAAGAGGAATTGACAATGAAGGATTTAGCAATATTCGAGTTTGAATTCCTAATACGAGAACAAGGTGAATGCTTCACGGCGGAGTGACTGCGAGAACTTTTGAGGAAAATGACTGAGAATACCCGAATACATATAGTTTACATTTAATCCCTGAAATAACGCAATTCATTTTAGCAAGATCATTTTTATTCTGGAAACTTTTCAACACAATGTACTGCCATGTGATGAGCATTACTACTTGAAAGTTGACAAAATGATGCGAGTGGCAGTACACTGTTGGAAGAAATGGGAATCACGTGTTTGAAATGTATGATAATTATATTGTTCCTTAAACTTTAATTATGAGATTCGATTTTTAAAAATAGTTTTAAAACGGCGTACAATCTTTTTCTTTCTTTTTTTGTGATAGACACTGAATATGCATAATAGTGAAAGATACCTACCTGTACATTTATCATAGTTTTTTTGTATGTTTTACTTTCCGTAATATTTCGTATTGTTTTATTTTTAACTGGTGACTTTTCAATGTTTATGTTTATATATATGACAAATGTTCACTTTTCTATGATTTTAGTGCTTTTGACATGTTTTACTACATATCGGAAATAATAATTAGCATATATTTTTACTTTTGATGGAGATATATAATAAATTTTTTAAAGAATTGATTTTTTGTTTGTTTCGGTTGAGAAAGAAATTGAATATTGAAGACTGTTCGTCTATGTAAATAGTGTTTTGCACATGGTGGACAGTTGCGCAAAGGAGATGGGTGAACATAGCATGCAGAAAGCCTATAGCTTCAGATATATAAAAATCATGTTCAATTTGTTAATTTAGTATTTAGAGTAAAGTTCTCATAACACATTATTTAAATCTATTAAATTATGATAAGCAAAACTTTTCTGAGGAAAATTTTCTCGGTAAAATTTATTCTTTTATTTAAAAAATAATGTAGTATTTGTTGGGTTCAAACCCTAGCAATAAAAATCCTGAGTATCATTTTCTTTCGAGACTAGCTCGCTAACCACTAGACTACACAAATCCTGATGAAGAGTGGCATTTAAATCATGTTTGTGATATGACCCTTAACTTAATGGACTTCAAGTATTTCTCGAAAAGATGCGAATGTTATGTCATAAAAGTATATTTTTAAGGTATAGTGGGTCTTTGCTCCATATTTTTGGTAGCCAAAAAATGTTTATTTTTATGCAAACTTTGAGGATTAACTTTCAAAAAAGTGGAGCGAAGACCCACTCATATCGAAAAACAGTGTTATAGTATGAGAAAATGACTCTTTTTGCCCGCTTTAGTGTGCTTACAATATTTCATAGGCAAATAATTTCCATCTTTGAGGGATTTTTGCAAATTGTAGAGATTTTACATAAAGTATATTTTAATGTTAGCTGAAATATCAAGGAAAATTTTGATATAATTGAAATTTAATTTTTCACCTTCATGTTTGTCACATTATAGGCTTTTCGCTCGTCATGTTCACCCATCTTCTTTTATTAGAGAAATTTCTGTAACAATTTAATGTATATTTTGACTTCTTTTTATCGGTGATTTAAATTTTGCAGTCATAAGAATCATTAGATGATTAATTCAAGAAAACGAATTTACATGTCAAGTATTTTTCGTCATCGACATATAAACGGAAAATTTTTCACAGTTTTCACTTTCAGCATTTAAGCATATGATGTTTATGCTTGTGCATCGTCGCAAGCCACGGGTTTTGTGTCCATTCTATTTCCACAAAGAACGAGGGCGCTCTTGATCGGCATTCGGCAGGAATCTGGGCGCACTTGAAAAGTGAAAATTTCATTGATCTGTCATATGAAATTTTAGCATTCTTTTCATGTATCGGGTTCCTGTGAAACAAGAAAGGGAAATATTTTCCCGATATTGCATTTTGATTTGCTAAAATAGAACTTGAAAATTGGCTAGATGAGTCAATTGGTACAAAATGTTACATTTTTAAACACGTTTTTCTAAAAATTTGCTATCTCTGGGTCATCTCTCCATGATTTTGAAACGCTATTTTGTGCGCATTTTAATTCAAAGAAACTAACAAACATTTGTAAAAAATGGAGAGAAGACTCAGAGACGATAAAAAATAAACTTTTACCCCCCCCCCCACCCAAAATCCAATGTGTAAATGCGGTGCTTCATTGTCGCTTTCAAAAACTTAAAGTGTGTGTAGCAGTGATAGCTCGGTAGTATGCGTTACCCGTGCAGTGCAATGAAAAAGAAATATTTTTGGATCGATCCTCGCATGGAGCGTTAATACTTTTTTTTTAGTACAAACAATCAATTCTTTTACCAGTTTAATTTTATGTACTGATTTATTTTCAAATAGATAAATTCTGGTTCTGTTTCACCGAAAGCGAAAGCAATTCTTCCAACCTACTGATACTTTAATATATACATAAAATTGCATTTTACTATACCTTATATGTGTTTATTATTTATGTGAAGCGTTACTAAGTTTTACATGTAGTAATTATTAAGATGAGCGGATTGATATATCAAATTTGACGAAGTATTTCAAACTAAATGTACATTTTTCCATGTGCGTAACTTTGTAAAGTATGTCCAGCTGTGGTCAACCGACCAAGTAGACATTTAAACTATAAATGTTTCGTACGCCTTATTCCTGCAGATCACACGCTGGAATTTTTTCGACTGGGGTGGACCCACCCCTAGAAAAAAAATCCTGGATCCGCGCCCGATCCCTATTATGGCCCTACCGTAACCTCTGGGTATTGATTTGAACAAAGCTGAATCTACACTACCAAAGAATGCTTCCATATTTTTGTGACTAATTAGGGTTTTATTTTTGTTGAGATTAAATCCTGTAGATTCCTCTGTAAAACTTTGATTGCCTACTGTGACCCCACCCTCACCTGAGAGGTCATGATTAGAACAGTCTTGAATCTATGAGGATGCTTCCACATTAATATGACTTATCAGGACTGTACTGTTCTTGTCAGAGAATGAGATTGTTAAAGATTTATTCCTACATATTCCTAGGTAAAACTATGATTACCTATTGTGACCCCATCCTACCCTTGGGATGGGGGTCATGATTTGAACAATTTTGAATCTACGCTACCTGAGGATGGTTCCAAATTAATATGACTAAGCAGGACTTAACTGTTCTTGAGAAGAAGGTTTTTGAAGATTAATTCCTATGTAAATCTTTGATCGCCTATATAAGTTTCATATTTTTGGACGTAGTGGTTCTTGAAAAGATTTTAAAAGGTGCCAGTAAATTTTCAATAAATCTTAATTTTCTCCCCTTGAAAAAGGACGTGGCTCTTCAGTTGAACAAACTTGAATTCCCTTTATCTAAGGATGCTTGGTGGCAAGTTTGGTTGTGATTGGCACATTGGTTCTTGAGAAGAAGTGAAAAATGTGACAAGTTTACAGACGCCAACAACAACCTGAGACAACTGACAAATTTTGATCAGAAAAGCTCACTGAGCCTTAAGCTAAAAATTTGTCCCAAGCTCGAAAAACCTAATGGGGATAAGGGGCTAGGGCTACCGACCTTTCACTGAAAATTTCCATACCAAATTCCAACAAAAGACATCAAGGAAAAAGTGAAGTAGAGGATGGGTCAGGTACCCCTGAGACTACGCCTATTTTTGCACTGTTTTGCAGTTGACACTTTTGTCAAGACTCATTCACAGAGTCAGAATTAATCTTTGGGTGAAAAATCAAGACAAAATACTCAGATGACTTTATTTTTATAACTGATCATATGTCTACCACTCGCAGAGAGAGGTGCAACACATTGCATTTCAATATAGAGCGAAAGTGTGCTTTCAATCTATGACGTTCAATTAATGAAACACAGAGATATTTATTGTTAAAATATATCCCACCAGTTCCCCCTACACTTATCTATTTTATACAAATTTTGTCTGTACTTTGGCGTAATCTTTTAAAATTTACATAAAGCCACTGCCTACTAAAGTTAGAAAACTCAAATTGTGTCCCTTTGACGAACGCACATAGAGCGTTTATTGCAATCTTGATGTTACTTTAGTCCATCTGATATTACTTGCACGGGTGTCCATTTAAAATCTTTGCATGTAAAATACGCCAACATTTTCAGGTGCCAATTTGCAACAATAAAGATACTGAGATAAAATATTACAGGGTATACTCAACATAATTATAATATAAATCTGAAACAAAAAGCAGTTATTATTTTGCTTGTTGCAGAAAAGGCATATTAACACATTTTGAGTGTAAAATTGCATTAATAAAAATTTGATCAGCATTTCAAATGCATAAATATCTATATCTTGACATAGAAGCAGTTTCAACTGAAATACAAACCTTTCCCTCTCTCTCTCTCTCTCTCTCTCTCTCTCTCTCTCTCTCTCTGTGCGTGTATAGGTGTGAGGGTGCGAGTGTGTGTGTGTGTGTGAATGTTTATCCGCACATATTTTATTGAATTTCATAGTTTTTCAACAATGTTTAACCTATAAAGCTATGCATTAAAATATTGAGCAGATTTACACGGGTGATGACAAAAAAGGTCGAATTCGAACATTATGGAAAGTGTACTATTTCTTAATATCTTAGAAATTTCCATCATTTACAACCAAAATACATCCAAAAATATATACCTATGCATGCATGTGCTATTTCTTGATATTTTAGAAATTTGATATTTGCATCATTTACAATCAAAATACATCCAAAAATATGTACCTATCCATGCATATATTTCCTTAAAACATGATTCAGCTATAATATATGTAATTTCTTAATATACAAAGGCGTTAGTAGTCAAAGGAAGTATCGTTCAATAAATAAAATATTAAAACTACATAAAAAGTCGGTTTCTATTTACTGTAGAATGTTTTTATGCCTCACTTTGTGCAGTAATCTACATAAACAGCGAATTTGTTCCGTAATGGGATGTGCCTGCGTTTCATTTGCAATCCCGTGGAGAACATAAAGTATATCTCATGGAGAAGTTTAAGTATTTCTATCACTGCTATCTGATGGCTATAAATTGCATACTGACATAACTCAGAAACATGTTTTTGATGATTTTTGATTTATTTAACAGAAACTACGCCGATAAATGAAAGAATAGTAACGCAAAAATTGGGCATCTTGAGGATCTTACATTAAAACTATAGCCTACCATAAGGAAATAAGGGAAAACGATTTAAATTACAAGGATAATGCTCCATTTTTTTTAGTGTTCCGTTTGAAAAGGACGTAAATCAAATCCACCATGGTTCAGTTTCCCTGGAGTGAACAAAAAAGTACTTCTATCACGGTAAAACTTTTATTTTTAAAAATTGATCCATTTGAATAGAAAACGATCGTTTTATTGAAATTGTGTATAATTGATAAGGCAGGTAAGGGATTTTCTGAGTTTAAAAAAAAATGAATATTTCGGATTTGAACATCATATCTTAGGAACAAGGCGAAAATGAAGACGAAAATCAAGGAAGAGGAAACTGGTCATCTAAATTGGACTTTCTTTTGTCCTGTCTTGGGTATGCCGTGGGGCTTGGAAATGTGTGGAGGTTTCCCTACCTGTGTTATAGAAACGGAGGAGGTATTGCGTTATTGCATTATACCTGCATACTGTTTATTATAACGAATCTACATGTTGTAAAGATATAGAGATATGCTTTGGTTGGCAAGCTGTAAATCTTTTCTGTTTTGAGTATGATGAAAATTCCTAAAAATCCTGACTGAACCAAATTAAACTACATTTTCCATCCTTCCAATTTTTTTTTTATTGAGCACAATGGCAAGGCAAGTACTTTATTTGCATGGAAATTATCGCACGGTCAATGGATATAATACCAATTTTTCGAGATGTTTGTTACGGAAGCGTATTAGTGCCACTTGGACACTTTTTTATTTTTCATTTTCCACACTTTAATCTGTAAAATTTACTCTTTAATCTGTAAATTTACACTTTATTCTGTAAATTTTACACTTTAATCTGTAAAATTTACACATTAATCTGTAAAATTCACATTTTAAAGTGTACAATTTACACTTTAATCTGTAAATTTTACATATTAATGTGTAATTTTGACACTTTAATCTTTAAAAATTACACTTTAAAGTGTAAATTTTACACTTTAATCTGTAAAATTTACACATTAAAGTGTAAAATTTACACTTTAATCTGTATAATTTACACTTTTATTTGTTTAATTCACATAATCAATTTGGCAACTTCATACATCTTAAGTAACACGCTATAAAGCTAACAGACCATGACAAAATTTAATTTTGATTTCTTGTTAACAATAAATGTGGAAAATAATTACTTATCAGATATTATATGTATGGATATAAAACAAATAATAAGCAATCTAGTAAGACTGATATAAGTGAGACTATCATAGAATATTTGAAAGAATTATGAATTCTGTGAAACTGAAGAGCAAATCAAACACACATATTTTCTCATCGATCAACGAATATAATATTGATATTGATATCATTATTCGCAAATCATTTTATGCGCTCAGCAGTTCAATTATTGATAGCATAAATTGAATTACATTCTACATGTATTACCAGCAACAATTGAATTACTTATTGAACTAAAAACTTTTAAATAACCAATTAATGTATTAATTATGAAAGTATATACATATATAAATCATTAAAGTATGTGAGTTTATATTAATTTGGAACAGCATAAAAATTAATATTTTCTTGATTCAATGATGTATCTTAATTGTTACGTTTTAAAATGATCGTAATTTTAACTGTTATATTTTACACCATGATCATAGTCCCATAAACTTGCAATATCAATCTGAACTGCAAATGAAAAGACAAAAATATTCGAGATCCCTATTTTTAACTGTTCGTCGCTCTTTACTATAGTACTAAATAAATACACTGGATTGAAAGCAGATTCCCGATATTTTGTTGATGAAAATTACGAGGCCCATGAGCAAATCGCCCATCCTTAATTATCATATATACATGTAACTATAAACTTTTATGCAAACACGTGTGGACATCTCAGTTTTATACTAATTTTTCAATTCTCATAGGTTTAACACCATGCAACGACCGTTCGATTATTACAGATTACAGAATAAATTTTTTCAGATTGAAGTGTAAAATTTACAGATTAATGTTTAAAATTCACAGATTAAAGTGTAAATTTTACAGAATAAAGTGTAAAATTTACAGATTAAAGTGTAAATTTTACAGATTAAAGTATAAAATTTACAGATTAATGTGTAAAATTTACACTTTAATGTGTAAATTTACAGATTAAAATGTAAATTTTACAGATTAAAGTGTGAAATTTACACATTAAAGTGTAATATTTACAGATTAAAGTGTAAATTTTACACATTAAAGTGTAAATTTTACAGATTAAAGTGTAGAAATTAAAAAATAAAAAGTGTCAAAATGGCACTAATACGCTTCCGTAGTTGTGATAGTTTTTTTTATTAGTCGGTCAGTACTGTATACAGGGTTATTTTCGCCCCGTGTTATTTTCGTCCTCTCACACTTTCAAACAAATTTGCCCAGTTTTAATTTCGCCCAGTCACAGTATTGTTTAAGAAATTATACTTTTTTCTTTGAATTCGCCCCGTCTTAAATTCGCCCACTTCTGTCTAGGGTGAAAGAGGCGAAAATAAAAAAGGGGTGAATATTTCCCTGTATACAGTATACTCTCAATATACTCTCATTTAATCTGTTCATTTGTGTGAAAAGAGACTAATGAAAAGATTAAACAAGCAATGTACTTTGTCCAAGGATCTTAATTGAGAGGGAGTGGATATGTCACCTCCCAAAACCAAAAATAATCAGTATTGATATATCGCCGCCTGAGAATTGTAAGGTTCTATGTGCCAAAATGGTCAAAAATGAGTTGGAATCAGCTCGCTGAGATCTATTTACCTATGAAATCCTTTTGTTCCTTTGGACAAAAATAAAGATATTAACTGTAATCTTTAGTTCTATCTCCATGCAAATTTATAAATATTAGTGTTCTATCTCCATAATATCCAATCATAATGCTTACCTTTGGTCACATGATCTAATAAATGGAAAACTTGACTGAGGGGTGAGGGGGGTCACTGTAAAAGTACTTAAACTTATGCACATTTACTCTAACAATAATATCATAATAATCAAAGAAGTCACGTGTATTTCTAAATTCAGTGAGAGAGTTTTATAAAAACGATTGCTGAAGCATGGGATGATGGTCACCTGAGTATCATGAGTTTCTGAAGCTACTGCGATTTTAGTACAAAAGGACTGGATCCCTGACCTCACAAAATTTAGTTTTGAGAGGCTTATACTTTTATCAGGTTGGGGGGAAACGTAAATTCCGCTATAATAGTGGTATATCACTATTATAGTGAGATTCCGCTATATTTTCAGCCGTAGTTACCCTCGATTTCATCAAATAACATACTTGCTGATTAAAGCGCAAGTTATGATGGGTATAAAATAGACAATAATTTGAATCCTTGTATTTTATGAATTTTATTTAATTTTCTGCCGATGCGTTTAATAATACGAACACACTTTTTTAAGACGAAGTTACATTTTTAACATAGCAACCAGTGATTTCGGTAGTATTGAACAAAGACTGACTCTTAATATCTCTCACACATGTGCACAAATTAGTGCTTGTAATAACTTTGAACCTACTTTGGAATAGGTTTGTCGAATTTACAGAAGAAAAGGTAATTTTTGCCTGCATAGTTACTGGTATGGAGGCCTGTTATGACAAATGAAAAAAAAGAAGCTCAGCACAAGTTCACTTTAATGTAACCGATTTGTGTCGTCTCAATCGTAGGCAATATTTGTCACTCTTAAATGTAATCTTAGGTACATGTATAATGTTTCCTTTCTTGATGATGAAACCGTGAATTAAATTGATTAGTCTTAGCAAGAAAAGGGAAAAAGTTGTGAAAATTACCTGTAGATGTGACGTCTTATAAATTCTGCACAATTTATTGATTGTGTAAGTTGCATAAAATTTTATATTTAACTACGTTATGCACTAAAAAAGAGACAATGAAATCCTAATTACCAGAAGTAGATTATTCTGGTATAAATATACGAAATACAAGGAGAAATAGAAATATGAAGATAACAAAAAAGGCCATTTGAACAATAACATTTTTCGCAGAGCGAAAAGGTAGGATCAGGTGCTATGGAGGAGTAGGCATCCCCTGTCGATCATGGATTTTGCGAAATTCATTTGTTAATGGTTATCAAGAATTAGTGCATCGTTTTCTGCCCCACAGCCGCTAAAATATTAAGCCTGCTTTTTTAAGTACACATAAGCCATTATTTACACATTGAATTGTCTACACATTGCCGTGTGCTCCTTGATCATGACAAGGAGCACACGGCGGGTGTGACCGGTCGGTAGGGGGTGCTCACTCCTCCATGGCACCTGATCCCACCTTTGATGTTTTTAGGGGTCCGTGTTTGCTCTGTTTAATTTTTTTGTTTCAATGGACTGTTGAGATTGATTACTGTTTGTTATCTTCATATTTTATACAGTAGTTTAAGCTTTAGCAAATTGAAAAAGAAATTGAATCGATTTGATTTATTTTCTGTCTTAAAGTGTACGTATTCAAGGAGCAAATAATTGAGTGAATTACATCATGTTTTTTCTTAAAGTCTATTTATTTATTTTCTGTACAAAATTAAGTGAAATATGTCATTGCATTATCATCGATTTATTCAATGTATTTTCTGTCTTAAAGTGTATTGAATTGTAAAAAAAAACCCACCTAAGTTGAGATTTAATTAACATTATTGTTATAAACACAATGAACTTTCAACACAAGGCAAGAGGAGGGAGGAAAGATTATGCGATGTTTACGATACTCATCAAATTGAAGACGAATTTAATTTCATTCTTCAATGCCATAGATATCTAAATTTAAGGAAAAAATACATAAATGAATATTATTACAAATCTCCAAGTACATTTAAATTACTTCAGTTATTCGGTTCACATCACAAATTAATTTCAATACATTAAAACTTAGCCCCATCCCAAGGCCACATTAAAACTTAGCCCCATCCCAAGGCCTGAGGGCTGGATACAGGTGACATAGATTTTAAAATTTTAGAAAAGGATTTTCGTACTTATTTTAATAACCAATGGCCCCAGAATGGTTCCAAATGCTGGGACCATGAGCCATAAATTTTTTTGTTAAGGTTTACATGTGCAACATTTGTCTTGTACATGTACATGAGTAAAGAAGATTTTTCAGTGTGTAATGCATTTTCAATAAAAAACCAATTTAAACCTACCCTGGGGTTTGAACCAGGGGCTACATGTTTTAGAGGGCTACGTGTTTATTATAATCATATAAAAAGTTTCCTGTTGATGCCAATCATGTAATATATTTTCAATATATGACCAATGACAACCACAAGGCCTAAAACATTAGCCCAGGTGACTTGGTATCACAATTTTTGGTAAAGGACTGAGTACGAATTATAATTAAGCAAACATTTGCCTGGTAGATGTTAATTAGGAAAGAAGAAAGGTTTTGAAGATTCTTTAACAACCTTCTCCTAATCCATTTCTGTCAGACCCAAGGATGTCAGATGCCATAAAAATTCGCAATTATATAATTTAAGTATAATTTAATATACATACATACATATTATTTTTTATCCATTGATTATATAGTAATGCAAAAAATTGGTTGAATTGGTATTGCTGTTCTGGAGTAGAAACTGAAAATGTTTAACAATTTACATTTGAGGAAGTTACGGACCAGAACAATGGAAACAGCTAGCAAAACATCAAGAAAAAGAAAATACTTGCTGTGGCCTTCAACTCGACATTTCGATATATCGACGACGTATTATCAATTAACAATAGTTACTTTCATTCATATGTCGACTCGATATATCCCAGTGAGCTTGAAATAAAAGATACCACAGAGTCTGACACATCTGTTTCATATTTAGATATTTTACTAGAAAAAGGCGTTAATGTTAACCTAACAACAAAGCTTTATGATAAACGTGTTGACTTCAACTATTCTATCGTCAACTTCCCTTACTTATGTAGCAATATACCCTTATCACCTGCATATGGGGTTTATGTCTTTCAGTTGATTCGATACGCAAGAGCATGCTCTACGTATGAACAATATCTAAAACGAGGCAAGCTATTGACAAACAAGTTGACGAAACAAGGATATCAACAGTCTCGTTTGAAGTCATCTTTTCGTAAAGAACAAGATCAAGTTTTTCGGTCGATATAATGACCTTGTTTGCACATACAACCTATCATTGAGTCAAATGCTCACTGACGTTTTTCATACTAATTGTTAGGCCATTATTTATACACTGAACTGTCTACGGATTTTTCCGGTTTTTGTTTCTCGATCATGACAAGGAGCACACGGCGGGTGCGACCGATCGGCAGGGTATGCTCACTCCTCTATGGCACCTGATCACAACTTTAAATTTTGAGGTCCGTGTTTGCTCTGCTCCAAATTTGTATCGTTTCATTGGACTTTCGAGATTGAATACTGTTCGTTATCTTCATATTTCATTTTTGGAAATTTTTCCTGGTAAATCTTTTTTTTTACTATCAAATGCTTTAAATTAATATCAGCATATTTATATGTGATGGATATATATAAGTATACAGAATCGGGTCCTGTTAGGGGTGGAATACCTTAATTCATATGCAAATTTTACCTGACTATGGTAACCTACTTGCGGAATAATACAAGGTTTTATGTGAAATCGTAAAAAAAAAACATTTGCGACATTGTAACTGAATTTCTGCTGAAAGGTATTGTCAATTTGTGGAAACGTACTGCGCCGATAAAATGTTTATAAGATCATTAATTCCCATTTTGATGGCATAACATCATCATTAATAAAGATTCTTCTTGTGAATAGAAACTCAACGAACATTTAAAAACTGTATAAATGCCTAGGAAAATGTTTAAGATTAACCCCAATAATTTTACGATGCTTTTTACTCTTACAGGTTTGTTTTTTATCCCCTATTCGATAGCGCTAGCGTTCATTGGGATCCCTATCCTAATGTTGGAGTTAACTTTAGGCCAGTACTCTAGCTCAGGACCGCTTACATGTTGGAAGTTTTCTCCAATATTTACGGGTAATTATACATAGTGAAAAAATTTAGGAATCTTCTTAGTTAATTTGAATTAAAGCAACTGTTTATTTCCTGTAGTTACAATATTGACCATGATACCTTAAAGAAATGAAATAAAAGTTATTTGTTTATGTTTTGTTTCACATTAGGAAGTCCAATTTCATGCAAATAATTCCAGAGGGAGGGAAAATGTGTGTGTGTGTTCACAAGCCAAGAAAAAAAAATGGCTATTTCCGATTAAAAATGTCATTTTGAATCTTCCAGTCATATTCATTAAGATAATTATTTGATGTTCAGTAGATATGACGAGTCGAAAGTAAAGCAACTTGTCAATACATGCAATTTTCCATGCAAAATATGTCCATACCAAGATATATAGAATTTGTTTAACATTCTAATGATGATAATTTTCATTTCAGGAATTGGTTATGCAATGAACTGCGTGTCTTCGTTTGTTGGTATTTACTACAACATAATCATGGCCTGGGCTCTCTTCTACTTGTTTGACTCTTTCAGGAGTGATTTACCCTGGCATTCATGTGGTGATTGGAGTACAAATTGTAAGACTTATAGTTCAATTATCAAACAAGTCTTCATGTAATAGATGGAGGAGCATTGGTAGGACATTGTTGCGCTACAAGCATTGACTCCTCAACGTTCTTAATAGTTTGATTCACCCTTTAAGGCAATCGCTGACATTTGTAGATACCTCATCACCCCCTTTTCACAAAATGATGTATAGGAAAATACAACTGTGTCTTAATTTTCTGTCCTTGACATTCCTTACAACCTTGACCTTCCCATGACCCTGAACTTCACTTTTGAAGATTTTTAGTCAAACTTCATAAACTAAGATACATGATCAATTCAACTGTGTCATAATTTTCTTATGTTGACCTTTCTTATGATTTGACCTTACTATTCCTTCATTTTGCGGTTATCTTGAAATTTCAAAAAAGTATTCAAGATATTTTCATTAAACTTTATATACTGATACAAACTGGTGAGCGCAATTAAAGTGTGTCAAAATGCTCCCTATGGCCTTGGATTTCATATTTTCCTTAATTTTGTCTCTTTAAATTCAAAAAAAGTTTATCTCTTTTCATTCGAAAACGGATTGCTTCAGAAAACTCCATACATTGATAAATCTCTGTAATAGCATTGTCACCATAATGATACATACCTAAGAGATCAAATATAAAGTTACTTAATATGAGATAGTAAACTTCAAACAATGAGGCTTTATTTAGCTGTTAGGCATTATATGGGATGGATCAGTCTCAATCCAAAGAAGGAGAGTACATTTCTTTTTAACTGTTGCAATACAAAGGTACCTAGGGTGGAGCATTCATGTCCTATGAACAAATTTAAAGTAAACAATTATTTCTCAATAATATTTTTGAAAAATGAAAAGGCAATTCTTCAGTGCAATTATTTCCGTATCTTTTATTTGGTGTTTGTATCTATTTTAAAGAACTTGGTGGATCACTTTGTCCGCTGTGTGACTTATTCAAACAAATACCTACAGGTGTCATAATTGTTCCTTGAAACAGTCTGGTTTTTCTCTATTTCTTTCTCTCTTTTTTTTTAGTGTGTTATTATAACGTGAAGATTTTGAATACTAACGGTAGTAATTGTACTGAAGCATGTAAGAAAAACCAATTTAATAATCAGTCACAAATTCAATGGACTGCAAACGAAACACAGGGGATTTGTTACCTAGAAAGTCTGAAAAATAAAAAGGAAGGAGTCAGAGCTTTCTGCAATGAAACTGAGGCCAAAAAGTACTTTCCAAGAGTGCTTGCCTCTCAAGAATATTTTGAGTAAGTTATTTGCTTTTCCTACCATTATACCTTTGTAATCATACAAATTGACATTTTATAATCTATAAAATATTAAAGTTTTACTTACAAATGCTTTTTGTTTTACTAAATACATAGAAAGAAATAATTAATTATATGCATGTATCTATATTACTAGTTATTTATGGCGTGTACAACGTTGCAATATTCGATCTTTTCCATTTGTATTGTATAATTTTCTGTTTGTATTGTAAAATTTTCCATTTGTATGCTATAATTTTTCATTTGCATTGTAAAATTAAACAATACATATGAAAAATTATAGAATACAAATGGAAAATTATACAATACAAATAAATATTATACAATACAAATGTAAAATTATACAATATAAAGGAAAAATTATAGAATACACATTGAAAATTATAGAATACAATAAAAATTATACAATACAAATGAAAATCTTTAAAATATAAAGGAAAAATTATCGAATACCAATAAAAAAAATTTCAATACAAATGAGAAATTATACAATACAAATGAGAAATTATAGAATACAAATGGAAAATTATAGAATACAAATAAACATTTTGCAATACAAATGGAAAATTATACAATGCAAATGGAAAATTATAGAATATAAATGGAAAATCATACAATACAAATGGAAAAATCGAATATTGCAACGCTTGACATGCCATAGTTATTTGGTTAACATATTTTGTAATTTTCTTTGAAGTCGCTATGTGACAGGTTCTGCGTACAGCCAAGGATTTTTTGATCTTGGTGAAGTCCACTGGCAGTTGGTTCTGTGTTATTTGTTGGCGTTTGTTTTCGTTGTATTGGCGCTTAGTAAAAGCATCAAAACTTCCGGTAAAGTAGGTATCTAATCTATGAGGCACCGTTTTGATATTTATTGCCATTTAGTGATATCACCTATTCGTGCTGAATAGGTGATATCACCTATTCGAATAAGTGATATTGCCTATTCGAATAAGTGATATCACCTATTCAATTTGAATAGGTGATATCTAATCAATATACAGATATACGAGGGTTGATCCAAAAGTAAGTCACAACTTGGATAAAATTGTTACTAGTCGACGTTAAACAACAAAATTATAAATGATGGAAGCTATATTTATTTCAAACCATTTATAAACAAGACTTTTAATTAAATTCTTTTTCACTGTGAGTCTGATTAATCATCGTAACTGTCTCTACTGGTAATTTCCCCATTTTGAAGTAAAATTGCTAAATGCATTACAGCTCGTTGCGGCATTTTCCCCCATTTCGACACGTCCTTTGTTCAATGCATCAGAATAAAACACAATGTTTATAATCAAAAGTAGCAATGGCGTCATTTAATTTTCAACTGATCATTAGAAAATGACGTAAATTTTGTCTTTTGGAATTATTGGCCGATTAGTTGCGTTTTAGATGTTTTTTTAACGTGTTTGTCTTTTTTATCCTAAAAAAAAAAATTTAAAACGTGACGTTTAGATGTGACGCGGCGACACCCCCTATGCCTTATGTTTGAAACAACTATAAAATGAATTTAATTTAACATAATTAAACCAAAATTTCAATGTTAATTAGATTTATATACAATGTATGTACATATTTTGGTATATTGTATTTGATAATATGACGCCAAATATAAAAGATATGGACACTGTGACATTACTTTGGATCAACCCTCGTACTTTGAAAAGAAATAAAAATGAAAGTGAATCTTATTTTTCATGACTTTAAGTAGAGATTCTCTAAAGCAATATTCATACAATTAGTGTTTTATATGATTACATAAAATAATTTTATTACAAATTCTTTCATGCAAATCAGTATGAAAGTTTGTTGTTTTTTTTTAATTTCAAATTGTCTATTTTATTTTTAAGGTTGTTTACTTTACTGCAACATTTCCATACCTTGTCCTTGTGATACTGTTAATTCGTGGTTTAATGTTGGAAGGAAGCGACAAAGGAATTCATTTCTACTTAACACCAGAAATATCTAAGCTATCAGAAGCACAGGTTTACAAACTTTATATTTACCTGTAACCTCATGAATTGGTTTTTTATTTGACTTTTCTCCTTTTTATGGAAACCAATTTTAATACCCTGTGCAAAATATTTTCCTCATAAAAGAGATTTAAAAGTTGTCCGAAAAGAGAGATGGCCCAAAATAAACATAGTCTAATTAAAGCAACCCACAGAAATTTATCAGAATACGAAAAAAATACGGTTACATATTTGTAAACGCTGTCAATGGTTTCAACAGACATAATCAATTATAGCATTTATCAGGTATGGAAAGACGCCGCTGTTCAGATTTTCTTCTCTCTGTCGGCTGCTCAAGGTGGACTGGTAGCTCTGGCAAGCTATAACAAATTCCACAATGACGTCATCAGGTAACTGTATGAATATGTAAATGGTCAATATGCATTATAAATTTATGTAAGTTATTTATAAAAATTCATATTCATGATTATGCCAGTGATTCAACCAAACATTCGGTTTTATATACTACAGCCAATCAGAATGCTAGGGATTACTAGTACTCAATCATATAATAAATGATTTTATTGATGAATTTTGTTCAACTTTAATACTTTAATTCAGTTTCAATAACATTCTTTTATACCTACATACATTTTTGACTCCTTGTACTTCCAACAATGAAAGATGTTAATATATATATATATATATATATATATATATATATATATATATATATATATATATATATATATATATATATATATATATATATATATATATATATAATTTATACACATATTTTACAAATCTTCTGGAGTGATCTTCAGTTGCTTTGCTATTTTCAGAGATACCCTGATTGTTGCGTTTGGGAATTGCTTGACCAGTTTCTTTGCTGGTTTTGTCATTTTCTCTTACCTGGGACACCTTTCGGATTTTCTGGGCGTACCTGTTAAAGAGGTTGCAAAAAGTGGACCGTCCTTGACATTTGTTATCTATCCTTTTGCGGTTACTCAGCTGCCCGTGGCTCCTTTTTGGTCAATTTTATTTTTCCTCATGTTGATAACACTTGGAGTGGACAGCGAGGTATGAATTCAGTTTTACTTGTTCTGAAAAAATCTACATGTAGTTTTATAGGTATTTCATGCAGTATGATTTATTTTTTTCCCAAAATTTTTTCAGTTTGTGTTGGTTGAGACGGTTGTGACGTCATTGATGGACAAGTTCCCCAAACTCAGAGAGCAAAAGTTGTTGACAGTCATCGGTGTTTGTGTGGTCATGTTTCTCCTAGGTCTTACAATGACCACAAATGTAACTCAATTATGTATTACTTCTCTTAAACATTTAAGCCAATCTATATTTCGTGATAAAACGTTCAGTGATCAAACGCCAGAGTTTAAATTATTTAAGATTTCAGCGAGATTTTAACCTTTGAATTCGATTCCTGTTTTATTTCAACAAGATGTTTTTGTAATCTATTACTTAATGATTTATTCCTGATGCAGGGTGGTATATACATGTTGGAGATAATGGATACGTACGCTGGAGGATGGAGTGTATTGTTCATCGCCATATTTGAGTGTATATCTATTGCATGGATTTATGGTATCTATATTATCAGATATAATCAGATTTAAAAAAAAAATTGTTTTCCCAAACTTAAAGTAATTATAAAAAACAGAACTAATCGTCACGATGACCAAATAGTACTCTACTTTTATATGTCATTCTGTATAAAGGAAAAACATACAACTTATTTTGAAAAAAAAATACTAGTAGATAGTCCATAGTCCAATTGAATCAAAAGGAAATAAGTTTCTATGTCCCCCTTTTTTGTAATTTATTAAGTTTGGAAAGAAAATATGAAACAGAATATATTGATCTTTGAATAACTACTACATTTCCATTTTCCCAAAAAATATAAAAATTGTTTGTTTGATCTCTCTTTTAGGTGTATTTCGATTTTTGGACGATCTCCAACTGATGGTTGGCGAACGCTTTTGTTCTTGTATCCCCTTTGTGGCGCTGAAGTTTTGGTGGGTGGTCTGTTGGTGTTGTGCAACACCCGTGCTATGTGCTGTACGTTAAACTTTTATACCACAGCTTTACTTTGATTGATTGATTGATTATATGTTGTTTTACGTCCAGTTCGAGAATTTTTCACTCATATAGAGACATCACCATATACCGGTGAAGGGCTTCAAATTTAGACATTTACTCGGCACTCAGGGCCATTGAGCAGTGAGGGTTCTTTATCTTGCCAACGCCTACCGTGACACAGGGCCTCGGTTTTTAAGGACCCGTAACTTTCACTTCAAAGTGCCGAGCGCTTGGCAGAGGAACAGTTGCTACCTATTTTTTATCGACTTAGGTCAGTTGCGGTCGTGATTCGAACACACGACCTTCCGATCACGGAGCAAGCGTTCTACCGACTGAGCTACGTGATAGTGCTTTACTTTGAATTGAGGCATAAGAAAATTGCATAAATTATATTTAAAGCAGAAAGTAATGTAAAGTTGTAAGAATATAGCTTTCAATTTACCATTGAACTCGCAAAACATCTCTTAATTGTTACTATTTATCATCTTAAAAACCGTGTTATATAAATGATTTAAAATTCGGTTAGTCACTTATGCATGAATAACCATGTATTTCCAAGTCGCTTTACTTGTATCATGAAAATAAATAATCATTACTTATGGAATTTTTATCTTACTATTACTATAGACCTGATCTCGACCAAATGTGATACATGCACATACACATGTATTTACTGTAGGTATGCATACTTCACGTAATCTAATATCTATCGAGACAAAAAAAAATCTATAGTACTTCAGGCACCGCAGCATTGAGTCATTCCCCCTTTTTCTCAATGTCGTTTCTATTAGAGCTTTTATAGGAATGTTTTATCAATAAACATTTTATAAAAGTTAATTGAGTATCAAGTAATATAGGAGTACAAAAGAGTTAAAGATTTTATTGATATCGTTATCTGTTGGCAAGAAAGGGATAAAAGAATTTTTTTAAAAAAGGTAAAAAAAAAAAAATTGTCTGCTGCATTTAATTTTGAAATTTTTGGCCACAGAAAGTAAAGATTATTTTTGCAGGGGGGGGGGGGGGGCTGATGAACAATTCGTTTATCGATTTCCCCACTCTGGTTTCTACTGTTTCTAATTGATATTAGCCTTCTTTTTGACGTAATAGCAACCAAATAAGAACGTCAAAAAAGGGTTCAGAAGTCACGAGATTAATGCGGTTATAAAGGTATAACCCCGTATTTTGCTGGTATGTTAAGTAACTCTATCGTTTGAGCAAGTCATGGAAGGTTTTTCACTTTCAGATCATTATGATATTTTCCTGGGTGGACTATACAGGCCTAGCCAATAGTGCTCACTATAATGTTTACGCTGATCTTATTGGCTGGGGAATGACATTAGCCATAATTCTCTCCATTATTAGCACTGCAATTTATGTAGTAGCCCGAGAATATGGAAGTATTGAGGAGGTATTGTATCTTTGTTGTTGTTGTTGTTTATTTCCTTGGAATATAATGTGTAATGTAACACGCCGAATCTACATACATGTCGGCTCTTTTTAAAATCCGCTGCACGCTTTTCAATTTTCAAAAGAAATACACTTTTCGGATTATTGATTTTTTTTAACGAGGATCGATATTTTAAGATATAGATATGTATGCTATATATCAAAATTTTATATTCAGATATTTTAGTCATATTGCACTTAAATGTAACATTTTAGAGGCTAAGGGTAGCGTTCAGTCCATCCGTTGAGTGGGGACCCGCCCTAGTGAAGTACCGTCATGAGGCGGAAAACCACACCAAGAAATACAGCGAAACATTTGTCATTGATGTTGTGCATCACACAGAATCTCGGGCGTCCAAAGGCTCCGAAATTATGGAAATGGTATATATAGTTGAATTCCATATCTTGAAAGTTCATATCTCGATTACCATAAATACCGGTATGTCAAAGTGAAATGGATGTTTTAACCACTTTTTCCTAATGTATTTTAGCCTTTTTTCATCTAGTTTGAGATAAGGAGGTTTGACTGTATAATAAAGTTCAGGGGACCTTGTTTGCTTTGATATAGTCTGTATTCGTTCTTCCTGATACCCTTGTACAGTAGATTAGTTTAGGAAGTCAACAAATCTCCTTTAACTATTACGAGGACAGGGGGTAAATCACGTAACGATGACGTCAGTAATAGTTGTGCACTCAGAACAGAACAAATATTCTACATGTATATGATCAAGTTTCTTACAAGATATATATTTTGCAATTATATTTTCAGTCGACAGTAGGTGGTATTGAGAATAAATGTTACACCATGCATGATGAGGGCCATGACAACAGAATAAAAACTAAAAACGGTAAATACATGTATGAACATTACACAACTGTGTAACATCATTTGATCTAGAAAAGGTAGGGTTAACTTTGCTCCTTATCGACTATTTATTGTCAAAATTTGTATGACTATGTATACATTTTCAGATTTGAAAAAGACCGAATTAATTCCAGTTCCGCAGACATGTTGAGGTATATTATCATAAAAACTGCTTACTTTGAACGCTATTAAAAATAACAGCTAACATATAAACATGCCCTGTATATTTCAAGGTGTTTTTAAACAAATAAAGATAATATGTTTTATTTTACAGGAGTAGGTACAGTCGAGGTACAATGAAGAGCTGTATTTCACTACTTGCTCAAAGTATAAATCAGAAGAAAAATCGGTCCTTCTCTTGGTGAACAAACGATTTTTGGTTTTAATGAGATTCAGAATACTCTCAAATTTTTGCACCGATGAACTCTATCCAAAATTCGTAGAATTTCTTAATATTTTATTTATTTATTTGTGGAATCGATTGAAAATTTTAGATGGAGATATATACACTTGCTGAATTTTTTTAATAAAAAAAATTTGAAATATTCGTGATAGTAACACTTTGACAGTTGCCATAGAAACGGATGTTTGAAAATGCGGGGGAGACATTTTTCGTTCATTATCATTTCAATACTTAATACTCACTGTGAGGAAAAAAACACGTTAAAGCACAACGAAAATGATGTCATTATTACGATTGCTTGACCTCCAATAAACCTTTGTGTGAAAGTTTAATCGATTTTACTGGATGTTTAGTTTTTCTATTGATGATTTGTTGTTCATCATGACATCGTTAGACAACTTCGAAATTCGGTCAAGTAATAGGTTTTGTGAAAATCTCGGGAACACTCCAACATAAACGCAAATACTACTGATACAGACAGGACAAAAGTGCAGTAAGCCACTGGCTTTCCAGTGCCTGAGAAATTTAAGGAAAATAGAACTTCCCTGGAAGATGATGAAAGGTGTGACCCCTATTGGAAGGTCGTTTTTTCCTCGTAGACAAATTGAGAGCGTTAATGGACGTGGACCGCCGACGTACTGTGGTTGACATTGCTAATGAAATAGGAACATCATATGGAACGATCGAGCGTATTTTGAAAAATGATCGTAATGAAAAGAAAGTGGGTGTGAGATGAGTACCCACGCTTTTCTCGAGAGCAGAAATGGAGTAAAGAATGCAGCGTTCAGTAGAATTTCTAAGTCGATTTGAACGTAAGGGTGAGATGCTCCTACAACGTGACGTGACATACCTAATGACGTTACGTTGAAGTCTCCCCCGGATTTTACAACTGTCCATGTTAAGAAGGCTCCTGTGACCTTAATGGTAATTGGAACTTGGTTAAATTTTCCAGTATTGTTGCATAATGGTTCTATTTTACAAATATGTCTATTGTTTGCTTTAATCACATCATGATAAAATTTTAGAAAGAAATTCCACGAACTTTTGGATCAACCCTCCTATTTGCCGTTTTTCATTCTAGCATGAATTTTTAAACTAAATACATGTGTATTGAATGTTTTTTCTCGATACAATTAGCATTCTTTATGTCGAGTATTTGACTTTTTGTTTGATCAGATATGAGTTTCTGGAAATATGTATTTTATTACTTTTAAATGTAGTTCTAAACATGTCTGAATTATGAACAAATATAAATACTGCATCCATGTAATAAGTTAATTCACTAACCGTGGCTAACATTTGTTCGTTATACCTGTTTTTCCCAATATCCGATTTGCCTGTTAACAAAAACACCATGCTGATCAAATAAATATAATAAGGAATTGGCAGTGCCTATATACACCATGTTGATGAACTTGAAATATTTTCAGTAAATAAAATTTCGTAATTTTATATGAAAATGGAAAAAAGGAATCAGTTTTAGTTGTAGCATACAGCCTTATTCTAATGTCCACGACCAACTTAACGAAACTCTAAATATTGTGAAATTAATATATGATCGACATACATATCGGGAACTCATCTCCATCTACCTGTTCGGCGGGTGTGACCGGTGTACCGGTCGAAAGGGATGCTTACTCCTCCTAGGCACCTGATCCAACCTATAGTGTTTCCAGGGGTCTGTGTTTTTGCCATGTTCACGATTAGTTTTGTTTATTTGATTTATGCGATTGATTTGGTAAAACATTTTGATAGTTTCAGTAGCAAAGTTGTATTCAAACATGTACTCGTATCAGTTTCGCATCTTTTGAAGATTCCACTTCAACATCGTGTCCATTTTTGTACAATTAAGCTTGTTAATTTTCTATACTTCTTTTCTGAGAGAGAGAGAAAGAGACTGAGACAGAGAGAGGATGCTCTTGAAATGACTATGCTGTAAAAATTGAAACGTGAGGAAATTAATTTTTTTCACAATAATCAGTTCATACTTTGCAAAATGGAAATTGAGTTGTGTTCCTTTGCAGGGTTAAACCAAAGCTTAAATTTATGCGTCTTTTTTTATATATATACGAAACTGATAAAATTAATGTGTTTTAAAATAAAATCTTTCAATGCCGAAGGAGCATAACTTTTTAAAAGTGTGGATTGATCTGTTTTACACTTTTCATTTATGAATATGTTTTATATCTGTCTCTATTATGATTTGTGCCATAAAAATAATATAATAGCATTTATAACACTGTAGAAAACATATTTCTTTTGCTTATTCATAAAACAATCACTTCAAATAAATACCAAAAGCATAGAAGTACAATATGCACTTTTTGTATTATTACATGTATCGATGTCGGATAATCAAAACTTCTGAGGCTCTTAACCAGCCCCCCCCCCCAACCCCCTCTAACTATTTAAATTCATTATTCTTTTTTTACCCGACATTGCTTTTTTTTATTTCGTCCATGATGTGGAACTAAACATGCTTAATGCTGATGTGTCAGTAGAATGTACTAATTACTGCATTATTTTAATGTATGATGAACATATTGATGTCAAAGGTCCTTGCTCTGCACTTGAATGACTAATAGAGCATACTAATTGTTAGGTAACCTTTCATTGCTATATCTACATCATTTTTCCGTTCATATATATATATATATATATATATATATATATATATATATATATATATATATATATATATATATATATATATATATATATTTGTATGATTCGAATGACTTTAGTTATTTTCATAATTTTTGTTTGTATCATTTGTCCTCAATAATATTTTTTTCATTTCTCCTTTTTTACATGTGTATCTTTTTTTTTAAATCAACCCTTTTCCCCAAGATATTGCTTTTATTTAAAACAATAGAAGTTATGTTAGAATCCATGCACATCTTTAACCTCGATGTTCTACCTAGAGATCCAAGGTATAATGATAAAAAATAAAATTAAATAGTTTTCGGTGAATTTAATACTAACTACACTAATCCTACAACAATTTCGAAACTGGGTTTATTTCTATCCTGTATGAGATGGGCCACGGAGGGTGGGAATGTGTGGAGTGCAATTGTGTGGAAACCTAGTGGGAATTACCTTTTCTGTCATACCTGTAATTTGAAAACATAATGGTAAATTATAAGCATGTTTAACAGTTATTAAATTAACCACATTTCAAACAAATACTTTCAGATGAAAGCGTTTAATGCGTACTCCATTCCGTAAATTTAGCTAAATTCCATTGTCAAGCAACTAATATCATTGATAATTAAAATTCTTAAATAAGATTAAAACAGTAAAATATTCAAATATATTAAAATAATTTATTTTATCAAAATCAATTCTCACAGCGATTTCAAGCCAACCCATATGAAATAATTATTATTTGTATATTTACATCTGTAACAATAGATAAATGAATGTGATTTATGTGTCTCGGAAACTGTTCAGTAATGAGAATCATATTTGCGTTAACAGCGTGCTCGCACATCACGAGCTGGAATATATTTCTCTTTTTCTACATCTATTTCTCTTTCTAGATGTGCCATCCATGCATGCGGGCAAGAGCGAATGTGATTATAAATGTAATAAAAGTAATCAAGTTATTAACTAAAACTACCAGGAGTACCAAGTATATGCAATGTCATCACTTCTACAGATACACAAACAGTAACCAAAGTACTGAAACTATCGAGAGCCCGGCTCATTAAAAATGAACACATTAACAGCTAGCAGGGAAGTTCGGTGACTTGTCATATTGTAAAATTTGAAATCAACCGGTGGCAGTTAATATAAAATTTACAATAGAACAACTACACATGTAGTTTTCATATTGTAAATTTTGTGTATACGGCAATGTGGTAAATTCAAATTTACAATATTACAGACTGAAACTATATATATACCAGTATCACAGAAAAAAAAAATTATATATATATATATATATATATATATATATATATATATATATATATATATATATATATATATATATATATATATATATATCGGCTTGGCCAAGATCAGGTGCCCATGTTGGTTGCAGATTAACAAAAAAATGAAGTCAAATGAAATGTATCACAAGTATGTTCTATGTAACACTACATCCTTTTGGCAGATTGTCTGAAATTTCTGTCCATTTCTGTCAAGCGGTTAAAAAGATTTCACTCTTAATATAGCAGAGATCCAAGTGGGCTACGGACTATACATATTCAGGCATAACATTTATCTTTATCATATTCAACTTAACAAAAAAAGTATAATTCAAATACAAACTCTTCACAAAATATTGTTTGATCAAAAAAGCACATAATTCATTTCCATTTAAATGTTACCGTATATAAAGGACATGGGTAAATTTGTTAATCTTTGAGAGTTTTTCTACTCTTAATATTTGGACATTTGAAATAAAAATACATTAAAGTACTTTCAATTTTTCTAAAGATACTGTATATGGGGATGAAAATTTCAAACTTATTTGGTAATACTCAGAGAAAAACTGTGTCAGATATTTTTTGATTGACAATTTTGAGACCTTGGGCTACGGACAATACGTATAATATTTTCATTTAATGAGAGACCATAGAAAAATAGTTGCTTTTTTCAGTAAATATTTGTTAAAATTATCATCTTAAAGTTCACACGTGTTTAATAAATCCTTTCATTTGGATAATAAATCAATTTATACAAAATCCTGTGAAATTTAACAAAATAAAACAAAACTTTATATATATTCACAATAAGAGTAAAATAAAAATAGCCAGAACAAAATAATACATGTCAGAATTACATGTAATTGGTGTTTTGATAATAAAATATTGTTTAAAACCATCTAAAGACCAAGAATAAGCTTTAATTTAGCATCTAAGAAGGATGAATTTCATGTGAGCACGGGGGCTACGGACTATACCGTTAAACATTTCTATTGTGGACAATCAACTTAAAGAAAATATAATTGTTTAATTAAATTTTGGGCATTTTTTTTATCAATTGGTTTTCTATAACAGTTCACACCACTTAGTTTGAGT